GTAAGTTATTGTGTAAAATACCTATATATATCTGAGAACGCAACATCTTACCCGTAATTTATTGAGTAAATAACCTATTTTTCTAAAAACACAATATCTTACCGGTAAGTTATAGTGTAAGGTTCCTATATATCTGATAACGCAACATCTTACTCGTAATTTATTGATTAAATAGCCTATTTTTATAAAACCACAATATCTTACCGGTAAGTTATAGTGTAAAATGCATGTATATCTGAGAACCCAATATCTTACTCGGAATTTATTGAGTGAAAAGACTATTTTTCTGAAAACACCATATCTTACCGGTAAGTTATAGTGTAAAACGCCTATATATCTGAGAACGCAACATCTTACCCGTAATTTATTGAGTAAAAAGACTATTTTTCTGAAAACCCCAGATCTTACCGGTAAGTTATAGTGCAAAGAGCCTATATATCTGGTAACGCAACATCTTGCCTATAATTCATTGAGTAAATAGCCTATTTTTCTAAAAACACCATATCTTACCGGTAAGTTATAGTGTAAAACGCCGATATATATGAGAACGCAACATCTTACCCGTAATTTATTGAGCGAAATGACTATTTTTCTGAAAACACCATGTCTTACATCTAAGTTACGGTGTAAAGTGCCAATATATCTAAGAACGCGACATCTTACCCGTAATTTATTCAGCAAATAGCCAATTTTTCTAAAAACACTATATCTTACCGGTAAGTTATAGTGTAAAATGTGTATATGTCTGAAATCGAAACATCTTACCCGTAATTTATTGAGTGAAAAGACTATTTTTCTGAACACACCATATCTTACTGGTAAGCTAAAGTGTAAAGTGCCTACATATCTAAGAACGGAACATCTTACCCTTAATTTATTGAGTGAAAATACTATTTTTTCTGAAAACACCATATCTTACCGGTAAGTTATAGTGTAAAGTGCCTATATATCTGATAACGCAACATATTTCCCGTAATTTGTTGAGTAAATAGCCTATTTTTTGAGAAACATCATATCTTACTGCCAAGTTATTGTGTAAAATCACTATATATCTTAGAACGCAACATATTGCTCGTAATTTATTTAGTAAATAACTTATTTTTCTTAAAACACCATATCTTACCAGTGAGTTGCTGTGTAAAGTTCCTATATATCTGAGAACGCAACATCTTACCTGTAATTTCTTGAATGAATTGCCTTTTTTTTTCTAAAAACACCAAATCTTACCGGCAAATTGTAGTGTAAAGTGCCTATATGTATCTAAGAATGCAACATCTTCCCCGTAATTTGTTTGGTAAATAACTTATTTTTCTAAAAACACCATATCTTACCGTTAAGTTATAGTGTAAAATTTATGTATATCTGATAACGCAACATCTTACCCGTAATTTATTGAGTGAATTGCCTATTTTTCTAAAAACACCGTAACTTACCCGTAAGTTATAGTGTGAAATTCATATATATATCTGAGAACGCAATATCTTGCTCGTAATTTAATAAGTGAATTGCCTATTTTTTCTGAAAACACCAAATCTTACCGGTAAATTATAGTGCAAAGTACCTATATATCTAAGAACTCAACATTTTACCCGTAATTTATTGAGTAAATAGCCAATTTTTCTAAAAACACCATATCTTATCGGTAAGTTATTGTGTAAAATACCTATATATCTGAGAACGCAACATCTTACCCGTAATTTATTGAGTAAATAACCTATTTTTCTAAAAACACAATATCTTACCGGTAAGTTATAGTGTAAGGTTCCTATATATCTGAGAACGCAACATCTTACTCGTAATTTATTGATTAAATAGCCTGTTTTTCTAAAACCACAATATCTTACCGGTAAGTTATAGTGTAAAATGCATGTATATCTGAGAACCCAATATCTTACTCGGAATTTATTGAGTGAAAAGACTATTTTTCTGAAAACACCATATCTTACCGGTAAGTTATAGTGTAAAATGCCTATATATCTGAGAACGCAACATCTTACCTGTAATTTATTAAGTAAAAATACTATTTTTCTGAAAACCCCATATCTTACCGGTAAGTTATAGTGCAAAGAGCATATATATCTGTAACGCAACATCTTGCCTATAATTCTTTGAGAGTAAATAGCCTATTTTTCTAAAAACACCATATCTTACCGGTAAGTTATAGTGTAAAATGCCGATATATATGAGAACGCAACATCTTACCCGTAATTTATTGAGCGAAATGACTATTTTTCTGAAAACACCATGTCTTACATCTAAGTTACGGTGTAAAGTGCCAATATATCTAAGAACGCGACATCTTACCCGTAATTTATTCAGCAAATAGCCCATTTTTCTAAAAACACTATATCTTACCGGTAAGTTATAGTGTAAAATGTGTATATGTCTGAAAACGAAACATCTTACCCGTAATTTATTGAGTGAAAAGACTATTTTTTTGAAAACACCATATCTTACTGGTAAGTTAAAGTGTAAAGTGCCTACATATCTAAGAACGGAACATCTTACCCTTAATTTATTGAGTGAAAATACTATTTTTCTGAAAACACCATATCTTACCGGTAAGTTATAGTGTAAAGTGCCTATATATCTGATAACGCAACATATTACCCGTAATTTGTTGAGTAAATAGCCTATTTTTTGAGAAACATCATATCTTACCGCCAAGTTATTGTGTAAAATCACTATATATCTTAGAACGCAACATATTGCTCGTAATTTATTTAGTAAATAACTTATTTTTCTTAAAACACCATATCTTACCAGTAAGTTGTTGTGTAAAGTTCCTATATATCTGAGAACGCAACGTCTTACCTGTAATTTATTGAATTTTTTTTTTTTTAAAACACACAAATCTTACCGGCAAATTATAGTGTAAAGTGCCTATATGTATCTAAGAATGCAACATCTTACTGGTAAGTTATAGTGTAAAGTTCTTATATATCTGAAAACGTAACATCTTACCTGTAATTTTTCTGATAAGGCCAGGAGTGGCCAATTTAGTTGGAAATAAACCAATTAAGGTACAAACGAGTATTGTTAAATCGGTTTAGTTTGTATCATTTATGTTTTTAGCAGATCTTTTGTGTGCATTCGAATCCACAATCTCTAATTTGAATTCTCATACTTTTTCCAATCAAATTGGCCACTCCTAGCATTTCCCACCGTCAACCCTAGCTCGAGGTACAAACCAGTATTGTTGAGTCGGTTCAGTTTTTTTCATTTACTTTTTTTAGCAGATCTTTTGTGTTCCTTCGAATCATCAATCTCTAATTTCAATTCCCATACTTTTTCCAATCTAATTGGCCACTCCTAGCCTTTGTCTCAGCCAACCTTAACTCACAGTACAGACAGGTATTGTTGAATCGATTCAGTTTGTATCATTTATGTTTTTGCATATCTTTTATGTTCCTTCGAATCCTCAATCTCTAATTTGAATTCTCATGCTTTTTCCGGTCCAATTAGCCACTCCTAGCCTTTGTCACATCCAACCCCAGCTCACGGTACAGACAGGTATTGTTGAGTCAATTCAGTTTTTTACATTTACGTTTTAGCAAATCTTTTGTATCCATTCGAATCCTCAATCTCTAATTTCAATTCTCAATTTTTTTTCCCAATTAAATTGGCCACTCCTAGCCTTTGCCACATTCAACCCTAGCTCAAGGCACAAACAGGTATTGTTGAGTCAGTTCAGTATTTTTCATTAACGTTTTTTTGCAAATCTTTTGTGTCCATTCAAATCCTCAAATTCTAATTTGAATTCTCATACTTTTTCCAATTCAATTGGCCACTTCGAACATTTGCCACAGTCAACCTTAACTCACAGTGTAGACAGTTATTGTTGAATCGGTTCAGTTTTTTTCATTTATATTTTAGTAGATATTTTGTGTCCCTTTGAATCCTCAATCTCTAATTTGAATTCTCATTTTTTTTCCAATTAAATTGGCCACTCTTGTCCATCTGTGTGTGGTCATTGGCAGGGATGGCATGTCCTGTCACACTCTCCTTCAACTTCCTCACCTGATTAAGGCTTTGATTTCTTCTTTGAGCTGGTAGTAGTCGTCAATATGGTGGCCATAATCGCGGTGATATTTGCAGTACTTGTTGTTGTCTCTCCTTCCTTGGTATAGTTACCTTATTTTCCTTGGGCTGGGGAGCTCATTGGTTATCACTGCGAAGATCTCTCCTTTGGGTTTGTTCAGGGGGTATAGTTGTTGTATTGATTATGCTTCTCGGGTCGGACCTCTTCTTTCTTTCTTTTCGCTAATAAGTCATATGCATAGTCGTTGGACCTCTTCTCCTTGGGTCGATATCGCTCTAGTGCTTTGGGATTTGGCCTTGCAATCCCCTTCCTTGCCAAGTTCAACTGCTCAACTCTTGAATAGCTAATAGCCTCGTGAAGAAGATCCTTGTATGTTTCATGGGGTCTTATTAAGGGAAAAGAAGAAGTCCCCAACTTGAAGTCCTCTCATTAGGACATTATGTATCATTGCCTCGTCGCAACCTTCACATCGTGCATACTCGTTGTTGAATCGGGTGATGTAATCCAGGAGTTTCTTGTCGGGTCATTGTCTGACCACTGAGAAGTCGTTCGTGGTGTATAGCTGATCAAAAATGATCATATATCGATCCATGAAAACCTCTCTTAGTTCGGCAAAAGAACCAATTGATTCTGGAGTGAGTCGCTGGAACCAGCTTGTGGCAGGGCCTTTGAGCGTTGTTGGGAACAGGCGGCACTTGGTTACCTCATTTGCCTCTCGTTCTTTCATGGCATTACGGAAATTATCCATGTAGTCGTATGGTTCGGTCATTCCATCGTATATAAGGGGATTTTTGGGGCCTTTGAATCTCCCACCACCCTAGTCTTCAGTAAGTCATGAGTATAGGGCAAGGGGATTTCTTCCTCGATTAACTCCGGCCTTCTGGGCATTTTTTATTTCTCCACATGTCTGAGCTGATCCCACACACTTCTTAGTTCGTCAGTGACTAAGTCCTTTAGCATGGAGGTGATGCCACCGACATCCTCCTCGACTTCGCTTGTGCCTGTCGTGGTTTTCTCATTCTATAAGTTTTCTACCAGGCATTGGTTACGCTCCCGCCAGGCTCTTTTTTCCTCCAGTATGGCTCTTGAGTCAGTCGTTTCTCGCCTTGGTACCTCAGTCTCTATTAACTCAAACGAGGCTTCGCTAGCATCCTCGTTGCCAAACTGCTTTTGGTCGTTCTTCTGTCATGAGTCTACCTTTTTTACTAGGTTGGCGTGACTTTCTTGTAGTATTTCGTTCTACGCGCGAAGGCTATTGTTGAGATTTTGGACGTCTTTTACGCCCTCAGGATTTGGCTAATCCTGTCCTCCAGGCTATTGAGGCGATCCATTTAATGTCTTTCCTTCTTTCTTCTATGGGCTTTTCTCTAGGCAGAACCCGAGAAAGCATTCTTTCTAATATGTTGATTCAACATAGCTCAGTTTTGCTCACGTTGGGACTCAGTTGGGAGAGGGGATGCGACTTCTATCAGCAACAATTGTCATAGACGGCACCATATGTTAATTGGGAGTGTGGTTCCCCTGGTTGACTAGGGCCCTAACTCGGGTCAGGACGAGCAAAGGAGTTCAACAAGTCCTAAGCAGATGGCCCTTGCAAACTATCTCCCTTTTAGTGGAACGACACCTGGATTGGATTTGAAGTGCATTAAGTGCTCCCTTTCAGTCATGTCTTGACACCCGCGTGGATTAACTTGATCATAGAGGCGATCTTCCCTAGATTCTCTAGTCACCTTGATTTGCTCCTCAAGTTCGACTTAGGGGGATCTTGGGAGATTCTGCCCAAGCATATGGCTCAGGTGGTTTTGACCGTGAGCATACGCCATCCAGCAAACCTTGGTCTAGTAGGGCCTATGATCTGGTTGGGTCAGTTGGTTTGCTTTTAAGGTAATGACTCGTCACAGCGAGTCAGGTCGAGTCGGCATACGAGGGTATCTACTTTGTTGACCACGTGGTGCCATACTATAGGCTTGGCGATATGGTCCATTAACAACGCTTGAACAACAAAGCCATTTAAACATTATGTGCTTTTTATTCATTATACACATCACACAACACTTTAACACAAAAATTTACCAAATGCTCATAAACTGATTATTGTACCAACAACACATTTAACAAAATGTTTACCAAATGCCAAACAACTTTCTCTTACAGTTGATTTTCTCACAGTAAATTTAACAACAATTATTTTCACAACACAGCAATGTCAAACTAACCCTTAGCAAATTTTAGTGAAATTAGTCTCAAGTGACACGTCTAATATTTTGAAAATAGCCCGTGAGTATAACTCAGCTCATCTTGGCAGTGTTTCGAAACCCAAAAAGTCAATTAAGGGTAAGCGCCCTCCTTCAATCAGTCGCTTATACTCAAAATATAGGGAAATGGCCCTCAGTGCCACCCATTTTATAATTTTTTGTCAAAATACCACACCTCCCCAAAATTTTTAAAACTACCACCTATAAATACATTTTTATTGCCCACTTATTGCCCACATAACATTTTTTCTAAAATTTAGTTCTCTCTCTCTCTCTCTGAAACCCAGTTCTTCCTCTTCCTCTTTGTTTTCTTCTCTACCCAAATCCAAACCCCAATTTCGTCTTCCTCACGAAGAAGAAGATCAAGAACAACCTGCAAAACCCACAGCTTTGCCCTCAAAACCTAGTTCTTCCTCTTACTCTTTGTTTTCTTCTCTACCCAAATCCAAACCCTAATTTCTACCTCTCTTCGAATCCCTTTTGCAACCTAAACAAACCCAAACAAAACCATCTTTTCTGAATATGACAGCATGTGTTGGCATTAGGTGGCCATTGTTTGAGCATTTTGGTCCAATTTTGGGGGTTTTGAAGTCTGGGTTTACGGTCTTCAAGAACAGCAATCATATTGTGATTTTATTGCGGTTGTATTGTAGTCGTATTGCTTTTGTATTGCTATGGTATTGCTGTATTGTAGTCGTATTACAAAAATAGTACAACCGCAATACCATAGCAATACAAAAGCAATACGACTACAATACAACCGCAATAAAATCACAATACGATTGCTATTCTTGTGGTTTATAGTGAAACAAAGAGGATTTGGGTTTTTTTTTTTTTTTTTTTTTTTTTTTTTTTTTTTTTTCTAGGTCCTAGGGGATGCTGATGATGAATAAGATTCGTTTACTTTGTCCTTCCATGTTGACCAAAAATAGAATGGGCACTGGCCAGCCACCATTTCTGTCCAAAGCGTAAGCGTTAGTGATTTCTGTGCGAGCAAAATGGGGAGGATAGGTTTGCTTGTATCAGATTTCACAATCTCATTCATGTGGGTTTGGTCAGGGGTCTTGATTAAGATGTATCTGGGGTTTGGGCCATGAACCCACCGGTGAGATTATCAAATCCACTTTGTCAATTGTAAACATGTTCTTCTTTGCCTTGTTGGGAAACTTCAAAAACTGGGAATTTCACCCAATTCCTTTTCACTGTTGCTGCAAGACTTCATTTGGGTAGAGAAGAAAACAAAGAGGAAGAGGAAGAACTGGGTTTCAAAGAGAGAGAGAGAGAGAGAGAACACAATTTCAGAGAAAAGTGTTATGTGGGCAATAAGTGGACAATAAAAATGTATTCATAGGTGGTAGTTTTAAAAATTTTGGGGAGGTGTGGTATTTTGACAAAAAATTATAAAATGGGTGGCACGGGCCATTTCCCCAAAATATATATATGAAATTCGGTGACAAATCTCGGAAAGGAAAGTGAAGGTGGTAATTGAGAATATGGTTCAGGCAGGGTAACAATACTTAGGGTTTAGGGTAGTTGGTGTTTCACGATTTGCGGCGGGAATCTCCGTATAAAGGGAGAATGGCCGTGGCACAGTCAGGGTGGAAATTATCATATTCAAATTCATGGGTTAGAGTAGTTGGAGTTTCAAGAAGAAGCAGTGGCGCAGCTTCTAAGCCTGCTATATTTCAAGCATCATGTCCACCTCCGTCTCCAGCCATAGCTGTGAAAATAAGAAGAAAATGCTTAAGCAACTGGAGGTGGGCGCAAAAGCCACCACAATTGCTGGAAGACAAGAAAAGCGACGCCTCCTTCTTCATACGGTGCTCTAAGTACGGGAGCAGCATTGGTGCCGCAAGTAATACGAATAGCGGAAAGGGATATCTGGCATCTACGGACCAAGAGCTGATGAGTCAGTGCCAAATGGACACTTTCAAGGCGTCGGGCCCAGGGGGTCAGCACCGTAACAAGCGAGAGTCTGCCGTACGCCTCAAGCACCTCCCCACCGGTCTTACTGCGCAGGTCTCCTTCTTTGCTTCTAAATGCTCTAAACGCTCTATATGCTCAATTGTCAATATTCAATTAATTGAATTCCAATTTAGGCTGTCGAGGACAGATCCCAACACATGAATCGTGCCTCAGCCTTGGCTCGCCTTCGCGCTCTTATAGCTCTAAAAGGTGTGTTCACTCCATTTCAATCTTTTTCTCATTTCACATCCTCAATTATCAAATGATTATTTACTCTTGTCTTGAGCTAGTCTGGTCTAGTCAGGAACACTGTGGATCTTGATGCTTATTCCCCTCCTCAAGAGCTTCTTCAAATTCTTCCCCCAAAGTCTACCATTAGAGGATCAGATTGTGGTCCCCAAATTGGACCCAATAATCCTAAGTTCATTTTGGTATGTAATTATCTTAGATTTAAGTCATTTTGCTATATGATGATCCTAACTCTAGCTACTCTCCTTTGTAGGGAATGCAAGCTCTGTTGGATCTCATTTTTGCAGTTGAGGGTTCTGTCTCAGAGGCAGCCAAGTTTCTGGGGTATACAATTACAAATATTCTCTACACTTTTCTTTGTAATTAGGCACGTTAGCAATGTTATATTCTAACAACTATCTGCAACTCCCATCCTTTTCCAGTTGGCTCCATCTTTAGATTGAGTAGTGATTTTGTATGGAGACACCATCTACATGCCCCAAGGAAATTCTAATGGGTTCAAAGAATAGCCTAATTAAGTTATCATCAATAGCAAATTTCTCCACTTTTTAAAGATAAATAACTACCATCTGCCAGTTAGAATAAACATCCACTGGAGAAAGGACCAAATAAAGATAAATGGGAAGATGACTCTGTTTGATGGTTCACTTACTTACATGGGACATGGAAACTTTTTGTTTATTGTGCACAAACATCAGCCCGGAAAGAAAAAAAAGTTTATTATGTCTAAACAATAAATTCGTCTGTTTGATAGCTTTCTTGCTAATTGTTCGAATCGTTAATCAACCCATCCTTATGTCTTTTATAAATAATGCAGGTTAAGCACAGGTGCCCTGTCACGGTTAATACTCTCAAATGATTCTCTCCGACTGGCAGTCAATGAACTAAGGTTTTCTAAGGTACAACTTCTAATGGCCACAATAGGAAGTATTGCTTTGGTTTCCTATTGTAGCTTTTGACTTCTGGATGACAACTATTTACTGCATTCGAAATTATTTTCTACTATTCTGGAAAGTAGCAGCCTATGAATAATTACACCCACGAACACCCTCCCCACCCCATACACACACACACACACACACACACACACTCATACAAAGGGACTATAAGGACACATTTATTTGATAAACAAATTACTCATTCTCTTGTCATAGCTAGGGAGTTAGTTCTCTATGACAAAGAAACTAAACCCTAGAATAAGAAAATGACAGCCATAAGCAGAAAACAGAGTGTCAGTAGTCCTAAGGTGCCCATTTATAGTTTTTAATCGCCTTCCAAACCCTAGCAGGAACAAATTTGATTTTCCTTTCTTTCTTGCATTGCATGTGAGCTTCAGTAGTTTTCCTCTTTTCATTTTTCATACATAAATAAAAATATAATAAAACTTAATATTAACTACAAACAACATGGCTAATAAGTGCAAATTATAAACATTGGAATGCACTCTCAGGCTATTATCATTTTCTTTGTTGTTTTTGTCATATTGAAGATGGTTTGCATACCCCAAGAACATGTCATAATAATAAAATATAAATAAAACTGATATTGGGTGCCGTTGAGCACATGTTAAATCCAGCTTGACGCTCAAAAATACCCATTGTTATGTTAGAGCACTCAAGATCCAAGATTTTATTTTTTTGTGACCCTTCTCAATAAACTTTTTGTTCAAATGCATCATTTACTATTTTAAGTTGGGTTTCATTAAATGTATCTTGGAAATTATCTGGATGTTAATCTGTGTTGCCAGTAATACAGACGTTGAACTTTTCTCTGACTTGTGCAGGGTATGAAGCCTCTCAAGTAGAATTTATCAGCTGGCAATTACTTGTTTCAAGTACTAATTGTTGCTTCTTCTTTTTTAATTGTGCAAGAAAATGACATACGTGCACTCTGAAATGTCATTTTTGTCTTAAAAAACCTACTCCAACAGCTAACTTTGCTAGACAATTCACCAGTCAGATCATGCATAAACATTGTTTTGAGGGTAATGACATGGATGCACTCTCATAGACATTATCATCAGCGTAGGTTCAAGTTCAACACAGCAAAACTAGAAAAAAAAAAAAAAAAGGTGGTTCTTTTGGTTTGAGCATTGCTTATAATTGCCAAGGGATTCTTGGAATGCCACCGTTCAACGTTTCTTTGTAAAAGAAATGGTCATAGCGTTGGACTTCTTGTTGCTGTGCAAATTAAGGGCTTATTACGTAATATACCCTTTCCAGAATTGAATTGACACAAGAAATGCCTTCAGGATGAAGGATTAATCTTTGCGCGTTTAAAATTGTAAACTCACTTTAAAGTTTAAAGTTAGATACATAATACATTTTCGAAGAATTTTCTTCCAATTAGGGGAGGGGGATTTGAACGTAGGACATCTTTCTAGGTTGCAAAGCAAATTGACACTAGACCAAAGGTTCAAATGCTCATGGTACCTTAGTAGTGTGTGTGTGTGAGAAGACCCTCTTCTTCTTGTAGTTTAAAATTATTGTTCCATCTAGAGGTGTCAAACGAGCCGTGTGGCATCGGCCTAGCCTGTTTAGAGTTTGCCCATTTAATAAACGGGTTGTGTCGAGCCTGCTTATTTAGGAAAATCATCAATTTTGGCTTGACCCACAACTCGAGCCCTCGTGCTTGTGTCGAGGTTGTGGGTTCGGGTCATGCTCTTGTCGGGCCACTAAACCGGCTAATATGGGCCCACATCAAATGTGATTTTTTTTTTTTTTTTTTTTTTTTTTTTTTTTTTTTTTTTTTATTAAATTTATTATTTAATCTCTTTTATAATCTTTTTATAATTATATATATAATAATATATAATATATATGTAAAAGACAGGAAGAAGATGAAGAATGGTGTTTCATTGGGATTTATGGTCGCAAACTTAAAAAGACATGAAGAAGATGAAAACTGATTTTTTGTTCTTGAAAATTAGGGTCAATCGTTTTATTAATCCCTGAATTTCGACTCAATTTGCATTTGAGTATCTTAATTTCTAAAATAGTTCATGTGGTCCTTTAACTTTAGTTTCGTTAGGGCAAATGGTCACGTCGTCAATTTTGTTAATTTTTCTGTTAAATGCAGGGCCAAAATGGTATTTTTGTATCAAAATTGATTAAAATATGAATTAAAAAATTTAAAAAAACTTAAAACTTAAAATTAAACTCTCCCCACTCCCCCATCCCGATTTCTACTCTCCCCATTTAATTTTTTTTTTTTTTTTTTTTTTTGTTTTTTTTTTATTTTTTTTTTTTATATTATATTATGATTTTTTATTCTGTTTTTTTGTTTTAATATAAAAATACCATTTTGCCCCTACATTTAACAGAAAAAGTTAATAAAATTGACGGCAGAACCATTTGTCCAAACGAAACTAAAGTTAAACGACCACAATACGGGAGAGGCAAGACCTCTCCCGACGAAATTTCGTCAGCAGAGGTATTTTCGTCAGGAGAAACCTAATCCAACATAGACCTATGCCGACAAAATTTCATTGGGAGAAGTATTCATTTATTTATTTTTAATTTAAATTAATTAGTAATTATTATTTCTTATTGAATATTTAAATATGCTACTTATTTCAAAAATTGCTCAATAAATAGTAATTAATTATTTTGTGTAATTTTCAAACCTAATTTCATTCAAATTTAAATTGAAAGGAAAAACGAAAAAAATTAATTGGTTACCCTTGTTTGGGTGTCTTCATTAAATTTATCCAAAGCCAAGAGCCCCAAGGCCTAAGTCTTTGATTAATATAATTATTATTAATCGGTGCCAAATCCAAAGCCGAGCCTATAGCCAAGCCCATTACCCCAACTCTCCAATGTTTACCACACTTACCAAACCATCATAGTGCTTCGTTTATAAAGACCTTTTATAGGATTGTGGATTTTCAATGTAGAGTGTTCACAAAGGGCACATAAAAAGAATATCTTCAAAGTATAGCCGTGCGGCTATACTCCGAATAATAGAATATTTTAAAAGTCCAGTCGCCCGACTATACCCTTTAAGTACCTCTCTTTTTAATTACTTTGATTAGTAGTTATGTTTTACTTAGTGAATATTAAAGGAAAACATAAAAAGGAAAAATTGAATTACTATTTATTAAGTAATATAATTCATGAAGTTAATTAATAAATTAAATACTAATTATTCACTAAATAAATAATAATTAAAATATAATTACTAATTTCACTAATTAAATAAGGCAAATATATTATTTAATTACTACTAATAAAAAAATTTAAAATTTAATTCACCTAAACATCCTAAGTTTATATTTATTTTTTTTCAAAAAGACATCTCCTGACGAAATTTCGTAGGCACAGGTCCATTAGACCTCTCTCGAAAAAATTTCGTCGAGGGAAACCTAATCCGGAAAATTTTCGCCGACATAGACCTGTGTCGACGAAATTTCGTTGAGAAAAGTGTTCATTTATTTATTTATTTTAAATTTTAAATTTAAATTTTAAAAATATAAAATTAGTTTCTTTACTTTTTCTTTTGGCCAACTTCCTTAATTTAATATATGTAATTAAGTAATATCTTATCCTTTTTAATTACTTTAATTAGTAATTATGTTTTAATTATTATTTCTTTATTGAATATTAAATTCGCTACTTATTTCATAAATTGCTCAATAAATAGTAATTAATTATTTTGTGCAGTTTTCAAACCTAATTTAATTCAAATTTAAATTGAAAGGATATGTCAAAAACGGAAAAAATTAATTGTTTATTCTCATTTGGGTGTCTTAATTAAATTTCTCCAAAGCCCGAGAGCCCCAATGCCCAAGTCTTTGATTAATATAATTATTATTAATCGGGGGGGCTTCTATAGTGAGTGGAAAGTTATAAGGGGTGTTTTTGAGGGGTATTTCATCCAACGGTGAGTTTTTAAAAGAGGGTGCATGTAGAACCGGGTTGAAATCTAACCCGTTGAAAACCCAACTTCAGTTGAAGATTTTTCCCTCTCTGTGAAAAACTGAAGAACACAATCCTCTCTTTTTGAATGTAATGCAAACTCACAATTAGAAATATCTAAAGCTCCCAAACCCTATAGTCGCTCCATTGTCATTAGCTCCTTGGGAGGCTTGCGATCTATGGTATCCTCGGTATGACGATTAATGGCTCTTACCTAGCTATTGCCCTGTTTTGATTCTATGGCTCAAGTGAAAACCCCTTCTCTTTTTCGTTCAGCAGACGAGATTCCAGATGAAAGCAAAGTAGCATATCTCTTTCTGTAGCTAGACATCGTAGCAGTAGTTGTTCCGAAAATTGCTACGAACTCATTGAGACTTTATCTTCCTACAGAATTCCCTATTTCAAGGTTATGCTATATTAGTATTTTATTATTATTTCCCCAAAATTATTATATTACTTTTTAGCATGTACATTTGTTAATTATATTTACACAAAAATTTTATTTTTATTTTTATTTTGCGTGCGAATAGACCATTTTTTGTGCTAATCAGTTTCTCTCTTCTTCAATTTGTTTGTTTTTTTTTTCTTTTTTAGGGTTAAGGGATGTTTTGAAAAATAAAATGGAAATATACAAGCCATCCATTCTACAACATCAGGAAAAAAATTATTGAGAGTCATTCACTGTTCAAGTTTTGCTTAAAAAACGTGTAACCAAATTGTTTGGGATATGATAAGTGGGAAAATGGCATTCCCAAGCACCGGTGAAAAGACACCTACTCACTCCATGCATGCCTTTTCGTTTACCAAATATTAAGATTGCAGTTGTGCAAAATGGATGTGTCAGTAAAACGTCATTCGTACGCATCTATGATGTCAGTAATCATTCCACTATATAATATATATATATATATTATACATTTATATATAAAACGGTTTATGACAGCACAAACACCAGACAAAATATAGATTAATACCCAACATGTAAACAATATTTGTACAACGTAGCCAGCCAACCTAGAATTGAAGATAAGTCCACAATGCATAAAATCCGTAAAAACATACTACAACTAATTATAAGGGTATGGATTCCCTGGTAAAACATACACACACATCACCTTGAACCAAAAAACACTCTCACGGTGCCATTTGCATCGATTACAACAAGCCCAGAAGGCAGGATTTATCTTTGCTTTAGTATGCCAGCCTTGAATAACAAAACACCATTCGTTGTTGTTACAAGCACTGCAGTGATTGAACTTAATCTTCCCATAGTAAAACATATCTACGATATGTCTTGCAACAGAGAAAACTCGGCTTAATCTTCGTCTCAAAGCATCCCTGGTTCCTTTCATATCAATGTTGTTACATTGATTCAAAGAACACAAAAATTCTAATGCATCCTCTTTTGACTGACCAATTCCGGACATGCCAAGTAGTCCAACTAGATATGCCGCTTCCATATGGCCTGTCGTGGCTGCAATGCGCATCCCATACAACGCTTCTACGTTACCCTGCATGAAAAACACTTTGAACGCTTCTCCAAATATCGACTCAGGGATCTCACAAGCCCTGCATTGTTGCAAGAAAAGCTGGACCGCAGGATTGGCATGGTACCAACTAGGAGGGTCTGGGTACTTTGCCACTGAAATGGTGTTCCACACTTGTGGAGTGTTTGCCAACGTATGGAATAATGGGCACACAGATGCCATACGGAAGGGATCTTCCGATGATTGGGTTGCCATGTATAACATCACTTTAAACCAAGCTAACTCCGAGATGAAGGCTTGGGGCATATCCAAATGGAGATGCTTCCTTCTCTTTCCTCCGAGTGTTGTGAAATGTTTCAAATTCATTGAAATGTTTTTGGAATGGAACGATTTGAGGAGTGGAAGAGGGGAGAAATGAGAATATATGGGGTTTGGTTTTGTTTTAGCCTTTGTTTGTAGTATTTTAAAAAGGTGTTTCCACTTAAGGTTTTTCCAAGTTGACCCTTTTTAAAGAAACTGAACCCAACACCCTAAAACTCAAGAAAAGAGAAGGGAAAACGTCATCGAAATGCAAAGAGAGTCAGGCAGTCAAAAAGTCAATTAATAACCTATTTGCATAGCCATTTTTAGGATTTTCCCACCATCACATTCATTGATATAAATGTGATGGATTACTGACTAGTCACAGAAGTCTCATCAGATACTTTTTCATTTTCCCACACCAAACTAACCCTAGTAAGGTTATTAAAATGAAACCAATGATGATCGATTCTTATCTAACTAGTAGGGTTAATGAAATATAATTAAAATAATATATTTTAAGTAGTGCCCTGTCAATTTTCTGATTAATATTTGGTAGTGAAATATTATATTGGTTTTTGGGGTAAAAGGTGCCACAATTCTGACGGTACAGGTGTCCAGATCGTGACCAACCCACCCACACATAGAAAAAAAGGATATAATTCGATTTGGGTAGAGATGAGAGAGAGCTGAGTGAGAAGTTTAGGGTTATCAGTGAAGGGGTATGATTGAGAACTATGAGTGAGAAGGTATGAGTCTGAAGAGGTTTCAATGAGAAGATCTGAGTGAGAAGAGGTACAAGTGAGAAGATTCAACATGTCTTTGTCTTCATCTCCCGCTCAAACAAAGAGGTGTCAGTATTGTGGAGCTGCAATGGTGCTTCAGGTTTCAAAATCAGATAAAAATCGAGGGAAACTATTTTGGAAATGTATAACCTCCTATGTAAGTTTTCATTTCCAGAATATGTATGTGGGTGAAAAAAAACCTAGGTCTAACTCTGACATAATTATTTTGCATATATGATGCCTGCAATTAGGGAGCCACCAGTTGCAATGGATTCGAATGGGTTGATGTAACCTCCGCTCAATCAGAACAGCAAGATGACACGTATAATGCTACGGTGCTGAATATGATGAAGTCCATTAAGGACTTGGTATTAGTTTTATTACTTATATCAATTTTCATATTATTTGTTCTTTTAATGACCAATTAAGTGCACAGTTTCAAGGACCGTAAAAGTTCTCCCCAAAAAGACATGTTGCACGCACCACCAATGAGTTTTCAAACCCATTTTGTAATTTTTGTTCTTGAAATAGGTGGATTGGCATTTAGTTTAAATTATTGTTTGAAACAACAACATTTAGTTGTCTGAAACCCAGCAAAAACTTTCCAAGACTAACTTTAAAAAAATAAAGTCATACGAAGACGATAAAATCACAATACAGGGCCAATACGATGCAATAATAAGACAATACATTTTTTTTAATTGCATAATTATTCAGTGTATATAGATTGATTATTTGCGTATACTGAAGGTTTATTGATTGTTTACTGCATGTATTTCGCATGTTATTGCTCCGATATTGAATGGTTATTGAAGGTTTATTGATTGTTTACATGTTTATTGAAGGTTTATTGATTGTTTACCGCATGTATTTTGCATGTTATTGAACCGATATTGAATGTTTATTGATTGTTTACATGTTTATTAAGGTTTATTGATTGTTTACTGCATGTATTTCGTATGTTATTGGTCCGATATAGAATGTTTATTTTAGGTTTATTGATTGTTTACTAAATGTATATCGCATGTTATTGCTCCAATATTGCATGTTTATTGGGGGCAAAAGTACCACTCAAATAAGATTTAAAGAGTTAGATTTAAGGGGGGAAACGGTCCTTATTCTTTCTTTTAGTAGGAAAAACAACCGTTAAGTAGAATTTCCTATTCAATACGACATCCTTATGGGTGGTGTAATTGGGGACTGATGTATATTGCATGTCTAATGCGTGTATATAGCATGTCTATTTCGTGTATATTGCTTGTCTGTTATGTGTATATTGCTTGTCTGTTGCCTGTGTATTGTTGTTTATTTCATTCGTAAGCAATAAACAATCAATAAACAATAAACAATAAACAATCTTCGTAAGCAATAAGCATGCATCCGCTATAATATTTGCCACTATTTTGGTTCTAATTGTTCTTGTCCAATAACTTAAACCTAAAATTATGTACAAAAATACACTAAGATTGAGAAAGACGAAGAAGAATTGAGGAGCAAATGTAGAATTTGAAAAGCACCTGTGGGTCTCTATTGTGTATTTACATGAGTTTGAAATTGGACATTCCCAAAACCTATTTAATCATCATGTACCTAAACCAAGTTCAACCAATATCATGTCATGTAAGCATCTCCCCGTAATATCTCTGCAGCCAACTTCAATCGAAAAAAGGGCATGTTATGCGAGGTGCAAGTATCTAACAGAATCTCAGCGCTCAAAAGCTCAATGTACTTTAACACGAACATGCCACAATCGCCTCTGAAGCAAAACAAGAACTTGATCAATTCAACTAATGACATTCTAACATAATTGACAATTTAAAGTAATAAAATTAAATAAAAAGTTGTGCTCACTGATTAGACTATTGTGGAACATTCACACGTTCTATTGGCCACAAACACCACCAATCTCGGTTGCAATCGTTTGCGTAAACACCTTCTTCATAAAAGTCGATGGTGTTGAGAAGATTTGGAATCGTAATTGAAAGCGGGGCGAGTTCTTCCTTTAAGATCTCATCTGGAATAAGTGAAACCATTGAATCGTACACTTTGATTTGACATTGACCCAGATCAATCATTAGAGCCACCAAATGCTTATACTTTGTCAACATACAAGGGGCATACACCTTATACGTGTTCTGTCAATCCATCCCACATGTCGGAACCTTGCCATTTACAATGTTGAGTAAACTGTTTCTAATTTTCCACCCAACCTGCTATTTTTTTCTTTTATTATCCACAAAGCAAGTATGAATGTGATTCTATGAAATAGAAAACAATCAATGGTTAAACACCTCCACAAAGCAAGTATGGATAATTTGTAATTATTAACTACACTTGGTCAAGGCCTATGACATACCATAAAAAATACATCAGTCGTTGTCCAGTCCAATATTTCTACTTTCTCTAACTCTTGTTGTCGCTTCCGGATGAGATACAACCCCAAATCAATGTGCTGCACATGTTTTTCTTGTCAATCTCATAATCTATGTACATTAAAACAAATGCATAATCAATTAAACTTACATCTCCTTTCAGCCAAATTCAATCTTAGCTTGCACGTTGCCAAATTGCATCACCAAACTATGAATATAAAAAAGTTTTAGAACACAACAATTAAAATATATATACACTCATGCCTTCTATATAAAAAAAACAAGGGACTTACTTTGGGTTACGGCACCATTCCCAACAAAGTTTCAGCAATTTCACCATATCATCATGCGGAATCTCTTTCATTGGGTCTAACATCCGAAGTCCGGTTGTCTCTGGCAGAGTTTTTTGAACCAATTCACTAGCTTCAAGAATCTTCCACATAGGAATAATCCTCTTCCTCTTCTGTAATTGGACCCCTTGTTCCACAGTTTTACCTTCATCATTCAACCAAACGTTCAACTAAGATAGCATAGCTGTAGGTTGATCCAAATCAATGTCCCCGAGAGTAAACTCAACCTTTGTCCCCTCCGTGCTCTCGCCAATGTCATCGCCAAGCAACATAACTTCATCATGCTCTTCCTCACATTGGTTTCTTTGCACTTCCTTTTCCTCACTTCTTTGTCTTTTCACTTCCGTGCCCTCCCTTCTTTTTCTTTGCGGATCCTCTCCCTCACTAGTTTTTCTTTGCAATTCCTCTCCCTCATTGCTTTTTCTTTTCACTTCCTCTTCATCACTGCTCTTTCTTTGCGCATCCTCTCCCTTGCTGCTTTTTATTTTCACTTGCTCTCCCTCACTTCTTTTCCTTTGAGCTTCCTCTACCTCACTTGGTTTTCTTTGCACTTCACCCTCTTCAATCCCCTCCTCTTCCTTTTCCTTTCCCTCATTTCTGTTACTTGGCTCTTCACCCCCTTCAATCCCCTCCTCTTCCTTTTCCTCTCCCTCATTTCTGTTACTTGGCCCTTCATCCCATTGAATGTCATCCATTTCCTCACTTCCCATAAATAGATGTGAGATGGCACAACGATTCGTCCTCTCTTTCAGTAAAGCTAGGTCCCTCCTTACTTCCTGCTCAAACTGAGGACCTAAACAGTGGTCCAAAAGTTTTTCCATCCGTATGACCTTTAACTCAAAGACGTCCTTTTCCCGCTTTACTTGAAACAACTCGGACCTCAACAAGCTTACCACCTTGTTCAACTCATCAAGGTCAACACATGAAGAAGGGATTGACTCTGTCGAGACAACAGCAGGGCGATCCTGTGGCCAACTCCAATATGGTAGTCTCATTTCCTCTTCACTCGGACGTAGGGCCCGCAACTGAACTGACTGTTTTAGAATACAGACAAGATTCATATTCAATCATTCTACTTAATAATTTCATTGAATCTTATAAACAGTTTCAAGGGCTGCAAACCAAACCTCTTTGCTTTGAAAAAAATAAATTTTCAACTTTCTCATCTCGGGAACAGACGTAGTGGTTCTCCATCGCAAAATACGTGGGACAGCTGTTGGATCAACAACCTTGCAGTAATTCAAGTCCGCCATTCTTGGAATTAATTCATATACCCAAATTTACACAATTCACAGGACAAAAGTCATTATTTAAGTTTTAAAGTCCACAAAGCAAAATTGACATGAACATTATTACTATGTACCTGCAAAGCATACGTGAAACCTTTAAAACTTCAGCCACCCCTTTGCACTTCACCATGTTTATCCTTCTTGCCCTTCTCATTTCTCCAGCTTGTTCCCGTTACCTTACTTTTCCCCTTCCCTCTTCCCTCTTCATTTTCAAAGCTTTTCATATACTTTGTTGGTGCAGAAAATAGACTATCTTGGGTTTTGTCAAATGACACCGAACCCCATATATACCTGTTGAACGCATCCAAGTCCTCTACAAGGGTCAGGTAATTTACATTGATGTTCAAATGTTTGTCCCTTCCCAAAACCACTAACTCAGCAAAGTAAACAAGAGCTAGCTTGTAGATGTCATCTTCCTCTATGCACCTCAGAAATGCTTCTTCTAAAGCATTACATGTAATTCCTTTGTCTATAAAATATCTTTTCTGAAGTCTAATTTCATCACTTTCTCCACTGGAAACTTCAGGCACTTCTCCAAAACGAAACCCGGTGATCAAACAAAAATCCTGACGAGTGAACTGAGCAACGTCGCATCCTATTAAGAAACTCAGTCCATCCAAGTCTTTCACACCCTGCCTCGCTACTCGACGCAACACAACCCCATGCACAATCTGCCCGCTAAACTGAATCTTATCTATATTCAGAAGATGGCCAAAGCATGATGTCTTGAATTTTTCTAATTGTTCGGCACTCAACTTCGCTCGAATTGCAGCTAGGGATGAATTTGCATGTGAGCAGTTGTTCACCCGTGATGAATATGCCTCTGACTCTGGCCATATTGGTATTTACACAACTAGTCAACCAGGCACATTACAAATTTTACAAAGTACATGCGCATATGGATTACTAATCACAGGCTTTAACATCATCAAAGCAATATGACAAATTTTGTGCAAATACCTGTTAATGCAATGATTCTGTGAATTACAAGCAATAGCATGTGTTTTATTTATGGATCCAAACTCCAATCAATGGTTGATGCATGAGTGAGTGTGAGTGTAATCTAGGCAAGTTCTGCACTTCACACACATGACAATTATTGTCATATCATACACAACACAAAATAAGTAAATAAATAAGAAATATGGTGGAATGGAGCAAAGCAAAGCATATGCTCTGCTATCTGCTTGCTAAGCCATTGCCACATCCTTCTTTCTTTCTAGCTTTTTCTTCAGTAAGCCACAATCATCATATATCAACCTTTATTTCAAATGCTTTGCACTTTTATTCATGAGTTTATTAGTATATGTTCTCATTTTTCATAGGAAAATTTAGTAACAAAGGAAATAATATTTATTTCAAAAAATATATAAATTCTAGTGCTAGAGAGGTAATCTGCACTGCTTCAAATGTGGAAGGTTTTGAGGGCCTCCTCCAATTCAACACCATTATCTTATTCCTATCATTATTGACATGTTATTGATATGTTATTGACTTGATTTTCATTCGATTTTTAACATATACCCAAGCAAAAATTAACTTGCAAGTGAAGCACAAAGAAAAGATGCCAAATTCAACAACATTGATGGTACAAATTGGGGAAAACCATTACTCTAACCCCAATTCAACACCATTATCTTATTCCTATCATTATTGACTTGTTATTGACATGTTATTGACTTGATTTTCATTCGATTTTTAACATATACCCAAGCAAAAATTAACATGCAAGTGAAGCACAAAGAAGAGATGCCAAATCCAACAACATTGATGGTACAAATTGGGGAAAACCATTACTCTAACTCTAAACTCAAATTCCATAAATTACTCACCAAATGCTGGTTATTGAACAATCGCAAGGTGTCTGTGAGGGTTCTTTGTGCGGCTTTGCTCCACAAATGAAACCTATCACTTCCAATGAATATGGCTTCTCTCCTTCCCCTTCCACTGCTTCGCCCTTTCACTGTTTCGGAATCCACGCCTTTGCCCCTTCCACTCAAAATAAATACTTTTTCACGACGGAGTTGCCTTCAACCGTTGCCTTCAACCGTCACCTTCAACCGTCGTAACCGTTGCCTTCAATCGTTCCCAGCTTAGCTTATTTTCGGTTTCTTAGAGAGGCTATGGGTTTTAGAACTATGGCTTTTTTCTAAACTTCACAACTTTTTTTTTTTTTTTTTTTTTTTTTTTTTTTTTTTTTGGGGAATGCTACTTGACTGAATGATGGAGTATTTTAAATTGCGGGTTTGCCTTCACCTACCCGATTGCACAAATTTATCTCAATTCTCCCTAGCCCTTGGATTGATCTGATGACTATAAAGTGAACCCCTTATAACTTACCCCTTATAAGTTACCACTCATTATAGTCTGAGCGATTAATCGGAGCCAAATCCAAAGCCGGGCATATAGCCAAGCCCATTACCCCAACTCTCCAATGTTAACAACACTTACCAAACCATCGTAGTGCTTTGTTTATAAAGACCTTTATAGGATTGTGGATTTTCGATGTGGGGTGTTCACAAAGAGCACCTCAAAAGAATATCTTCAAAGTATAGCCATGCAACTGTACTCTGAATAATAGAATATTTTAAAAGTCCAGCCGCGCAGCAATACCGTTTAAGTACCTCTCTTTTTAATTACTTTGATTAGTAGTGATGTTTTACTTAGTGAATATTAAAGGAAAACAGAAAAAGGAAAAATTGAATTACTATTTATTAAGTAATATATTTCATGAAGTTAATTAATAAATTTAATACTAATTATTCACTAAATAAATAATAATTAAAATATAATTACTAATTTCACTAATTAAATAAGGCAAATATATTATTTAATTACTAACAATAAAATTTTAAAAAATTAATTTTTCTCATCCTAAGTTTATTTATTTTTCTCAAAAAGACCTCTCCCGACAAAATTTCATTGACATAGGTCCATTAGACCTCTCCCGACGAATTTTGTCGGCAGCGGTATTTTTGTCGGGGGAAACCTAATCCGGCAAATTTTGCCAACATAGACTTGTGCCAATGAAATTTCGTCTGAAGAAGTGTTCATTTATTTATTTAAATTTTTAATTTTAAAAATATAAAATTAGTTTCTTTACTTTTTCTTTTGGCCAACTTCCTTAATTTAATATATGTAATTAAGTAATATCTTATCCTTTTTTAATTACTTTAATATAGGAGGCTTGTCGAACAGGGTGCGCACATGTGCCATGACAAAAGCATCAAAGTAAAATTAACCAGTGAAAACACTTAAAAATTAAAAAAAATATATTTAAAAAAAAAAACCTAAGTGTGCCCTCTTTGTGACTTGAACCCTGTACCCTGAAGTTAATAATTAAAACAAAAACTAGCCCATCTAATATGAAACATTTCAATATTGTTGCTCGTTATATGTACTTGAACACCACTCTCCATTCTATATTGCTACTATAATACAGCTTTCAGGAAGATAGAAGGATCTCCAAAGCGCAAGAACGCGAGGACAGGAGATAAAGAGATGCTGTAACGACTCCTCATGGTAGTGACAGAGAGGACAAGAAGGGTCTCTAGAAAGATGCCTTCTTACTCTCTGCACATTAGTTAAGATCTTTTTCTGAGTGAGAAGCCAAGTGAACATTTTAACACGGGGAGGGATCTTCAAATTCCAAATGAACTTCCAAGGAGAACCAGTGACTTCATTAAACCTGGCAGATAACTCATAAGCAGTCTTTACAGAAAAGACTCCATTTGAAGAGGGACCCCATATACAAGTATCAGGTATATTCCCGTCAACATCTACATGAATACTGATGATCTGCATAACGGCTTCCGGTTGAAGAGCCTGCAGGAGTTTCTGAATGTTCCAACCAGTCATAGAAAAATAATTTGACACAGTTTCAGCTTTGTCAAGCTGATCAGATAAGGGAAAATTAGTATCCACCAAAGGAACATCACCAATCCAAGTATCAGTCCAGAATTTGACTCTAGTGCCATCTCCCACTCTCCATTTCATACCCTTATTTAAAATGGCAGCTCCATATATTAATCCTAAGCCAAAGTACAATTATCATCATAAGCATCAAAACAACAACTACCCTTTAAGTACTTTTTCCTGAGCATTGCAGCCCAAAAACCTGAGTCCCCAGCCACAATTCTCCAACTAGCTTTAGATAACATAGCTTGATTCATAAGAGAAGCCTTTTTAATACCCAAACCTCCTAGACGTTTAGGCAAACAAACTGTATCCCACTTAACTAAATGAGTTTTATGATGGTTCTCACTACTTCCCCAAAGAAAACTTTTAGAAGATTTGTCAAGGTCTTCACAAAGGCCTTGAGGAAGCATAGCCGTCTGCATAATATAAAGAGGAATAGAAGAAGCAACAGACTGGATTAAAGTGATTCTTCCAGCCATAGAAAGCAATTGACTTTTCCAAGCAGCAAGTTTAGCCTGAACTTTAACCAGAACCCCCTTATACGTAGCCTTGGTAACCCTCCCTTGGACAAGGGGAACTCCCAAATAATTCCCCATATCAGCAGATCTGGTGGCACCACAAGTTAACTCAATTTGATCAACAAGGTCAGACTTAGTATTGGCAGATATGTACAACAAAGATTTCTCAAAATTCACCTGCTGCCCAGAAAGCTCACAAAACTCCTCAAGAGAATTTTTCATAACCATAGCTTGCTGAGCAGAAGCCTCACCAAAAAGAATCAAGTCATCCGCAAAGAACAGATGCGAGATTAAAGGACCAGACCTCGCTGCCCTAACAGCTTTCCACTCCTTCTTTAACACCTTAGCAGCAATGATGTGACTAAGCTTTTCCATACATAAGACAAAGAGGTAAGGGGAAAGAGGGTCACCTTGTCGAACACCTCTTTGAGGTTTGAAACTCTCAGTAAGCTCCCCATTCAAGATAATTCAATGGAAGGGTGATAGCAACGATATCCACGATAATTAGCATTGTAGCCAAGAAAAACACAGGCAAGCGAACATGGTTGTAACTTGTTAGAAACATAAGCACCAAGATAAGGATAACATGTACACCCAAATGTGCGAATAAGAGAATAATCCGGGTCTGTACGAAACAACCACCGATAAGGTGTTTCCCATTTGAGAAGTGGGGTAGGATGACGATTGATTAAGTAGACAGCGGTGCAAAAAGCTTCAACCCAGAAGGAGTGAGGAAGATGGGCAATACAGAGCAAAGTACGCCCCATGTCAGCAATATGGCGATGTTTGCGTTCTGCTAGGCCATTTTGTTAGGGGGTATGTGGACAGGAAAAGTGGTGGATGATGCCTTCGAAAGTACAAAATTGTTTTTAAAAGCCATTATCAAATTCTTTGCCCCCATCACTTTGAAATTGTTTAACAGGTAACGAAAACTGAGTTTCAACATAGGACACAAAAGTAGAAAAATGATGAAACACTTCCGATTTAAGTCTCATAGGAAAAATCCACGAGAAATGAGTAAAATCATCAGTAAAAAGAACATATGGAAACCTGAAATGGAAACAACAAGAGACATCCAAACATCATAATGTATTAAGTGAAAGGGTTCACAAGAATAATGTTCATGAGACGAAAAGGAGAGACGAATTGATTTTGCTAAGGCACAATGGCTATAAGAATTATGAGATAATTTAAAATGAGAACCTAACAAGGACTTAGATACCAAATTGTCACATCCCGGGATCGGATCCGCCGTAGCACGATATTGTCTGCTTTAGGCCCCCTTCTTTGCCTTCACAGTTTTGTTTCTGGGAACTCATGCGCAACTTCCCAGTGGGTCACTCATCCTGGGATTGCTCTAGCCCCAACTCGCTTAACTTCGGAGTTCTCATGACTCTGAAACCAGTGAGCTCCCAAAAGGCCTCGTGCTAGATGGAGACGGGCATGTACATATAAGGCACATCACCCCTCTCCGTTGGTCAATGTGGGATATCACAATCCACGCCCCTTAGGGGTCCGACGTCCTCATTAGCACACTCGCACTACACGGCAAAGTGGCTCTGATACCATATAGAAACAAATTCTTTTCATATCGCAAATAAGCACTGTTACATGGGTTTTATACAGTCTATTAGTGGTGTAGGAGTTACAAAATATTTACAGCATAATTGTAACAGACAATTATGCAATTATAGACATTAACAACTATAACGGAAAACTGCATGATTGGCCTTTACTGTGAAGAATGTTGGGGCTGCCTAACACCCATGTACAGAAGGGCTATGGCTGTGGAGTGCAATGTTTAAGAGAACTGCTCTTGATGGAACTGAATACAACCTATTACTATTGGACACCGAAGGAATAGATGCCTTTGATCAGACGGTTGCCGTTCATTCCCTTACTTAACAACATATATTAGTATATGCTCCTTTTATAATTAGGGCTAAACCCTAAACCCTTTTTATAAATACATGTGTAGAATTGGGTTTATTTATAAATTTGTATAATAATTATGGTAATTTTCATTATCCATTGTATTGGTTCTGTAACCAAACCAATAAAGACTTTTTACGCTGATTGTAATACTTATGACTCACTTGTATCTGACAGGAAACATACAGCACACAGATATTTTCCTTAGCTCTTCTCTTATCTAGCATGTTTATTTACAACCAGGTTAGAAAACTTATGCTGAGACTTTGATCCTTCCTCTTTGAATATGCTCTATAGTTGCTTCTTCTTCATAATTTACTATCTTTTCTTTTAGATGGGTGTTATAGATGAAGCTTGCCAAGGGAAAAAGGAAACTTGGATGATGAGTTAGAGAGAATTCGTGTATCAGAGATGGGACCTTTTTCGAATATACCGGCTATACCTTTTAAATATTTGTATATATTTGAAGAGTCGTTCTCTCCCTCACCGTCTTCTTTTTCTACCTAATTAGCAAGTAAAAACTCACCGTCCTCGTTCTTCAAATATATTTATTTTTAAAATATTTGTATATATTTAAAGAGCCGTTCTCTCCCTCACTGTCAATAGATGGTTAAAGACTTTCTCTTTCTTTTCATTTCTCAACTCATATTTTGTAGCTGAAAAGATCATTTGAACATTAAATCCCTTCAAGTATCACGGCTGGGAACAGAGGAATTGTGTAATTTATTCAGTCAAAGAGGGAGAAAAAGTAAGAACAATTTTGTTATGACATTTGAAGAAAGCTTATAGTAAGTTGGCCCTGAAATGGCACCCTGATAAGAAGCCCACTAACACGAAATAAGCTCAGGTTGGTCTTGTCTTCACCCTTGTATATTTCTTTTGCTCTTCCACCTATTTTCTTTTGTTGTTCTTTTCTTTTCTTCAATCAAATCCCGCATGTTCATCCCTCTTTCATGATCTTTGTTTGATGGAATAAATGAAATAAATGGTAATGTGAATGGAATGCAATATATAGTACGAAATAGAATTCGTCCCAAAAGGAAAATGTACACCAATACAAATTGGGTCAAAGTTCAGGGACTAATAAAATCATTAACCCTTGAAAATTTTATGTTTTTAAGTTAGAGTTTGAGAGAGTTCGCTTGATTTAATAATTAAATGGTATTTTAGAAGTAATGGTGAGTGAAAAGATAAGATTGTGTTTTTTCAATTGGTGGGAAGATAGTGGGTAGGGAAATAGGACAGATGTGGAAATAACATCACTCTATTTTTTATAAAGATGAACCAATCATATTGAATTAAAAAATAACTAAACTAGAAAGTATGATTAGACTTCAAATTTTATAAAGAGTCCATAAAATAACTTTTTTTTTGTGTTTTTAGTTAAATTTTAACTGAAGGTAAATTACTCAAATGGTCCTCAATTTTATACATGATTTACATTTGGTCCCTCAATTAAATTATTCGTTCAAATGGTCCATCAACTCTATATTAATCGCTCTATTGATCCTACCGTTACATTATATTAATGTTGCTGTCAAATGTATGGGTAAAACCGTCCATAACCGTCCTATGTTCCCCAAATAGGTGATAAGTGGTGATACATAAGTAATATAGTGGTGATACGTAAGTGATACAGTGGTGATACATAATGATATAGTGGTGATAAAGGGGTGATACATAGGTCAAAAGTCTTATTTACCCCCACAAATATAGCATGTGGCTCACATGACTAAATTTAATAAAAAATGTAACGGTAGGACCAAAGTGTTGATTAATAAAGAGTTGGTAAACTATTTGAATAAATAATTTAATTTAAGGACCAAAATGTAAATCGAGTATAAATTTGAGGACAATTTGAGTAATTTATCCTTTTAATTGAAAAATAGGTGTAGGCTAATAAAAGCACCCTATCGGCAGTGTACCCGAACCCCAACCAATTGCGAATTTCTAACTGGCAGAGGATCATGATTCCCTTCCGTGGCCCATAATCTTTTACACAAAAATCAAAGCAAAGTCGTGTTGTTGTTGTGCAACAATATTTGTCCCGCCAATATTTATTACTTCTCTCAGTTGCCTTTCCTTTCATTTTCCGTCAGTTTCTTTATCTTCTCTTCATAGCCATATTTTTTTCAATTACTTAGTATTTTATTCTTTCCACGAGTTTGGACCAACAACCAATAATCTATTAATATAAAAGGTAGAAGCGAGAAAAGCCATTTGTTTATCGGGAGTCATCTCCAGTCGTAGTATTGATAAGCTTGATAGATGAACGGGGGGAAGATGGCTACAATTCAGCAGCTATATTTTGCGACTTTGCTGTTGCTTTTAGGGGCCATTTCCAGCTTTCACCCACAGGCTCGTGAACTCTAAGCCTTTTTCTTTTCCCTTTGCTTTCCGTGTTGTCCCCTTCCTTAGTTTTATTTGTTTCCTATCCGATCTCTTTTGTATTCTTAGTTTACCTTGAATCTTTTAACTGATTTCAATTTGCAGAGCTCCTTTCTTTCATTTTCTTGCTATTCTCAGTTTCCCTTTGAAATTATATGATGAATTCATGTTTACTGAGTCTGAGTCTCTGATTGATATGTCTTTTAAGGGCAATATGAAATGGGATTTAGTGCATCGGATCCAAAGTTGCTCTGTTTTGTTCAGTCTCAAACTGGGCCGATTGCGTAATTATGACCTGAGGTAGCGACTTGAATAACGTAATGATTCCCCTTTATGCACTCTTGCAAAACAATCCAATTACTGATCCTATGGAAACTAAGATTTCTCATATATATAGAGAGAGAGCTTCACTGAGCAATCCCTCAAATAAGCTTATTATGCATACTATGAGTAATACATAAAGATCAACTAACTGATGAAGTGAGAGAGTTGACAAAAACGTCAAATGCTATTCTTCATTGTAAATATACTAGCTACCATAGCATGTGGGCAAGGGATTTGATTTTTAGGGTAGAGCTTCCTAGAACCTCATATACTCAGTTGGGAAATGGAAATTCTCTTCCCTGCTGCTTGTGTGTGTTAATGTCTAAAATCAGTAGTTGAGGCCAATTTTATCTTCTTCTGTGTTTATGTCAATTGGTTGGATAACTTGTTTTCTCTACGTTCATTTTAGAAGTCATTATTGAACCTAATGTTTGCTGACCAGAAAGAAAACTAACGGTTGATCATCTCCACAGTTCATTGCAGCCAAACCAGTTACCAAGAGTGAGCTTAATTCTCGTATTCTTCAGGTATTCCCTTTTGCTTGCTGTATATGATCAGTAAGTCATTGCAATGGAAGTAGTTACGCACACATACACAGTGGGGAGGGAATAATAACTGAGAATTCCATTCCAATATTAATTGTGAAAGAATATAATATTATCCTTTTGACTTTTGTCATGGCCAAGCAGGACTCAATCATTAAGCAGATAAATGACAACCCCATGGCTGGATGGGAAGCTGCCATGAATCCCCGATTCTCCAATTACACTGTGAGTCTTCAACTGGAAGGGTCTTCTGTATGGTCAAGTTGAAAGGACTTTCCCGCTCTTTTATTGCCATACAAATGCATAAATCGGTTTTTCATATTACTCCTGGGTCCCAAGATTTCCTTTTCATTGCACAGGTTAGCCAGTTTATGCACCTTCTGGGAGTTAAACCAACACCCCGAAAGGATTTTCAGAGTTTTCCTATTTTAACTCATCCAAAATCTTTGAAGTTGCCAACTAATTTTGATGCAAGAACAGCTTGGCCTCAGTGCAACACAATTGGAAGAATTCTAGGTTACCTGCTACTTTTCATTTATATGTTGTTATTCAGTGTTTCTTTGATTTAAAAGACAGAAGGTGCTAATGCTTTCTCATTTTTATGTCAAATGCTGGATTAATTTCTTTAATGAAGATCAGGTAATAATTTTCACATACGTCTCCATGATATCTTGTCCAATAAATTAATTCCGGAAATTCATGGAAAGTTTGCTTTTTGGAAATATAGGGTCACTGTGGCTCTTGTTGGGCTTTTGCTGCTGTTGAAGCACTATCAGACCGTTTTTGCATCCATTTTGGCATGGTAACTGAAATTCATTGATAACAAATTCACTGTTTCTCATTCCATTAATGTAAATGTTCCTTTTATATATTGTGTTTTTTTTTATAAAAAAAATTTAATCCTCTATGCTTTATTGCAGAACATATCACTTTCTGTTAATGATCTCTTAGCGTGCTGTGGTTTCATGTGTGGAGATGGTTGTGATGGGGGGTATCCAATTTATGCTTGGCGATACTTTGTCCACCACGGTGTTGTCACTGAAGAGGTAGCTAGTTCTTGTTGTTAAGCATATTAACACAAATTCTCTCTCTCTCTCTCTCTCTCTCTCTCTCTTCATGCTGTTGTCACTGAAGAGGTACCAAGTCCTTGTTTAACTATATTAAACACAGCTTCTCTCTCTTTTTTATTGTGTGAATTTGGGCAGATTGGGGGAGGGGGGAGGAGGGCGCCAGTGATATCCAGAAAGAATAATAGAAAAAGGTTTTCAAACAAAAACATTGTTACCTTCGCATCTTAACCTTTACACAAAATCAAGTCTACCTTTAATGTTGAAAGGATATCTTAGTGCTCACCTTAGAATTGCAAGCCTTCTTGCAACATAAGAGTGACCCCAACCCTTGCCCCAAAAGCAGTCTTCCGCCATTGTTAGAATGATTTTCATAGCTCACCTTAGAATTTACAGTCTTTCTTGCAACATAGGAAAATTTGTTAGCTAACCCTACCCAGGGAGGTCAAAAGTACAGAAAACAAGAGAGGTCCCTGTATTTACCCAAAGCCTGTGGGTTCCATTGTTAGTCTCTCCATCAGTACCAATCTTAATCCTCACCGAAATGCAAAGTTTACCTTCAATGTTGGAATGATATCTAGTGCTTACCTTAGCACTGCAGGCCTTCTTGCAACTTAAGAACCATTTCCAACCCGGCCCTAAAAGCATAGTCTTCCTCCAATGGTAGAATGATTGTCAGTGCTCATGAATTGCAAGTATTTCTTTCAACTTAGGAATAATTTCTTTGTTCATTATCCTAACCAGGGAGCTCAATTTAATAACAAAAAATAAGAGAGATGTCCCTGTGTTTACCTAAACCCAATGGGTTTGTGTGTAAGTCTGTCCATTTTCTTCTGCGCTAGTACTGTTTCATATAAAATTTGAGGGTTTTTTTTTCGTTTGGTTCATAAAAATCATACCTTTTAAATACTGCATGAAGTCCTGACAAGTATTCCATCTGGCAGTGTGACCCATACTTCGATCCAACTGGCTGTTCACACCCTGGGTGTGAGCCCGCATATCCTACTCCAAAGTGTGTTAAAAAGTGTGCAGATAAAAACCAGCTATGGAAGAATTCAAAGCGTTATAGCATCAATGCATATAGAATCAATTCTGATTCCCACAGTATCATGGCAGAGGTTTATAGTAATGGACCAGTTGAGGTCGCCTTCACTGTTTACGAGGTAATTTCTTGTTTCATAATTGAATGTACTGCAACTTATGAGGATGTGGCTCTCTTCTTTTTCTTTTCTATTTGCAATGTATGAGAGACTATAAAATATTATTTGCCCTCTTCGCATGTTTATCTGTCTACGAGGAGTCCTAAACTGCTAATATATTGCTGGCCAGGCAAACTTGAAATCATCAAATTGCATTTTTAAGTATAGTCTCCCACAATTCTCATTCATATTAAAAAAAAATAATGGGTTTTGGGGAAGAGGAAGGGTGGTGGGTGTGGTATCACCTATATGGTTAAAGCTTTCTTCGTAGAGCCCTGAAATTCCTCTCTTTTCACTAGTTAGTGGTATATGTGAGCTGACCGTGACAATGTAATGAGCACCACAACTGTACTTACTTTCAGCGCAAGCAGATTCAAGCAACTACATTTAAACATGGTGTGATCACTTTGCATAAACAATTATATGCCCATTTTAAGAAGCCTTATCTTTGCTGTCAATTTCTTGAGCACCCTGTAACATAAACTTATTTAGGATAAACTCATACACGATCTGTTGTGCATATGTGATATCGCATATTAGTTGGTTTTTCTGTCAAATGACATGCAAAGTGCCAATCATATGTATTAGTAACTTTGATGAACAGTTGCAAGATAATGACATTTTAAACACAGAATAGACTTTGATCCATTTCTTATTTTGTTGTAACTATTTACAGGATTTTGCACACTATAAATCAGGAGTTTACAGACATATTAAAGGTGATGCATTGGGAGGTCATGCTGTTAAGCTAATTGGGTGGGGGACAACCAATGCTGGGGAGGACTATTGGGTATGTTGATACGCTGGTGTTTTGTGCAACCACAGAATTTTTCTGAGACTACTTGTTGACCATTTACTCTTGTGTTTCAGCTTCTCGCAAATCAGTGGAACAGAGGCTGGGGTGACGTATGTTTCCATTAATTATTATTTTTAAATAGTTAATAGAAAACATATGTTTGTGCCTTCTCATACCCTGAAGCACAAATTAATTCTGAATGGTATGCAGGATGGTTACTTCATGATCAAAAGAGGAACAAACGAGTGTGGAATGAAGAGGATGTGGTTGCTGGTTTGCCTTCATCGAAAAATTTTATAAGGGAAGTTGCGAGTGTGGATGCTGTTGTGGGTGATGTTTCAATTTGAGATGGATCTTTCTATATCTAGTATGAACCAACTACAAAGTGTGATAGTGTGAAACACTGTTATAAGTATTAGTATACCACTATTATAGTTGATACTGGTCTTGGTAGGGAGCGCTGTTTCATGTTATAAATAAATACATAAATGGGGCAGCAATGTGGACATCTCACAGCCATGCGTCCTTACATAATCTGTTGATCTCACAATATTTGTCCCTTGCTATTGCAAGGGTGTATGCAAACTGAGATTTGCTAGCTTGCGATGTGTATAATCTTTGCAACTAAATAGGTTGTGAGATTGTATTTTCCATTTAATGAATGAAAGAACCATCTTTTCTAGCTGGAAAGTAAAACTCAAATCTTTTGACCAACAAATGGAGAAATTATAGAATGATACTGTATTACCAACAAATGGTTGTTGGTCTTAATTAATGAATTAATTTGTTCCAAGTGCTCGACAGGTATTCGCGAACTACTCAACCAGTCGTGGCATACAAACTTAAGAAATGCTAGAAAGCAGATTATGAATAGCGCCTCCACGAATATTTGGCGGGATGTTTGGCTCCTCATGTTGGTGTTATCGTGGTGATTTTCTCATTATTAACAGAATTAGTAAAAGAGATATAGGCTGTAATCAACCATTACAATAATTACACGTGTAATGAAGAGTAACTAAAGCTAAACATAATCTGTTATGTAACTACTAATCTTGTCCACTGGACTAAACATGTCTAATGGTTGATATTGTCCCAATCAACATCATCGAAACCTTGCAATTGAAGAGATCCGAGAGTAAACGGAAGACCTTGATTGTGGGTGGGTTGCTACATGCAATATCGCGGAAAATTCACTGACTTTATCCTTAGACGAATGAGAAATCCTAACAAGTTTTCGTGGATAAACCAATGAAAGAATTAGGGTCAAAATCTGTCCAACAACAACCACAAACTAATTTCAACCTTCCTGGGTGAGGGGCCTCGCATCTCATCATCCCCTCATCTCTGAAGGCTTCGGGAATGTAGCATGTACATGACATGATCGACTCTCCCTTGGTGCAAGCCAACAATGAAAAAGGAAAGGAAAATAGAGAGCCGTTTCTTTTTTAAAATCTTAAACGTAAGCCATACCCATACATGGTCTGTTTAGGAAATGAAATGAGAAAAATAAAATAAATACATGTATAAAGAGAAAAAGGAAAATAAATAAATTATATAAATTATATATATATATTATTTGGGTTGGGAAAGGAAATTAATCAATTATCACAAGGAAAAAACACGCTTTTCACGTTTTGTGTCAGGACTCAGGATCGAGGTGGAGGAGGGGCCTCGGCGACTCTTTGCCCCACTTCACTGACGCACAGAACAGAAGGCTTTATTAGAAGAACATCGTCATCCCTGAACCCTCGCACAAAGGCACAAAGGCACAAAGGCAAAAAGGGCTTTTGCGTTAGTAAAGAGAGAAAGATAGATAAATATTAATTGGCAGTGGAATGGATGAGATGAGAATTGAGAATTAGAGGTAATTAAGAATCCAGCTCTTATCCTACCCTAGTATCAGATTTCTTTGGTTTTTGGGTTTTCTTCCTTTTTTCTCAATTTCTTTCCAATATAGATAACTCATATCCAATCACACCGTTATCATCTCCCTTGCTTGCCCTTGCTCTGGGTGTGGTCCAGTGGTGTGGTGTGACGAGGGCAATTTTTCACCGAGACTAACAGATTACTATAGTTTTTAATCAATCACAGTACAGTCCTATAGATGAGAGAGAGAGATTTTTTTATATAGAGAACATCGGTTGCTTGCGTGTTTTGAGACTTGAGTAGAGCGGAATTATCTATATATATATTATATATGTGATACACACGACTAGAGCAAAATAAATATAAATGGCCATGTCGATAACCCAGGAGCCGGAGCAGGTGATGAAGCCTAAAGAGGAGGACAGTATTGGGCAAGAAGACCATTCTCAAGAGCGACCACTTCCAGGCTGCCAGAACAAACGGCTTGCTCCCCAGATCATGGCGCTCCCATTACCGTCAGGTAGTACTGTGGCTCTTTTCTTTCTTCTGACATGCTCCCTCATATTCATTCTTTTCCTCTTGTTGTGTTGCCACCTTTTCTCTTGCCACTTGACATGCCTGCTTTTTTTTACACTTCATTATCAGTAACACATCCCGTGCAAAGTTAACCAATATTAGCAAAACCTATTAAGGTTGGCGTTTTCGGTGCGTGTCTATTACTTTTGCTATGATTTTATTTCATACATTTAGCGAACACAGTTTTGTTGAGTTTGGACCAGTGAAGGGGATACCATCTAGGGTTGCTTTCTTAGTGAACCAATTAAAACTTTTCACTTGACCTCCCTATAGACCACTCGTCAGACCTTTGTATCAATCTCCATGTCCTGGTAGTTTAATATCCCTCCTTAATCTATTGGTTTCACCTATTTTCCAGTTGCGCCCATCTTATAGGCCTATTTGTTAAGATCGCAACGTGAGCTTTTTCTACCATGGACAAAAGTACTGTAAAATCCACTACTCACACATCACTTTCCCAAGCTTCAGTATCTCACATCCGTGTGCTGGTTTTAATAGGCTGACTCTCCGCTAAATGGTACACCGGGCTTGCCCCCTTTTCACATTCAAACAGCTCCCGATGGATCATAGGAATGTCCGTAATCTCTATGTGATAGCTCAACCAATTGATGGGCCATTTTTAGCGAAAACAAGTTCTTTGGATTCCCTCCGCGAGGAGCCGCGGTTAGTTATTATTTAGGTATATACATGCTCTTTCCGACCTGTACTATTGCACCTTTCATCCTTCCTTCTATTTACTGTAAATTTTCTGCCCCTTTCACAATTGGCCTCGTTCCTATAAATTCTAGCATGCCTATTTAAGTTGTACAGGTCTATTGGTCTTCCTCCTGGATATGTCAATAATAGAAAATTTTAATATTCTCCGTATCCAAAACAGCATTGCTACTATTTAGAGGGAAGGGGCCCTGGCAAGTCAGGAATCTCAAACACTGCTGTAGCCCCAGTTTGGAACTAGATGCAATTTGGGATTAATTGAAATTTATTGTATAAACCAACAAGACAACCTAAGCTATAAATTACATGCAGAGCTATTAACAATCAAAAGCTGAGTAGTTCACTGCTAGTTTTATGATGATATCGTGCCTAACATCACCATGAGTTGTGAGTCCAGTGGTTTGGGACTAGTTGGGCCCCGATGTGGTCAGGGGTTCGCGCCCTCAACAAGTACCTATCAGCAATTTGCTTGTGTTTTCTGCCCCCAACGATTGAGAGTTTGCGTGGGCCCCCCAGTTTGGAAGCTGCAATCGCAAAGCTGACAGTGGAGTTTTGGGTTTCAAAAGAAAATAAAATGGTGCCTAACTGATGTAGCACCGCCCCTAGGGGTAGGATAAACACTCGAAACAGTAGAACCAGAAAATATAGGGGGCCAGTGAGACGAACAGAAGATGGAAGGGATGACAGACAGGACAGAATTCAGAGAACCGAAGAAAAGACAAGAACTCGAGAGTTTTTAAGCGAGGGTTTCTTTCCATATCCAAATCTTGATTTTAAGGAACTACATTGGGGTATTTAGCCAACTAAACACTAGAGCTAATGGATAAAACCCCCTGTGTACACAGAAAGCCTAACCAAATCAAATAGGCACTTAGAAATCCTACAGAATTTGGAAAACTAGAGAAATCGAGGAGCTAATCAATTTTAGGTCCTATGGCATTCTGCCTCACTAGCAATCAAGTATAGCACTTAACGTGCATCCTCTCTCACTGAATTCTCCTTTTATATCCTGTTGCCCATTTATGCCAATTGGTGTGTTCTGGCTGTTTGTTGGTTTTTTTCCTGCCATGGATGGGGTGTCCATACAAAATGGACTGATGATACTTAGCTAGTTTTGGTAGACCGTGCATTCCTCCCTCCGCATGATTCTTATGCGGTGGGCAATCCTTGAAGAAAGAATGTGGAGAGACGTGTAAGAGGTACAAGCTTGGGGTTAATGGTTGATTTGGACTTTTTACCGGAATTTCTTGAGCAATGGCGAATTTACGTTTTAGGTTTGTTGTGGAGGATGGTTTGGTATGGAGAAATTTTTAGGACTTGAATCCGGGATTTTGTTGAAATTTTTTTTTGGGGCTAAAAGGATGTTCTATAATTTTGAAGTATGTCTGGGAACTGGGTTAAAGCAGTAGATTATCAGGAAAGGGTCTGGCCTGCGGTCACTCACATAGATCCCTCCAGTGCTAGTTCCTTTTGACAATGTTCAGCTGACAAGGTTAAACAAGGTCAGAACTGTAAGGGCATTATTCAATGACGTCTTATTTATGCTGCAGTATTCACAGTTGTTTCGAGCCATTATAGCTCTAATATGTTGTTGTTTTGTTTTTTGTTGACATTTGACAATAGTGGTGGAGAGCTACATAAGTGATCTTTAGATTTTAAACCCCAATTGGCATTAAGGTGAGCCCAGTGGTGTAGGGGGTGGGGAACCGGGTTATATTAGGTAGGTCAAGCGTGTCCATCCGTCCAGGTAAAAAAAAGGCATTGGACTAAGCAGAAGCATACCGAAGACTAGATAATTTTATTATATATATTTTTTTTTTTTTTTTTTTTTTTTTTTTTTTTTTTTTTTTTTTTTTTTTTTTTTTTTTTTTTTTTTTTTTTTTTTTTTTTTTTTTTTTTTTTTTTTTTTTTTTTTTTTTTTTTTTTTTTTTTTTTTTTTTTTTTTTTTTTTTTTTTTTTTTTTTTTTTTTTTTTTTTTTTTTTTTTTTTTTTTTTTTTTTTTTTTTTTTTTTTTTTTTTTTTTTTTTTTTTTTTTTTTTTTTTTTTTTTTTTTTTTTTTTTTTTTTTTTTTTTTTTTTTTTTTTTTTTTTTTTTTTTTTTTTTTTTTTTTTTTTTTTTTTTTTTTTTTTTTTTTTTTTTTTTTTTTTTTTTTTTTTTTTTTTTTTTTTTTTTTTTTTTTTTTTTTTTTTTTTTTTTTTAAAAATTCAGTTAGCCAAACATTCCTAATGGTTTCCAAAATTAAAGTTTCTTATTAAAATTCCTTTATCCTTCAAATCCTTTAAGCAAACCAGAAACAATCCTTATGGCATTAGAAGAATTGTAAGTTATATATATAAGATACCAAAAAAATAAGAAACCGAGCTCCCATATCATAGCCTTAATAGTAATGTAACTTTTTCTTCTTTTATCTTTTCTTTTACAAGCATAAAATCATGTCTGAAAGCTTAGTAACGATCACAACCTTAGGACATCCATATTAACTTTAATTTTTAATACCTTCAAGTTCCTTTATGAAAAATATGAACATGTTAACTAGACATACTTGTTCTATATATGTTCATACAAAAAAATAATCTTAACCATATTAATACTGTAAAATATACCAAAACCAAAATAACTCAAAACTGCAATTAACCTCAGGCTATGGCTTCACTTCGAATTTCTTAATTTGATGCATACTTTAAATTTCAACTAAATAGCTAGAAAACCAAAACAAAACAGTGGAAAACTGTTGTAAATAAAACTTCACGAGCATGCGAAAATGTGCTGTAATTAACTTTAGGCTATATCTCAACCGTCTGGTGAGTAAAACTTTATGATCTTACAAACTAGGGCAGTGGCTCAACTTGAAAAACTTTTGGTGAATGAAACTTAATGAGCTTGTAAAATAGGGCAGTGAGTGTGAAGTCCAAAAACCATACATCATTTCTCCCACTTGGACAAACACTCACTACTTGGTTACTCTTGAAATGAATACACCAAAACCTTATAACTTTAAAACATGATAGTTATTAATTAGTATACGTTGATAAGATAATATCATACGACTTTTAAGATGTACTGCTTTAAATAATTCACACAATTTCTTTATTAGTTTGACTAACCTCAAATTACTTAGAATCAAACTAGAGACATAAAGCTTCACATAACAGAAATTTAGAGTCTTTTTATGTCTATTTAATGGTCTAAAATAACCTACAAACTTAACTTCATAAAACCTGCCAGCACAAAACTTTTCCAGAACAAAGGTTACTTAAAAATTTTTTTTTTTTTTTTTTTTTTTTTTTTTTTTTTTTTTTTTTTTTTTTTTTTTTTTTTTTTTTTTTTTTTTTTTTTTTTTTTTTTTTTTTTTTTTTTTTTTTTTTTTTTTTTTTTTTTTTTTTTTTTTTTTTTTTTTTTTTTTTTTTTTTTTTTTTTTTTTTTTTTTTTTTTTTTTTTTTTTTTTTTTTTTTTTTTTTTTTTTTTTTTTTTTTTTTTTTTTTTTTTTTTTTTTTTTTTTTTTTTTTTTTTTTTTTTTTTTTTTTTTTTTTTTTTTTTTTTTTTTTTTTTTTTTTTTTTTTTTTTTTTTTTTTTTTTTTTTTTTTTTTTTTTTTTTTTTTTTTTTTTTTTTTTTTTTTTTTTTTTTTTTTTTTTTTTTTTTTTTTTTTTTCCCCGTGGGCAGGAAAGTCACAAAAGGTAGAAACAACCAAATCTACAAGGGTAATTCGAGTGAAGCTGACACCTCGAGGTGTGACATCCCCAAAAGTCGAAGAAATCTCGACCGCAAAGGCTCCCAAGCCAAGAATAGTTTTTCAAGACTTCAAAAAGGAGCCTAGTGAAAAAAACACAAGCTCATTGAAACAAACAATGGAGTCATTGATGACGGCAAGTTACATTCATCCTCTTCGTAAGATCAATCAGTCTATCCCCAGGGGGCAGTTTGGTCATTTCGACTACTTTTGGCAAAAATGATGGCCCAGAGTAAACGTGTAGCTTTTTCATAAAAAGGCATCCTTGTCAGAAACAACATCTGCTCCATTAAAGATAAAGCTTACAGGCCGTAAAGCAAAGAAAAGCAATGATGGCCTCACAGTCCAAAATGAGAGTGGTGTGCTCAAAGTGTCTCTTCGAAGGCTACATCCAAAAGCTTCTGATCCTGAGATACTTACTAATATGGAACAAGCCATGTTTAGAGAAGATGAGTGAATATAAAGCCACTTCGCATCTCTGTGTTCAAACGACTAGGGGGTAGACAGCCACCTCGCGTCTCGGTCTTTCAACGCTTGGAGAACCCTTTCAGTTCCCAACAAGTTTAAAGTCCATAATAAAAGGAAATGGAAAGTTAAGAGTCAAGAAAAGCTGTGACCGAAACAGTCAAAAGGGTGAAAATAAAGGATGATCTCGTCCAAGTCAATTGCGCCTCTTTCGAAGAAATTGTGGACCAAGATGATAATCCTCAAGACATCGAGGAATTCATTGATATAATCCCACCAGCTCCACCACAAATGGAGGAGGGAGGTCACCCACCATTGATGATCTGCAAGAAATTAATCTTGGTACAGCTGAAAACCCAAAAGGGCGGCCCAAAGTGTGGTATTAAAACCCGAAAGGGCAGCCCAAGCAAAGAACTACGTTGACTTGATCCCTCAAAAGGGGTACGTAGGCAGTCTAGTCCCTAAGAAGCTAGATTCAGTCACAAGTCCCAAAATCCTCTTCATTACCTCAATTCAAGGAGAGTGAACTACGTTTGGCTTGATCCCTTCATAGGGTACGTATGCAATCTAGTTTCACTGCTAGATGCAGCCATAAAACACACTTCCTCCCTGAAAATCTTGGAGTGAACTACGTTTGGCTTGATCCCTTCACAAGGTACGTAGGCAATCTAGTTTCACACCTAGATGCAGCCATAAATCACCAAAGCATTCCTCTAATTGTGTTTGGCATGAGGTGAAATTGAGTTGCCAAAATAAAATATTATGTGCAACTTGTCGAAACTAAATAAATGTTTCGTCAACTTTATTATCCTTGAAGAAAATGATTACAAAAAAAAAGGTCCAAAAGACGTCAATTACAAAAAGACGATGCTCTATTAGGACTTATTACAAAAGGGAACCAAGGAAGCAATCAATTTTTGGATTTCCACTTCCTGTGACTTGCAAGAGGCCTCAATACGCTCAATTTCGAGAAGCTCTTTTTCACCGATACGTGACTGGCGAAGCTCTTCATCCAACTTGTTTAGTTTCTCCAAGGAAATTTTGGCATCTCTGATCTGATTATTAAGAGAAAGCTTTCGTGAATTATGTTGTTCTCGAAGTAAACGAGCTCGTTCCTCTGCCTCTTTAACAACAAACTCCTTAGCATCTAAGTCTTCAAGGTCTCGAGTAAAATTCGTAAGTCTGAGTCAACTACCCTTTTTGGAGTTTAGACAATCATCATGACGACGAATGAGATCGCGAGCCCGAGTACCTTGTTCAACAATTCTGGCGTTCTCAAAATTTGCAAAGCACGGCAGAAAATTTGGTCAATTGTGTTAATAAACCATTCAAGCTCAGTTTTGCCAAAATCAAGAATGTCCATCATTGACCGCAAGACATTGAACACTGACTTCATTCCTTCATGATGAGCAAGTATCTCTTCAGACGACTTAGAAGAATGAAGTTTATCAAAAATGCCTTGCACTTCACCAATAATATATACATGCCTGAAATTCTTCGCCTCTGAGCCAAAAATATCAAAGATTGATTTTTTGCAGTCTTCCAATGACGACATGTCATTAGCTAATGGGGAAATGACGTTAACACCACAAGGTGGAGACCTAGCCAATTCTTGTGCCATAGAATTGTCATTTGGAGGACTCAGTAAGTCTGAATTTGCTTCAAAGTTGGAGTTGTCAGGAACCACATCTTTTGTAGCCTTGGCTCTCTCAGGACCTATGCTCAAAGAACCATCGGATTTTGGATAACGAATCCGCTTAAAATTTACATCTTGACTGCTTCCAGATGACGAGAAAGTGGCTTCATTTTTTCTACCTGCCCTTTCCTTCCGCCTCTTCCCAGGACGGGAAATTTCGGTTTGTCGATTCACACTAATGGATGAGTTTCTTGCTTCCACCTCAGAAATCAAGACTTCCTTTGGTAAGCCAGTGGAAACTTCCTTCAAATTGGATATCACATAAATCGGTTTCTCTTTGAGAGGACGTTTGGACAGGTTTACATAAACAGTTGACACAGACAAACCCAAGTATGATGCAGTATAACCCATCCACCACCGGCAGTACCAGTACGTACATTGCCCCATACGAGTAGAACGCGGGATGAAGAAAAGCACTGAAGTGTTTTCCTTAGAAGTGAAGTTTGAGCTTTGAACAAATCCTCAACATTACAATGACTTCTCTTGGAGATACCAAAGCTAAGTTTATCAGAAGGAACACCTTGATCAAAGCCAAATTGGCGAGCGAATCTATTTGGGTGATAGGGCTCCAGCCAAAGTTTGTTATCAACCCTTATAGGAAGTTTGGATGTACGCATACAAACTAACATCTCAAACCGGCCATCTGACAGTTTTTCATCATCCATAAAGGTAAGACCATCCTGCTCATCAAAAGCACTGGGACGATATCGCATGGAGATGTCACTTCTAAAAATAACTCTGGCCTTCGAATATCCATATCGCTAGCAGCAATACCAGCATACCTAGTTTAAATGAGGATAACTAGCTGGAAATTCGATATCATTATGGCATCTATACAAACAGGGAAAATACTCACCCATCCACCCAATGATGTAATGAATCGGAAAACAAGCTAAAGAAGTACTGGGACCTCTCGGACAGGTGACAGTTTCCCCAAGGCCATGATATATATAGCCCAACACAGTTGGTGCAATAGAAACTTTTACTCCTCGAGCCATCAAACTAGCCATGTAAAAAGTTTCCGGCCTTATCCGAGAGCCTCTTGACGGCAGTGCAAATCTACTAAGAAAGAATGCTAAGAAAGCAGTTAATCTCCCTTCTGTTGATATCTCCAGATTTAATTTTTGAGCCATCAGATTTTCTCTTGGTCTCAAGATGTTTCCTTCTCCAAAGGTTCCATAAATTATTTTCCCTCTGAAAAAATGTGCAACCCACTGGTCCCAGAATACACATTTTTGATCATAAAGTGAACAGAGCTGAGAATAAATTAAAAGAAGCTCCCGGATGGTTGGCGGATACATTGCTTCATGATGCAAATCTCGATTTGGAGGTATAATTCCTCATAAGGAACTCCTAAAATGGGTAACCCCCAATAATCTTCAGGTCATACAACGATATTCCCATTTCGCCATTTCCTTGGTGCAAAGTGTTGGTCAAAGGCCCCCACAACTCCAGAAAGGCTTTCCAGACATTTAACGAATACATATAAGGATAGCGGGAAACCGCTACAGCACCATAAATTTCAGCACGAATAATTCCTCTTTGAAGTCTCGTAAAATGGCCTCAGTCCATTCTAAGATGCCCAGGACGAAACTCTGCCAAACCGCGAATGCTTAGCTCACGTCCCCAATCTGTTTTGTTTTTGAGCATTTTACATAAAATAGGAGGAAAATCGTTTCTATGGCCAACTTCAATGTCACCATCAGTATTATTGTTGACCTCCATCAAAGTGCAAGCTTCAAACTTTGAACCGTGAACTCGACAAACTTTAAGAATTCCATCATCAGGAATAAATTCACAATATCCAGAGTTCACATTCTCAGTGGTAAACCAAGTGACTTTATCCCCTGGAGGTACATCAATCTGAACTGAGTTCAAAGGCATAGACCTATCATATTCTTGACCAATTGGAAGCCCTTTCTTATCAAGCACTCGTTGGACGTATAATTGACCATTTGCATCCATACCTGAAAATTTTGCAATATGTGTTAGTCCAAGGCTATAAATTTTTGTCAAGCCTCGTACGCGTAAAGGAAGTTACACGAACGATGCTTGAGGGGGCATCTGTTGAAATAAAAAAATTCATTGACAGCAAATTAAATATTGGCCAAGTTTAAAGAAGTCGGGCCCATAGCTAAAAATGATTCTGTGGACTTGTTACTAAATTGGTTTAGGCCCAAATGAATTAATATTGATATTTTTTACAAGGAAATATTAATATATTGAAAGCAGAAACAGTTTCATGTACGTGACTGTGAAGTGTGGAGTTGAGGGGGTGACTGTAATGGGAAGTTACTCCCACCCACACAGTACGTGAGGCCTTAACTGATCCCACTCTGTCAGTTCCTCTGGGTCTATAAAAAGGGACCAAAGAGAGGCAGAAGGAAAAAAAGGAAAAGACACCGAACTGCTGCAGAAATCCAAAGAACACGGCTGCAGAAATCCAAAGAACAGAAACAAGCAAAAGAGATACGAAGCTCTGTCACAATATCATTGAGAAGGTATAAACAAATTCATTTGAGTATCCTTTTATGTACAACTGACTTACAGGTAAAGCAAAAAATGCATGTGAAGCCATTGTACGGAAGCCTGAACTTCCTCCATGTTTGATATCAAGAAATGTATCATATCAACAAAGACCTCAGCAGTGGAAAAACATGAACAAATCCTCCCAAATTGGCAATAATTGTGCCACTTACACAAAGAGAGCTCTCACAAGGACCTCTCTGTTGTGAATTACAGATGGGCTTCCGCAAGAACCCCACTGTACAAGTGCTGTGAACACCTTGTGACGGAAGCCTGAACTTCCTCCATGTTTGATATCAAGAAGTGTATCATATCAACAGAGACCTCAGCAGTGGAAAAATGTGAACAAATCCTCCCAAATTGGCAATAATTGTGCTACTTACACAAAGAGAGCTCTCACAAGGACCTCTCTGTTGTGAATTACAGATGGGCTTCCGCAAGAACCCCACTGTACAAGTGCTGTGAACACCTTGTGAGTGTCCACAGGCACATTGTGGTACTCAAAGAAGACCTTGCGAGTGTTCTTGAGTACCAAAAACAGAAAACATCAAAATCCCAACTGCTTTGTGCCCAACCCACCTTCAGCACAACGAAATTCCAAGTCTGCAAATTGGAAGACAAAAAGATGGCGAAGCGTGCTGCAAATGGAGAAATCAACAATCCTGTTTTAGTCTCACAGATTGGCATAAACAGAAGAAAACATATTAAAGGAGATGCAGAAATTACTGAGTGACAGAAAGCTTACAAAAGCTGATGATTCACACCCACGTTCTGTGCTTCAAAGTTTGCCAACAAGGAAAAAATCCCAAGTCGGACAGCCCACGAAAATTATCAAGCCAACACTCCTCTGTAGCAAAATGCAAATATCATAAAAGCTTCTCACTTTGTTGCTGGCAAAACATGAAGCAACTGAGACAAAGCAAAGCCAACACCTCAATTGGCAGTACGGTGGCCCTCTCAAATGATACGAGTCTGCAAAGGAAAATATGCAAAGCCTTAGAAATTCCAATCAAATTGGAAAGAAAAGGATGCACAAAGCATCAGCAAGCAAAAAAAAAGCAAAAGGAAGAATGGCTCACCAAGAAGCCTCCTGTGTTGCGGCTGTTGAAGAACCCGAAGGCAACATAAGCCAAGAAAAAGGGAAGCCTTCCTGTCAAGTCAATACAGAACCAAAGATGAATATTTTTTTTATCCGAAGGACTCTAAACACATAATGGATAAAGACAAAACCCATTTTGGTGGAAGTCTGCCACAAGTACATAGGAAACAACAAAAAGCCAAAAAAAGGTCAAGCATGGATTCATGGCTGAACTTTAAGATTAAAACATGGGAGAAGCTTCAGCCATGAAGTTGGTACTGCCAAACTCAACAAAATATACAAATAGCTCTTTGGCTTGTGCGTGTTGTGTTAGGCAAAGAAACCCAATTCGTGTTGCACATAAGGAAAAGAAAGAAGAAATGGCTTACAGGACCTACTCTAAAATAAAGGGGAGTTGAGGTTATGTTATTGTGTCAGAACAAAAAAAAGAGTTGGGAAGGGCATGGAGAGACCAGCAAAAGCAAGGAAGATGAAAAGAAACAAAAAAGACAAGGGAGAAGAAAAGCACAAAAAACAAAGGAAAGGAAAAAGTAGCAAAACAAAGTTCTGTACAACAAACGTGGCTTCTCAAAATTCCAAGACTTTCAATTAGTAGTTTAATAGGCTATAATGGTCTACTCTGACAGACATGACTAAAGGAAAGGATTTACCTTGGTTTTGGCGTTTCAAACCCAGAGCTCCGTGGTGATTGTGACAGATGAGTAGCTGAAGAGAGATATATATAATTTGGTCCAGTTTGAATCAATTTGAATTATTCCAGATAAAGATGGGAGTAATTCAGTTTGGATTAATCTCTACTACTCCGAATAGATATCGGTTTCAAAATTCAACTGATTCTCAAAGCTTTTCTGACATGGATTCTTTGTTTATGGGCTGACTAATATAAATGTTAAGGCCCGAAAACAAATTGATGGGTTGACAAAACAAATTACCCATTAACTTTCAAAGCCCAAAATATTTATTGGGTGGTCCAAATAAATTATGTGGTTAATGGATTAATTTTTTAAATCCTCAAAATCATATGTGAGTAAATTAATTGGCTCATCAAAATGCCTTTTAATTTTCTTTGGACTTTAACAATAAAAATGGTACAAAACCATTCCACATTTTCTCATGGGTCATCTACCCTGCAAATTTTCAATGAGATCAAAATTCAAATTTCTCAAACATAAAATTCTTTCAAAGGGTCATTTACCCTTTGAAGGTCCAAAAACTTTGGAACTACGTTGGTTTGATCCCATCAAGGGTACGTAGGCAGTCTAACATCCCAATAGACGCAACCGCAACTAAATTTGAATCCCTGGTTTTATCCTAACCAAATTTGTCCACACTCATCCATTAATTTCCAGTTTTTCTCGTGAGTCATCTACTCATGAAAATTCCAATGAGATTAAATTCAAATATCTCGAACACAAATTCTCAATTAGTGGGCCACACTTACCCATTAATTTTCAATTTTTCCCATAGGTCATCTACCTATGAAAATCCCCAAATTATCTCAAAGATACAAATTCTAAATTATTGGGTCACACTTACCCATTAATTTCTAATTTTTTCTCATGGGTCATCTACTCATGAAATTCTAATGAGATTAAATTCAAATATCTCAAACACAAATTCTAAATTATTGGGCCACACTTACCCATTAATTTCCAATAGGTCATCTACCTATGAAAATCTTCAAATTGTTTCAAAGACACCAACTCTAAATTATTGGGCCACACTTGCCTATTAATCTCCAAATCCATTTGGAACTACGTTGGTTTGATCCCATCAAGGGTACGTAGGCAGTCTAGCATCCCAATAGACGCAACCGCAACCAAATTCTCACTAATCAAATCTCAACACAAATCCATTTGGAACTACGTTGGTTTGATCCCATCAAGGGTACGTAGGCAGTCTAACATCCCAATAGACGCAACCGCAACTAAATTTGAATCCCTGGTTTTATCCTAACCAAATTTGTCACACTTACCCATTAATTTCTAATTTTTTCTCGTGGGTCATCTACTCATGAAAATTCTAATGAGATTCAAATATCTCAAACACAAATTCTAAATTATTGGGCCACACTTACCCATTAATTTCCAATAGGTCATCTACCTATGAAAATCTTCAAATTGTTTCAAAGACACCAACTCTAAATTATTGGGCCACACTTGCCTATTAATCTCCAAACTTTGGAACTACGTCGGTTTGATCCCATCAAGGGTACGTAGGCAGTCTAACATCCCAATAGACACAACCGCAACCAAATTTGAATCACTGGTTACCACAACCAAATTCTCACCAATCAAATCTCCACACAAATCAATTCTGAACTACGTTGGTTTGATCCCTTTGAAAGGGTACGTAGGCAATCTAGAGATTCAATCTAGATGCAACCATCCCAAATACAACTCCATATCGAATCCCTGGCTTATTCAGTCAAATTCACTCAAACACTCCTCAATTAAATTCATTCAAATTCCCCCTTTTTGCAATGAGTCATCTATTCATTGCAAATCTTTGAACTACGAGTGGCTTGATTCCTGTAAAGGATACGTAGGCACCCTGAGGTTGAACTTGGGAGCAGCCGCAAAACCAAACACATACATTCTGTTTCTTTATGATGGAATCAAAGGGTTTTCCCTTATAGCAAGGGATTGTAATTAAGAGACTTGCGTCTCGAATGGGTCGAACCTAAAATAATAAAACCCCATTAATTAATTAGTGGTGGTGAAATTATGTTTGGAGGTTTACAGTTTTATATCTAACAATGACTAAGTTCTGTTTCCCATGATGCATCTAAGAAAAGAAAAATAGACTCTGAGGCATTTGCTTTTGTTGGTTGATTGATTGAGCAAAATGGTGCTTGTAATGCTGCTCCATGGGTTGTTGTCTCCATCAGAATTGGAAAGAGCAAGCAAACGGGTTGTCGCCGATTCCATCATAGAAAATTCCACCGAACTCATCATCACTACCAAGACCAGCCTGTGGCTGGTCCTTTGTTTCTTCTCCGTCAGTACTCTCATCCTCCGAGAAGTTTGAGTTCTTCTGAACCAACTCTCTGAATATTGATGATTGAAGGACGAGGCCAAGTGCAGTGGGAGACGATGACTTGCTACCGGTGTTAAGAGGGATGCTGCTACCGATGACTTCTTGTTTTCCTTGCGGGAGGCAAAAGGATTTGTGTGTGAGAAACACTCCTCTGTTGGGATGTAGCTGTTGGCCAATGGCATATTCTGAGGCTCTGCGACTGTCTCTGGTTCTTGAGTGGCTATTGGATCGTCTGCTCTTGGCTTTAGCCATCTTATGTCAGAGCCCAAGTCAAAGTTAGTCACAGCATTGATCCCTCTGTACTCAATTGCTGCAATGTCATAGCCACGAGCTGCTTCCTCTTGGGCGCCTGAAATGAGATTAAAAAGACACATTGCTCAGCAAGTGCAAATTCTCATCACTATAGTTTTCAACTTTCTCTTTTATGACAGTTTATATTGCAGCTAGTTTTTGGATAATGTTTCCAAAAACTTCTTCCTATTCTTGCTTCCCGTCGACCATTATCATGGCACCTACAATGGTAGTGTGTAAAGGTGGATGCATGCTAAATTTAAACCTATTGTCACAGGAAGTTGCTGCGAGGATATAATGTATAGCCGTGCGGCTACACTATTTTGTAAAACATTAATCAACAGAGTATAGCCGCGCGGCTATATTAATTTATAACGTTAAAAAAGGTAGTGCTTAAGTACCCGCGTGTCAAAAGAGTATAGCCGCACGGCTATACTATTAAAAAAAAAAAAAAAAAAAAAAAAAAAAAAGACGGATTCTGGGTACGGTTTAAAACAAATTTTAAAAAACTGAGTATAGCCATTCTGCAATACGATTTTTTAATAGAAAAAATGGCTCCCAGCGATTAGGCGCCACGTGTCAAAACATGCCTACTTTCTAAAAAAATAAAAAACACAAAGTATAGCTGTGCGGGTACTATTTTTTTTTAAAGATGACCCTCCAGAGATTAGGTCCCACGTGTCAAAAATTAGTATAGCAGCCTAGCCCTACCTTTTTTATAAAAAAATCTTAGTATATCCGCACGGCGATACTATTTAATTAGGCGGAGCCACAAGCATGGGAAACACAGGTGGACCTCTTCCTCTGTTCTTGTTTCAAGGACTCGCCTAAAGTCAAATTTTTATTTTTCACAAAATATTCAGAATTCAGAAAAACAAATACAAAATCATAAAATTCATGAGCAAAAGATTATGAGAAAACTGTCGAGATCAGAAATTTGGCTTACATTGCCATAAGAGTGATTGAAACGTTTCCCAAGTTTTTTATTAATAAAATTATGAATCGAAATCAAATTCAAAGCCGACCCTATCAAGTCCATTAGCCACACTTACCAAAGCATCATGGTGCTTTGTTTATAAACACATTTATAGGAGTGCGGATTATTGATGTGAGATTTTCTCAAAGGGCACCTCAAAGGATAAACCTACAGAAAAATCCAGCACGTCAAAGGATAATTATTTTCATTTTGAGTTTGTAGAAGCAAGGTGTTAAAATGGATAACAGATCAGTGATAATGGTCTGTAAAGGCAATAAGGAAGCTCAACCTGCGGAGAATTGCTCAAGCTTTGTAGACAGATGGAGGTATGGCAATGGGTAATGTGTCTGCTATAATTGTGTGACACCTTGATGAGTTTTAAAAGTTTCATGGTGGGTATTTATTTGAAATAGTTGGTGTGCACCTGAAAGTGCTCAGCCGAAGGTAAAGTAATATTCTGGTGTTGGTTGTTTCTTGTGTAATTTCAGCTTAAGATCTAAAAAGATCGATAAAAATCCACCAGGCAATCTTTTCATTAAGGATTGCTTGTTTCATATTGCAAAATTTTCAAGTCTTGTGCTGCTGACACTACTGTAATGAAATGGAATATAAGTGTGTGAAGAAAATGGAAAAATCATCTGAAAGAGAGCCTTTGTGATTCTTATTCTTTCATTGCTTTGAAAAGCAAGTCCAAGGAAATCATGATTCTGGAATTAATATTTAAGCAAGCCACAGCTCTCTTTTTCCTCCCAATTATGTTGTTTTACAAAACACGAACTTAGGGTTCGATTCCCCACTCTCCTAATATTGCTTGTATAAAATCAAAAACACGAACCTAGCCTTCTGCCCTTACGGGAAGGACAAGGTTAGCCAATGGTGTCTCCAAAATTCCTGCAGTTATTCTGGTTTGTTAACCTTTTAACATCAAAAAAGGGCCATTAAGCAAATTTAAAATTGATTTTTAAACAAAAAAAGCTTTACTAAATATAATAATACATCTGATTGTCATTCTCATTTATGCTTACAAGTTAGAAAACAGGGCTCAAAGTATAATATTTATTCATTACTTCCTTGCTCTAGCTCTGTTTTTCATATTACCATGCTTTGTGAATGCAAGTCAGCAAGGGCTTGTTAAGTCGGATGGATCAGCCATAATGATCTGTAAAGGCAAAAATGAAGCTCCACCTGCTGAGAAATGCTCAAAGTGGGCAAGCAGATGGGGCTGTGGCAAGGAGGCATGTGTCTGTTACGCTTGTGAATTGCATCATGATTAAACATTCAATAGCAATAACATATGACTATGAATTTGTTTTGTATCTGTTATTTTTCTATTTGTTCATGTATATATATGAGTTGTGGAAGTGCATGTTGGTCTGTTGTGGATATTTTTAAAATACTTGAATCTGAAGTGTAACATTCCGGTACTTTTCTGTCCAATTCGAATGTCAAGATGTTTTCACCATCCAGCCACTCAAGTGTAGGAACTAACTTGAACAAAAGCGACTTGAAGTTTTCACCAGAAATTGGATTTCCCACAATGGCTAAAATATTGTTGGGAATAAACTCCAAACCATTACATAATGGGTCCTTTGCTGCTTTACCCTTATCTAACATATTGTTGGGATTAAAAGAAGATGATGCCATGAAATAAAACAACACAGATTTGGCCCAAATCCAAAACCAATATGCAGACCCAAACAACTGAATTTGGATTTAGGGACTGAATTCCAAATCCACAACCCAAATCATCCCTTATCCAAACATGCCCAAAATTAATCAATTCAATAGCAGATGCATCTGTACATTTATAAGTTCATTTGTCTTTAGAAAAGGTATGTAATGGGTCAAATCGGAGGTGCGTATGCCATTCTCATCCCCATTCATGTTTAGCTTTTTTCTCCATTCCCGTTATGATAAAATACCAAATCTCCCCCATTTGGAGTGGAATGTTCATTCCCCCCTCCCGTAATATCCGTTTGTATTAAAAAAGAAAAAAGAAAAACATATCCCCGCATTTAATTCTCATTCAAAACGTAATCTCTAAGAATTCATTAGGTTGCCCTATTGCTACTCTATATATAGCATAGGCTCTCCTCTTAAGAAAACTCGCAAATGCATCATCTTCTTACTAGTTTGCATTTTTCATTTCATTTTCTCTAAGAGCCATGTCTAGAAAGAAGGTGAAACTAACCTACATCAGTAATTACTCGACTAGAGAAACAACATTCAAGAAAATGAAGTAGGATCTGATGAAGAAAGTGAGTGAACTCAACAACCTTCCAGCATGTGCCATAATCTATAGCCTATATCATACTCAACATGAGATTTGGCCATCCTCTCTCCAAGTGCAACGTGTTCTTAAAAAATTTAAGACCATGTTGGAGATTAAACATAGCAGAAAGATGGTGAACCAAGAAAGACTTATGAGGCAAAGGATTGAGAAAGCCAATGAACAACTGAAGAAACAAAGGAAGGAGAACAGGGAAAAGTAGATGACAAGGGTGCTATTCCAGAGTCTGACTGGTAAGTCCCTCCACAGTTTGAACATGGTTTCTTTGAATGATCTGCGTTGGCTGACCAAAGCTTGAAGGACATTCGCGTCAAAATTAAGATTCTGAATTAGGAGGAGGAGAACAAACAAGTCCAAGTAGAACCAACAGGACTGCTAATGGCCACAACAACATATTATTGAATGGAGAGGTAGGCTTTCGAAACTAACAGTATGGAGACGATGCAGAGGGATCCATGGCTCATGGGCATGAAGAACCCACAAGATCAGCGTATGGGGGTAGGGGTTGGTGGTGGAGATGAGATGATTATGCCATTTTGGGGTCAAAATCACATTAATGCTATTCGGTCTAATAATGCCTTTTTTCCTTGAACTATTTAGTATTTGTTTCTAGGCAGTCTCTTTGTGTTGGCCAAAAGTGTAAAGTGATTTCTTTGATAATTTTGAATTCATAATTCAGGCCAAAAGTCGTCAGTCACAAGGACCAATATAAATACAAATAATTATATAAGGTTAATACAAATATGGTCGCTACTCTGTAATAAAGATAATAATTTTAGAAATTTTGGTCACTACTCTGTAATTACCTAACAATTTCAATCAAAATTTGCCAACACCACCGCCCTTTTTTTTTCCTGTGTTACTCCAGTTTTTACCGTCAATGCAAAGGAAACACCATTCCATGCAGCCCATATTCATGAAAACACAAAACTCCATTTTCACTAGAACAAAAATTTAATGGGAAGCTTGCACTTGAACTGTTCGATTCCATAGTCAAATCTGTACCGACAACATAAACGTGACAGGGGAAAGACTAGAACATGTAACATGTATATATATAGGACCACTGTATTGAACAAAGTATAGTGTTTTTGTATGAGATATCCAACACTTACTTCAGCCACTCGAATTTTCGATATTCCTTTTTATTTCTCATCAAACGAATGGCATCTTCTTCTGGAAATTCACCAAGATTTCGTGATCCGCTACATCAAAAAATTTCCATTAATGAAAGATGTAAATCCATTGGAAAATCAAAAAAAACGCATGTCGGATGAAATGGTTGTTGCTATCTGCTACAATAATGACTCATTGGTTTAACTGAATAACTAAATAAAATAGATAGACATTTCTCTTCGTCTCAGGTCGACGGATCTTCTCAATTGAAAGATCCCCTATATGGATAATACACATTCCAGTGACTTCAACAGTCCCAACGGCCCCAGAGCAGTTAATCTACCGAGCTTGTTGTTACTCAGATTTAAGCAAGATAGAAGTTGCATGGCCTCCAATCCTGTCCAAAAGCCCAAGTATAAGACATTCCTCTCAACACAAAACAATCAAATACATCTTATTGGCTACTAAGATGCATAACGTACAGACAAAGATAGATGAAGTTGCAGAGGAAGTTCCTGGTCCTCTGGTTCCTCCAGAAAATGTCACAAAAGGGCAAGCTCCCGGAACTGCAGATACTCAACTCAAACAATTTAACAGAGCAGTTTCACGGTCGAGTACTTGAGTTCCTCAACCATGGATGCAGTGCTCAGTTCTACATGATATGGTTTTCACCAGCAACCAAGTTTGGCAAAAGAGAAGTCATGGCCACGGACAGTCTCTTAAAATTCAATCCTGAAGGGTGCTTGATGATCCTATCAAAAAGCATGGATTCAGGAAGTGGATACAGAATCCTGAAGCCGCTTCTCGATCGAGGATTCAAAGTAAAAGCATTAACACCAGACCTGCCCTTTCTAGTCAAGAACACCCCAGCTGAAACTTGGCTTCAAGAATTATGACTAGTCTCAGACAACTGTGTCATTTGCCCTGATATATATACTTCTTAAGGAAATTTTTGCGCCATAATATGGTGAAGGTGAAGCCTATATGCTTAGGCATTTGACTTACCTAGTCACATCACATGTAGCAGAACCCACTATCTCTCTAGTAGATGTTCATAGTTCCATTACAGAAAGGGTCGCGGGTGTGAGCAAGGGGTCGTCGTGGCCTGGTGGTGGTGATCGACTCGTGAGAGAGAAGGAAGCAACAGCATGAGGTTTTTTAAAGTCAAAAAAAAAAAAAAAAAAAACAAGGCCCAGGCCGCCCAGACCCGCCTAGACCCGCCTAGCCACCGCCTAGACCCGCCTAGGCCCGCCTAGCCACCGCCTAGACCCGCCTAGGCAGATTTTTCGAATCTAAAGCAAAAGAAAAGAATTCATAGCTATTTGAATGTCCCAACCAGTGTTTTCAAAGGCAGGCCTTGGCGCGCGTCGGAGCGAGGCGGCAGGGAATCGCCCGAGGCGGTCGGCTGTTTCGCGAGTTGTACGTTTAGCGCGGTGAAGGCGTGAGGAGGCGTTGCAAGGCGTATCCAGGCGGAGCAAGGAATCACTAGCTCTGGAACCTTCTGAACCGGAAGAGATTTTGCGAGTCTGCAAATTGGCTGTGAGGAAGACAACTGAGGAAGACGATAGCTTTGTTTTCCTTTTTTTTGTTTTCAGGGTTAATGAAACGACGTCGTTTCAATTTTAGTGTTTAAAACTTTAAATGCAACGACGTCGTTTCGCAAGTTCTGTTTTTGTTTTTTCCCTTACCTTTATTCTAATAAACTTAAGGTAAGAAGATGTTAAAATCTTTCTTGCCTTTTCTAACTCCAGCTGGCTGTAGCTTTATTCTTACTTTTTTTTTTTTTTTTTTTTTTTTTCCTAAATTATATTTACACATGGACTTATATATATATATATATATATATATTGTTTAGTTGGATGACCATTACAAATATCCTGACTCAGATTTTCTTTTATTTTGGGTGAATATTACTGCCTGACTAAGATTGCATGTTTCAATTTGATGGTCAGTTGTAATGGTTGGAAATGAAAGATTAGTTTTATTAGGTTAAACCTTTTGTTCCGCTGAAATGTCTGTCATGTTCAGATTTCATCTTTAGGAAGTTTATGCTTGGAACATTTGGGAGGATCTTTATCTCTAGATCAGCATATCTTATTTACTTGTGACAATTTGTCTTTATTCAAGCCATGAAAATTTTCAGTCTATATGTAATGTCAGTGTACATAAGAATGGTTTCTTTCCCTATTCTTGTGTTTAGTATCCCTATGTGCCCTTTTGATGTATGATAGTATCTCTTTACAAATCGAAGACGACTTGAGAGACTTCTCGACATGGAAGCGATGATGCCTTCACTACAAGATCCTGAGCACTTCAGCTTCTGGTTTAACTTGCAGCGGCTATTGTCTTACAAACTAGTATGATCCAACTGAGGATAGTGTCTTGTGGAAGTCGGGTTTTGCTTTCATATTCATTTATCTATTTTTTCCAGTGAACTTCCTTTTTAATTTATTGATACCCTCAAATGACATGTCTTGAGAAATACTTACCTGTATCGGAGTGTATATGGAAGTCCCTTGCAATGCTCTCAACCAAGATGGGATCTGCTGGTTTGTGGTTTTCATCTTAGGCAACAGTATATCACAGGGGTTAAAAGAATTGAATGTGAGTGTTTGATGTAGAATCTGACCACATGAAATGAAAGGAACAGAAATGAACTAGAAAACAGAGTTCAAATGGCTAAAATACAATTGTGCTACATATTGGGAACGAACCACTGTATTACTTGTCAATTGTACATCTCTGTAAAGGAGGCAAACTGCAGCATTTAAGTTGAATGAATCTGGTGCAATAAACCTGAACCGAAAGTGCCTGATAATGTATTCAGAAATCATTCATATGCAACTTTGGAAACGTTCACACTTTTTCTTTTTCCTGTTAATAATCTCTCAGCCTATAATAAGGTGAGATGAAACTATGAAAAATTGAAAAAGTTGGTAAGGATCACATTATCAAACCATAAACTCGATGTTATTAAGTTGTTTACATGCAACTTGCAAGCAATTCTGGACATGATTTCATTAGCATCAATCTCATCACGCCATGTACTTTTTTTATGAGCCAATTCTGTTATTTACGAAGTGAAACAAAATTTCGTCCATATGACTAAGTTCTGTTTCCCATGATGCATCTAAGAAAAGAAAAATAGAGTCTGAGGCATTTGCTTTTGTTGGTTGATTGATTGAGCAAAATGGTGCTTGTAATGCTGCTCCATGGGTTGTTGTCTCCATCAGAATTGGAAAGAGCAAGCAAACGGGTTGTCGCCAATTCCATCATAGAAAATTCCACCGAACTCATCATCACTACCAAGACCAGCCTGTGGCTGGTCCTTTGTTTCTTCTCCGTCAGTACTCTCATCCTCCGAGAAGTTTGAGTTCTTCTGAACCAACTCTCTGAATATTGATAATTGAAGGACGAGGCCAAGTGCGGTGGGAGACGATGACTTGCTGCCGGTGTTAAGAGGGATGCTGCTACCGTTAACTTGTTGTTTTCCCGGCGGGGGGGGGGCGCGTGCAAAAGGATTTGTGTGTGAGAAACACTCCTCTGTTGGGATGTAGCTGTTGGCCAATGGCATATTCTGAGGCTCTGCGACTCTCTGGTTCTTGAGTGGCTATTGGATCGTCTGCTCTTGGCTTTAGCCATCTTATGTCAGAGCCCAAGTCAAGTTAGTCACAGCATTGATCCCTCTGTACACAATTGCTGCAATGTCATAGCCACGAGCTGCTTCCTCTTGGGCGCCTGAAATGAGATTAAAAAGACACATTGCTCAGCAAGTGCAAATTCTCATCATTATAGTTTTCAACTTTCTCTTTTATGACAGTTTATATTGCAGCTAGTTTTTGGATAATGTTTCCAAAAACTTCTTCCTATTCTTGCTTCCCGTCGACCATTATCATGGCACCTACAATGGTAGTGTGTAAAGGTGGATGCATGCTAAATTTAAACCTATTGCCACAGGAAGTTGCTGCGAGGATCTAATGTATAGCCGTGCGGCTACACTATTTTTAAAACATTAAAAAACATAGTATAGCCGGGCGGCTATATTAATTTATAACGTTAAAAAAGTAGTGCTTAAGTACCCACGTGTCAAAAGGGTATAGCCGCACGGCTATACTATTTACAAAAAAAAAAAAACAGAGGAGACGGATAGAAAACAAATTTTAAAAAACTGAGTATAGCCGTTCTGCAATACGATTTTTAATAGAAAAAAATGGCTCCCAGCGATTAGGCGCCACGTGTCAAAACATGCCTACTTTCTAAAAAAATAAAAAACACAAATTATAGCTGTGCGGGTACTATTTTTTTTTTAAAGATGACCCTCCAGAGATTAGGTCCCACGTGTCAAAAATTAGTATAGCCGCCCAGCTATACTTTTTTTATAAAAAAAATCTTAGTATAGCCGCACGGCGATACTATTTAATTAGGCGGAGCCACAAGCACGGGAAACACAGGTGGACCTCTTCCTCTGTTCTTGTTTCAAGGACTCGCCTAAAGTCAAATTTTTATTTTTCACAAAATATTCAGAATTCAGAAAAACAAATACAAAATCATAAAATTCATGAGCAAAAGATTATGAGAAAACTGTCGAGATCAGAAATTTGGCTTACATTGCCATAAGAGTGATTGAAACGTTTCCCAAGTTTTTTATTAATAAAATTATGAATCGAAATCAAATTCAAAGCCGACCCTATCAAGTCCATTAGCCACACTTACCAAAGCATCATGGTGCTTTGTTTATAAACACATTTATAGGAGTGCGGATTATTGATGTGAGATTTTCTCAAAGGGCACCTCAAAGGATAAACCTACAGAAAAATCCAGCGCGTCAAAGGATAATTATTTTCATTTTGAGTTTGTAGAAGCAAGGTGTTAAAATGGATAACAGATCAGTGATAATGGTCTGTAAAGGCAATAGGAAGCTCAACCTGCGGAGAATTGCTCAAGCTTTGTAGACAGATGGAGGTATGGCAATGGGTAATGTGTCTGCTATAATTGTGTGACACCTTGATGAGTTTTAAAAGTTTCATGGTGGGTATTTATTTGAAATAGTTGGTGTGCACCTGAAAGTGCTCAGCCGAAGGTAAAGTAATATTCTGGTGTTGGTTGTTTCTTGTGTAATTTCAGCTTAAGATCTATAAAGATCGATAAAAATCCACCAGGCAATCTTTTCATTAAGGATTGCTTGTTTCATATTGCAAAATTTTCAAGTCTTGTGCTGCTGACACTACTGTAATGAAATGGAAAATAAGTGTGTGAAGAAAATGGAAAAATCATCTGAAAGAGAGCCTTTGTGATTCTTATTCCTTCATTGCTTTGAAAAGCAAGTCCAAGGAATTCATGATTCTGGAATTAATATTTAAGCAAGCCACAGCTCTCTTTTTCCTCCCAATTATGTTGTTTTACAAAACACGAACTTAGGTTCGATTCCCCACTCTCCCAATATCGCTTGTATAAAAAAAAACACGAACCTAGCCTTCTGCCCTTACGGGAAGGACAAGGTTAGCCAATGGTGTCTCCAAAATTCCTGCAGTTATTCTGGTTTGTTAACCTTTTAACATCAAAAAAGGGCCATTAAGCAAATTTAAAATTGATTTTTAAACAAAAAAAGCTTTACTAAATATAATAATACATCTGATTGTCATTCTCATTTATGCTTACAAGTTAGAAAACAGGGCTCAAAGTATAATATTTATTCATTACTTCCTTGCTCTAGCTCTGTTTTTCATATTACCATGCTTTGTGAATGCAAGTCAGCAAGGGCTTGTTAAGTCGGATGGATCAGCCATAATGATCTGTAAAGGCAAAAATGAAGCTCCACCTGCTGAGAAATGCTCAAAGTGGGCAAGCAGATGGGGCTGTGGCAAGGAGGCATGTGTCTGTTACGCTTGTGAATTGCATCATGATTAAACATTCAATAGCAATAACATATGACTATGAATTTGTTTGTATCTGTTATTTTTCTATTTGTTCATGTATATATATGAGTTGTGGAAGTGCATGTTGGTCTGTTGTGGATATTTTTAAAATACTTGAATCTGAAGTGTAACATTCCGGTACTTTTCTGTCCAATTCGAATGTCAAGATGTTTTCACCATCCAGCCACTCAAGTGTAGGAACTCACCAGAAATTGGATTTCCCACAATGGCTAAAATATTGTTGGGAATAAACTCCAAACCATTACATAATGGGTCCTTTGCTGCTTTACCCTTATCTAACATATTGTTGGGATTAAAAGAAGATGATGCCATGAAATAAAACAACACAGATTTGGCCCAAATCCAAAACCAATATGCAGACCCAAACAACTGAATTTGGATTTAGGGACTGAATTCCAAATCCACAACCCAAATCATCCCTTATCCAAACATGCCCAAATTAATCAATTCAATAGCAGATGCATCTGTACATTTATAAGTTCATTTGTCTTTAGAAAAGGTATGTAATGGGTCAAATCGGAGGTGCGTATGCCATTCTCATCCCCATTCATGTTTAGCTTTTTTCTCCATTCCCGTTATGATAAAATACCAAATCTCCCCCATTTGGAGTGGAATGTTCATTCCCCCCTCCCGTAATATCCGTTTGTATTAAAAAAGAAAAAAGAAAAACATATCCCCGCATTTAATTCTCATTCAAAACGTAATCTCTAAGAATTCATTAGGTTGCCCTATTGCTACTCTATATATAGCATAGGCTCTCCTCTTAAGAAAACTCGCAAATGCATCATCTTCTTACTAGTTTGCATTTTTCATTTCATTTTCTCTAAGAGCCATGTCTAGAAAGAAGGTGAAACTGACCTACATCAGTAATTACTCGACTAGAGAAACAACATTCAAGAAAATGAAGTAGGATCTGATGAAGAAAGTGAGTGAACTCAACAACCTTCCAGCATGTGCCATAATCTATAGCCTATATCATACTCAACATGAGATTTGGCCATCCTCTCTGTTAGTATGAAATTTGTATTGTCATTTCCTAGACTCTAGCATAGGTTGGGAGTTAGTGTGTGAATATCGTTTACTAGACGTTTTGGCGCAACACATTCAATCTCAGGGTTTCCAAAGCATGACTTGACCGATATGAGGAATCTAATTTCAGGTAAATCATGACATAATCATGCATTCATTATAGGATTCCTAGTTTGAGTTATTTTCACTCAAAGTATTTTTATCTTAATCTTATTTTTAATAAGATTAGATTTTATCTCTTGAGATTACTTTCCTAGTTCAACTCTATTTTAATTGAAGTTAAAATATTATCTTTTCCTATTGTGACTTTGCTTGTTGCTTACCTCTTAGTTAATTTGGTTTAAAGAGAGGCGTCATTACTTTGAGTCCAAGGTGAATCAAATCTCTTATTGATGATAGGTTGTGGTGCAATAGGAAGTTTAATATTCGTGGCCTATTGGGTTTCTCTCCCATGAGAGAGAACAAGTCTTGTATAAAAGATCATGTGCCATTCTTTTATTTGTATAGCTTTTGAGATATTTGTTCTGAGCATATAGAATTCTAAGAAAAGCTGTTGTGCGTATATTTGAGATAAATCATCAAGTGTTCAATGTTTACTTGGTGATTTATCAAAACACTTTAATTATTCATATTGCATTCATATGCATGTCGGTGACTCATACGGTTGAGGGCACCAAGACCGTGGTGGCGGTTTTCCTCCGGTGAGCTTGAAGCAATCGTGGCCAATATTGCGTTCAACATAAGGAGTGTCGAAGATCATCCCGTGACAGAAGTTGAGTTACGAAGAAGTCGGTAAACATTATCTAGAATGTGTCTAGGATAAGTGTGTGAGTACTTCTTGTAATCATCGTTCTATAGTGGATTTGTGTTGGACTGAGGAGTCCCGTGGATTTTCCCAAAGGTGGGGTTTTACCACGTAAAATAATTCTCTGCGTGTTCTTTTATTTTATGCCCAGCACGTTACAGGATTGATAAGCCATATCAATCCTGCTACCAAAGTTTATTTTTATTTATTTGATTAGAATCTTAAATTGGCCTATTCACCCTCCTCTAGGCATTTTGAGTCATCCTGCAGGTATTTTCAATTGGCATCAGAGCAGGTTGCTGGACATACTCAGCAAGATCTAACATACCTTAGGATGGATCGTGCCTCGGGCTCAATTGCACATCCACCATATTTCGATGGCAACAACTATGGCGCTTGGAAGGCCAAAATGAAGTCGTTTCTTTGGTCCTTAGATGAACGTGTATGGAGCACAGTGGTTCATGGATTTCCTAAACCCACAAAGACGATTGGAAAAAGGAGATGAAGAAACCACAGTCCTCAAAACTAGAGAGGAGTGGACCACTGCAGAAGTCACACACAGCACTAATAATCAAAAGGGGTTAAATGCTTTATTTACTGCTGTCTCTTCCGATCAATTTGAATATATATCTGCTTGTGATACTTCTAAGGAAGCTTGGGATATTTTGCAGGTTACTCATGAAGGAACAGATACTGTCAAGGGAGCCAAGCTTCAAATGCACACTTTACAGTTTGAGACACTTATGATGGATGAGAATGAAACTTTTTCTGAATTTTATGCTAAACTTTGTGTAATTGTGAATGCTTGTTCAGGTTTAGGTGAAAAAATTCCAGAAGATAGAGTTGTGAAAAAGATTTTGAGATCCTTGCCTCAACGGTTTCAACCAAAGATCACGGCTATTGAAGAGATCCGTGACTTGAACACCTTGAAAGTTCAAGAACTCATAGGGTCCATACAAACCTATGAGATGAAACATCTACCTCCTAAAAAGAGCAAAAATGTTGCGTTCAAGGTTGTGAATGAAGAAGATGATGGGCATTCAAATGAAGATTGCAGTGATGAGGAATTAACGATTCTCACAAGACGATTCATGAATTTCTCAAGAATCAGGATCCAAGGAGTCAATATTCAAAAGGTATAAATTCTAAAATAAGTTTGTTAACTATACTGATGGTGGATCTAAATTTCGCAGGTTAAATGAACGAAAGAATCCAAGAGAAAAGGTCAAATGTTTCGAATGTGAAGGCTATGGACACATATCTTCGGAATGTGCCAACACCTTAAAGAAACAAAAGGATGGCAATAATAAGGCAATGCATACTACTTGGAGTGATAGTGAATCGGAATGCGAGAATGATGAAAAGACGGTTGCACTTATAACCACAGTTAGCTTGGATGAATCACGTGAGGATGATGATTGTAAAGGTATAAATATTGAGTTTATCATGAACAAATATGATGATTTGTTGGCTGCATCTCAGAAGCTCAGTAAACAAAATAGTGAGCTCGTCAAAGAAGTTGCTGTGCTGAAGCTGGAAAATTGCAGGATTGCAAACGAGTTTCAATCCCCTGATGCAGATTCCGAAAAGGTAAGTGCAGGTATGAACGAAAAATTGATGTTTTTGCAGAAAAAATTGACTGATCAGAATAAATTAATTGCTTCTCTAACTTCTGACAACAAAGCCCTTGAACTTGAACTTAAAAATTCAAAAGAAAGGATTGTTTCTTTAACCATTGGTGCAGAAAAAATTGACAAGATGATTAGCATGGGACGAAGAGATGGTGACAAACGAGGCTTGGGATTTGAACCAAGTAATAAGTCTTCCGCTGTGTCTAAAACAAAGTTTGTCAAATCCACTTCACCTATTGAACCTTTTGCCTCTCATGAAGTCAAGAAATTTATTCCAATTTGTCACTTTTGTGGAACTTGTGGGCACATAAGACCGAGATGCAATAAGCTTCGAAACGAATTTGTTCGTTCAAATTCTCATGGCATGGGTGGAAAAGTAAGTATCCAACATAAGATTTCACATCTTATGAAAGAGGTAAACCGCTTATCCAAACTATCTTCTTTTCATTGTTTGCCGTCAACTAAGACAAAGTTAGTTTGGAGGAAAAAAAAATCATAATTGTATGTCTTCCTCCACTAATGTTGTGCATGAACCCGTTGCTTTAGAAAGTTTGGATCTTAAATGTATTGCTGCAAAACCCTTGGATAATCTTCGATTTGACACTCTTAGAAAGTCTTTAGGTATATGTGCTCTAGATTAATTTGGAGTCTATTGCATGCCAAAGCCTCTTTCATGTTTTATGATATTTCAATTAATTTCTGTGTTTATAAATCTGTCCAGCTCGTGCAAGGATTGTTAAGGTGTATCAATCCTGTAACTGTCTGAACGTATTTGTTGATCTTAGATTGGGCTCTGACATTGCACTATATTAAGAACTTACACTCTCAGTTTCACACAAAGGTTTCCATTGTCTTGGTGCATTATAAACTTCATTAAATGATCTATCCATCTATTTATTTTTATTTTGCACACCACACTCTTTTCCTTGAAGTCCTTTGAATATCTCTTATCATGCACTTGTCTCTCTTTGGATTGCCATAACACTACTGTGCGTAAGTTCTTGATCTGTTTATAAAAAATTAAAAATTAAAAATTAAAAAAAAAAAAAAGGGTGTCAACCACTCATTGCTCAGTAACCGGGCCTCTTGTCTAACCAACGTCGAGGTTCGAGTCAACAGGTTGTGATGGTTTGCTATCCTTGCTTATCTTTGGAGCCTTCATGATTCGGATCAGTATTTCCCCAGGGGTGCTTCATCACCCAGTTGCCTCCAGTCATCTGACGTAAGCACACTGATTGACCATCCGTTACATGGATCATGTCGAAAGCTAGATAAAGTGAGCCACAAAATTCGTATTAAAAAAATATATATATATAAATTGATCTTCTTATACTTACTATGCACTTAGTGTTTGTGCAATCTTTGGTGGGATTCGTCTTGTGTGGACATTTTTTGTGCTTAATTGAAAAAGAGTTCATTTAACACATTTGCTCCTTGATGGTAGACTCATTTGATGCCTTTTTATCTTTCACCATGACTGTGGTATGCCTCTACTGTTCTCTGTGAGTTTGTGAGTCTCGTGTGCTGTCGTGTGTTTGTCCCTGACATGCTTTGCTTCACATGCGTTTAAGACAGCAAAGGGTTTGTTGCTTCTTTCATTCTTTACTCACAAACTTGGCATGTTTTATGAATGGAAAATAATTATATTTTCAAGAGAACTTTGGGTCTGCATCTACAGTATATTTTATGTCTTGATTGTTTTGAGCTTTCTGTCTTGAGTGTATTGCTTTTGTTTTTGTATGTTTTGGTTCTTAACAACTTCTCATTATTCTTTTTAGTTCTCTATTTTCCTGTCGCTTATTCCAAAAGAATTTTCTGTTTGTTTTCAAGATAAAGCCTCTTACATGCTTTATTGGTTATTCTCTATGTCTTTATATGTTGGGAATGCAATCTGATTTTTTTTATTTTTTATTCCCTCTTATATATGCTCCCTTATGTTCATTCTTTGCCCTTTGGATTTTCTGACAAAAAGGGGGAGAGATTGTGTTGTGGAATTAAGGGGGAGTTGTGTTGTAATTCTGCTTTGAATTACATTTCTTCTCCCACATGCTTCACTGGTTTTGTTGTTTCATAATGTGCAGGGATTCAGGGCTTCAAGCTTAGAATAAGAATTCATTTGTTAAATCCCATGTAATTTCTTTTGAGTTGTAATAGGTGTTTTGTCTAGGAAATGCCAAAGGGGGAGATTGTTAGTATGAAATTTGTATTGTCATTTCCTAGACTCTAGCATAGGTTGGGAGTTAGTGTGTGAATATCGTTTACTAGACGTTTTGGCGCAACACATTCAATCTCAGGTTTCCAAAGCATGACTTGACCGATATGAGGAATCTAATTTCAGGTAAATCATGACATAATCATGCATTCATTATAGGATTCCTAGTTTGAGTTATTTTCACTCAAAGTATTTTTATCTTAATCTTATTTTTAATAAGATTAGATTTTATCTCTTTAGATTACTTTCCTAGTTCAACTCTATTTTAATTGAAGTTAAAATATTATCTTTTCCTATTGTGACTTTGCTTGTTGCTTACCTCTTAGTTAATTTGGTTTAAAGAGAGGCGTCATTACTTTGAGTCCAAGGTGAATCAAATCTCTTATTGATGATAGGTTGTGGTGCAATAGGAAGTTTAATATTCGTGGCCTATTGGGTTTCTCTCCCATGAGAGAGAACAAGTCTTGTATAAAAGATCATGTGCCATTCTTTTATTTGTATAGCTTTTGAGATATTTGTTCTGAGCATATAGAATTCTAAGAAAAGCTGTTGTGCGTATATTTGAGATAAATCATCAAGTGTTCAATGTTTACTTGGTGATTTATCAAACACTTTAATCATTCATATTGCATTCATATGCATGTCGGTGACTCATACGGTTGAGGGCACCAAGACCGTGGTGGCGGTTTTCCTCCGGTGAGCTTGAAGCAATCGTGGCCAATATTGCGTTCAACATAAGGAGTGTCGAAGATCATCCCGTGACAGAAGTTGAGTTACGAAGAAGTCGGTAAACATTATCTAGAATGTGTCTAGGATAAGTGTGTGAATACTTCTTGTAATCATCGTTCTATAGTGGATTTGTGTTGGACTGAGGAGTCCCGTGGATTTTCCCCAGAGGTGGGGTTTTACCACGTAAAATAATTCTCTGCGTGTTCTTTTATTTTATGCCCAGCACGTTACAGGATTGATAAGCCATATCAATCCTGCTACCAAAGTTTATTTTTATTTATTTGATTAGAATCTTAAATTGGCCTATTCACCCTCCTCTAGGCATTTTGAGTCATCCTGCAGGTATTTTCACTCTCTCCAAGTGCAACGCGTTCTTAAAAAATTTAAGACCATGTTGGAGATTAAACATAGCAGAAAGATGGTGAACCAAGAAAGTCTTATGAGGCAAACGATTGAGAAAGCCAATGAACAACTGAAGAAACAAAGGAAGGAGAACAGGGAAAAGGAGATGACAAGGGTGCTATTCCAGAGTCTGACTGGTGAGTCCCTCCACAGTTTGAACATGGTTTCTTTGAATGATCTGAGTTGGCTGATTGACCAAAGCTTGAAGGACATTCGCGTCAAAATTAAGATTCTGAATTAGGAGGAGGAGAACAAACAAGTCCAAGTAGAACCAACAGGACTGCTAATGGCTACAACAACATATTATTGAATGGAGAGGTAGGCTTTCGAAACTAACAGTATAGAGACGATGCAGAGGGATCCATGGCTCATGGGCATGAAGAACCCACAAGATCAGCGTATGGGGGTAGGGGTTGGTGGTGGAGATGAGATGATTATGCCATTTTGGGGTCAAAATCACATTAATGCTATTCGGTCTAATAATGTCTTTTTTCCTTGAACTATTTAGTATTTGTTTCTAGGCAGTCTCTCTGTGTTGGCCAAAAGTGTAAAGTGATTTCTTTGATAATTTTGAATTCATAATTCAGGCCAAAAGTCGTCAGTCACAAGGACCAATATAAATACAAATAATTATATAAGGTTAATACAAATATGGTCGTTACTCTGTAATAAAGATAATAATTTTAGAAATTTTGGTCACTACTCTGTAATTACCTAACAATTTCAATCAAAATTTGCCAACACCACCGCCCTTTTTTTTTCCCTGTGTTACTACAGTTTTTACCGTCAATGCAAAGGAAACACCATTCCATGCAGCCCATATTCATGAAAACACAAAACTCCATTTTCACTAGAACAAAAATTTAATGGGAAGCTTGCACTTGAACTGTTCGATTCCATAGTCAAATCTGTACCGACAACATAAACGTGACAGGGGAAAGACTAGAACATGTAACATGTATATATATAGGACCACTGTATTGAACAAAGTATAGTGTTTTTGTATGAGATATCCAACACTTGTAGTGACTTCAACAGTCCCAACGGCCCCAGAGCAGTTAATCTACCGAGCTTGTTGTTACTCAGATTTAAGCAAGATAGAAGTTGCATGGCCTCCAATCCTGTCCAAAAGCCCAAGTATAAGACATTCCTCTCAACACAAAACAATCAAATACATCTTATTGGCTACTAAGATGCATAACGTACAGACAAAGATAGATGAAGTTGCAGAGGAAGTTCCTGGTCCTCTGGTTCCTCCAGAAAATGTCACAAAAGGGCAAGCTCCCGGAACTGCAGATACTCAACTCAAACAATTTAACAGAGCAGTTTCACGGTCGAGTACTTGAGTTCCTCAACCATGGATGCAGTGCTCAGTTCTACATGATATTGTTTTCACCAGCAACCAAGTTTGGCAAAAGAGAAGTCATGACCACGGACAATCTCTTAAAATTCAATCCTGAAGGGTGCTTGATGATCCTATCAAAAAGCATTGGATTCAGGAAGTGGATACAGAATCCTGAAGCCGCTTCTCGATCGAGGATTCAAAGTAAAAGCATTAACACCAGACCTGCCCTTTCTAGTCAAGAACACCCCAGCTGAAACTTGGCTTCAAGAATTATGACTAGTCTCAGACAACTGTGTCATTTGCCCTGATATGCATACTTCTTAAGGAAATTTTTGGGCCATAAGATGGTGAAGGTGAAGCTTATATGCTTAGGCATTTGACTTACCTAGTCACATCACATCCACTATCTCTCTAGTAGATGTTCATAGTTCCATTACAGAAAGGGTCGGGGGTGTGAGCAAGGGGTCGTCGTGGCCTGGTGGTGGTGATCGACTCGTGAGAGAGAAGGAAGCAACAGCATGAGGTTTTTAAAGTCAGAAAAAAAAGGACCCGCCCAGGCGCCCAGACCCGCCTACGGCCGCCTAGACCCGCCTAGGCCCGCCTAGACCCGCCTAGGCCCGCCTAGTCACCGCCTAGACCCGCCTAGGCAGATTTTTCGAATCTAAAGCAAAAGAAAAGAATTCATAGCTATTTGCATGTCCCAACCAGTGTTTTCAAAGGCAGGCCTTCGCACGCGTGCGAGCGAGGCGGCAGGGGATCGGCCGAGGCGGTTGGCTGTTTCGCGAGTTGCACGTTTAGGGCGGGGAAGGCGTGAGGAGGCGTTGCAAGGCGGAGCAAGGAATCACCAGATCTGGAACCTTCTGAACCGGAAGAGATTTTGCAAGTCTGAAATTGGCTGTGAGGAAGACAACTGAGGAAGACGATAGCGCTTGTTTTGAAGGGTTAATGAAACGACGTCGTTTCTATTTCAGTGTTTAAAACTTTAAATGAAACGACGTCATTTCACAAAAAAAGGGCAAGTTCTGTTTTTTTTTTTTTCCCTTACCTTTATTCTAATAAACTTAAGGTAAGAAGATATTAAAATCTTTCTTGCCTTTTTCTAACTCCAGCCGGCTGTAGCTTTATTCTACTTACCTTTATTTTTTATTTTTTTTCTAAATTAATATATTAACACATGGTCTTATATATATAGTATAGTTGGATGACCATTACAAATATCCTGACTCAGATTTTCTTTTATTTTGGGTGAATATTACTGCATGACTGAGATTGCATGTTTCAATTTGGTGGTCAGTTGTAATGGTTGGAAATGAAAGATTAGTTTTACTAGGTTAAACCTTTTTTTTTTTTCTAAATATATAGTGAAAGTTACAATTAGTGTTTAATTTATTACCATTAATTTTTTTATTTTAATTCATTGTTCATACGTACAGGTAAGAGGAAAGTCAAAAGCAAGTCCATAAGAACGATGCTTGTGAATGAAGATGATGAGAGAGATAAAGATCATTCAACATTTGATAGTGGGAAATATCCTTTTCATACAGTTGATCAATATAATAGTGATGCTAGTTTGAATGATATTCATGTTGAGGAGTGGGATGAGTGAACTATGTTTTTCTTTTGATGTTGAATAAATATTTTACGTTTTGTTCTGCTGAAATGTCTGTCATGTTTAGATTTCATCTTTAGGAAGTTTATGCTTGGAACATTTGGGAGGATCTTTATCTCTAGATCAGCATATCTTATTTACTTGTGACAATTTGTCTTTATTCAAGCCATGAAAATTTTCAGTCTATATGTAATGTCAGTGTACATAAGAATGGTTTCTTTCCCTATTCTTGTGTTCAGTATCCCTATGTGCCCTTTTGATGTATGATAGTATCTCTTTACAAATCGAAGACGACTTGAGAGACTTCTCGACGTGGAAGCGATGATGCCTTCACTACAAGATCCTGAGCACTTCAGCTTCTGGTTTAACTTGCAGCGGCTATTGTCTTACAAACTAGTATGAACACTGGGTTCCCAGATCAAAGAGATAAGTGGATTTCCATCCAACTGAGGATAGTGTCTTGTGGAAGTCGGGTTTTGCTTTCTTTTTCATTTATCTATTTTTTCCAGTGAACTTCCTTTTTAATTTCTCGATACCCTCAAATGACATGTCTCGAGAAATACTCACCTGTATCGGAGTGTATATGGAAGTCCCTCGCAATGCTCTCAACCAAGATGGGATCTGCTGGTTTGTGGTTTTCATCTTAGGCAACGGTATATCACAGGGGTTAAAAGAATTGAATGTGAGTGTTTGATGTAGAATCTGACCACATGAAATGAAGGAACAGAAATGAACTAGAAAACAGAGTTCAAATGGCTAAAATACAATTGTGCTACATATTGGGAACGAACCACTGTATTACTTGTCAATTGTACATCTCTGTAAAGGAGGCAAACTGCAGCATTTAAGTTGAATGAATCTGGTGCAATAAACTGAACCGAAAGTTCATGATAATGTATCCAGAAATCATTCATATGCAACTTTGGAAACGTTCACACTTTTTCTTTTTCCTGTTAATAATCTCTCAGCCTATATTAAGGTGAGATGAAACTATGAAACATTGAAAAAGTTGGTAAGCATCACATTATCAAAACCATAAACTCGAAGTTATTAAGTTGTTTACATGCAACTTGCAAGCAATGCTGGACATGATTTAATTAGCATCAATCTCATCACGCCATGTAATTTTTTTATGAGCCAATTCTGTTATTTACGAAGTGAAACAAAATTATAATATTTATTCATTAATATGTCCAATTACTTCCTTGCTCTAGTTCTGTTTTTCATATTACCATGCTTTGTGAATGCAAGTCAGCAAGGGGTCGTTAATAATTATTTTTCAACTTTTTTTTTTCCTTTCGCACAAGCAAGGGCTTGTTAAGTCGGATGGATCAGCCATAATGATCTGTAAAGGCGAAAATGAAGCTCCACCTGCTGAGAAATGCTCAAAGTGAGCAAGCAGATGGGGCTGTGGCAAGGAGGCATGTGTCTGTTATGCTTGTGAATTGCATCATGATTAAACATTCAATAGCAATAACATATGACTATGAATTTGTTTTGTATCTGTTATTTTTCTATTTGTTCATGTATATATATATGAGTTGTGGAAGTGCATGTTGGTCTGTTGTGGTTATTTTTTAAGTACTTGAATCTGAAGTGTAACATTCCGGTACTTTTCTGTCCAATTCGAATGTCAAGATGTTTTCTTGTCCATCGTCTCTTTCTCAAAAAATCGAAAAGCCTAATGAATTGAACTTGAGTTCAAACTCGTGATTGTTTAAGTCGTCCTAATGAGTTTAGTGTGAAGTTGAAAGTGGTCTCGAAGCTTACGTGATAATGATATGCTGTTGTTGGTTGTTCCATATATCCTCCCAGCAATCTTTTCACTAAGCATTTGCTGCTTGTTTCATATTGCAAAGTCGGAGAAGCTGCAAATGGGTCGGATGCAGTTTGACCCGCCTGCGACGAAGCACCATCACAGCCATACAAGTGAGTTAGGATTTGGATCCAAACTTAAACCATGGACACTTTGCTTCAGTTCTTGGATCCATTACTGCCCCAATTGGCTCAAACCCGTTCTCTGTAGTATGAAAGTTTTCAATTTTATTTTTTATTTTGGTTACATTAGGAGGAAAGAAACCCTGAAGTTTTGATCTTAGGTGCCAAGTAGGCGGGGAAGGGGGAGGGCCACAACCATTGTGGTAACCACGCTCAATAAATTTCTTATATTTTATTTCCTAACAGAACTACAAATTGGTCAAAAATATACTTTCTATTCAATTTTTTGAGAGAAGGAAAACCCCAACATATCAATGGAACTAGAAAACCCCCACAGAAAGAATATACTGATTTGGTTTTTTCTAAACTTTCCAGGTGCCAAGTGCCAACGAATTAAAAATTAACTTGCATAAACCTGCTGAATGTGTTAGAAAATTACATCTTCCTCTCACTGTTACTGTGCCACTGTCACATACAAAAAATAATAAAATAAAAAAGAAGAAAAAATTTGCGTTTCAAGGCTTTCAACCGACCTTGAAACCCCACCAATAATTAAACCAACATCTTAACCAGCATAAAACAGCCACCTCTCAACTCTCTCTTTTTTTCTTTCTCCAAGTCCCTTTCAAAAGGCCTGCCATAATGTACAATCCGTTTCCTTGTGTTGAACGTATTCTAACTTTGACAAATTTCTCCTCCTTGTTTTCTTCAATATCAAGCTCCCAACCTCACCTTGGTTTCACAGATGCCCTTTTCTTTTCTTTTCTTTTTCTGTTGGCCCAACACAGATGCTTTACCTTATTCACATGAACTCCTTACCAAATGTAAGGTTTTGTTTCAAGTTCATGGATGCATTTTTTCTCCTTTCAAGGGTATTGTAATGTTGCAACTGTGGTTAGCTTCATTTACACAAACGCATCTCATACTGGTTAGGAAAAGTTTGGTTTCTTGGATTTGAATGACTTTAATGCTTGGCATTGGTGGCTGACAGTTTATTTATCAGAAACATTTCAAGCTAATTGACATTAAGCTTTCCCCAATGAGAGTATCAAACACTTTTGGATGGTTCTCAGGTTGTCGTCTATGGCTTCTTGCATTTGCAGCTTGTTTAGTGTTGTTGGGAGCTTTATCAAGATCATCTCACAAAGTGTTTTCTATGGAGGGCAGCAAGTACCAACTTTCAATGAAAACCCCATTAAAAGGGAGTGGCTACCCCCCTGTGTTTGCTTATTGGATATGTGGTACTAATGGAGAAAGTGAGAAAATATTGAGGCTTTTGAAGGCAATATATCATCCGAGAAACCAGTATCTGCTGCAACTTGATGCTGGTTCTTCAGATTATGATAGAGGACAGCTAGCCCTCTATGTTCAATCTGAGAAGGTTTTTCAGGCCTTTGGAAATGTTAATGTTGTTGGAAAAAGTTATGCCCTCAACCAGATGGGGTCTTCTGCTCTTGCTGCCACACTTCATGCTGCAGCATTGCTTCTAAAGCTCAGTGCAGATTGGGACTGGTTCATCACTTTAAGTGCTTCTGACTATCCACTCATCCCTCAGGACGGTAAGTGATATCAAATCAAAATAATTGTCCTTGAAATTGTTTGGGAACTAAAAATTATTGTCACTGTCATTTAATGCTAAAAATTATTGGATTTCATTACCTTAAACTACTTCCAATTACAAACTTTTATAGGATTATGTATACTTAGGAACTTTTATGACTTTTCTTGTGCTGACTAGGAATATATTTATTTATTTTTGTTCAGATCTGCTCCATGCTTTCACTTTATTGCCAAGGAATACCAATTTTATACATTTTACAAACAAGACTGGCTGGAAAGAGTAAGCAATAGCCTTTTAATGTTCCCAATACTTTGTTTCTCTTACCTCCCTCCTTTCAGAATTTTTCTTTTTTCTTTTATTACAATGTGACATGGATGCAGGCAAAGTTATAGGACTGAACTTAAATTCTCCTGGTCATGAACTTTCACATATGAGATCTATTAACTGATGAGGCAGGTTTTAGGACATAAATGATCAACCCAACTAGGCTACATATATATATGCCTCTTGAATTGCATTTAGGCCATAAGTTTTAAGTCAAAATTTGCCTTGTCCTGAATTTTCTAAATGGAAGTTGATTGGGTGCAGGCAGAAAAATATGGATCGAATTGTTGTAGATCCTAGTTTATATCTTCAGGAGAGCACTCCACTTATGTATGCTGTAGAGAACAGATCCATGCCAGATGCTTTCACAATATTTGGAGGTCAGTTGCTCTTACAGAATGCCACTAAATGTGCATTCAACAAGTTACAAGATTATGATTTCTGTAAGTTGGCAAATTCTCAGTTTTATTATAATCTTGTCGTATAGGTTCACCTTGGATGATTTTAACCAGAGATTTCATGGAGTACTGTGTCAAAGGATGGGACAACTTTCCAAGAAAGTTACTGATGTACATCAGCAATGTGCCTTACCCTCTTGAGTCTTACTTCCACACAATCATCTGCAGCTCCACTGAGTTCCAAAACTCTGTAGTGAACAATGATCTGAGGTACATTGTATGGGACTTGAATGCACTCGGGGAATCTCAAGTCCTAAGCATGTCACACTATGATCAAATGCTAGCAAGTGGAGCAGCTTTTGCAAGACCATTTCAAGCAGATGATCCGGTACTAAACAAGATCGATGAGAATGTTTTAAACCGAAGTTCCAAAGGGTTGGTTCCCGGAGAATGGTGCCCTGACCTAGGAATAAGTAAGAGCCTAGAGAATTCAACAGCTCAGGAGGAGTTGTGTCCAGCTTGGGACAACATTAACAGTGTCAAGCCGGGTCCTCGTGGCATTAGTCTTAGAGAACTATTGCCTAAGCTTGCTGTAGAAGGGAGATTTACAACCAGTCACTGCCAAGAACATTGATACATACATTAGTAACTTTTTTCTAGAACCAAATGGTGATGAAATCTTTAAAATTTTATTTTTTCTCTTTCCAAAATAACACTTCCAACCACATTTGTCAAGAATATGCTTGGCTTTTTTCTTGCCCCATCTTTGATTGAACAAAGCATTGTATGGTTAGTAAAATAGGAAGATTAGATCTGCACTGTTTTTGAATGCATTTGATGAGAGATATATTCTGGTACTGGGTTTTTACCATAGTTTTAATTGCCTTTGAGCCTGAATTTGAAAGAGCTGTCAATGTTGCAAGCTGATGATCATCTTTGGTTATTCAAAATCTTGTAAGTGAGAAAAACTGAAGAAATAATCTAATGTGAGCCTGAGCTTCACATTTTTCTTGACAGATTGAGGCCATTTTAGTAAAATCAAATACCCCTTTAATTAAAACATGGACATTAATATTGTGAATCTGATTCCTAATAGCACTTACAAAAGGGCAAAACCCAAAATAGTACACATCTAAGTTTTTTTTTTTTTTTTTTTTTTTTTTTTTTTTTTTTTTAAAAATACTATTATGGATTTAGACAAATTTTCTTCCCATGCATTTCAACCAAAATCTTCATCTAATTTCTTTGGATGTGGGTATTTGTAGAAGTAATAAGTGAAGGTCTTGTAGAAGTGATACTTACACATTATTCTGATGTCTCTAAAGGTTGCTTAGCTTTTTGGATTCCCAACATGTGGTCTTATATTTCTTCTCTCCATCGACTGGCCACAGAAAAAGAAAACCTGCAAATTTCATTGGCCTTGGATGTAGAAGTAAATTAATATCCAACCAACCAACCAACCAAAGATGTGATTCAGGATCAACATCTTTACACATAAGCAATTAGTGCAGACAGATAATTATAGATGAGGGGTAGAAGAACAAAGATGGAAACATAAAAGCTTAAATCATTACCACTTGGGTCATGTTAGGGAGATCATTTTTGGAGACCAATTCGTGTATCATCTCTCAAATAGAAATGGAGTCCACCAATATAATGGATCCCGCCTCTATTAAAGAGATTGTACACAAATTGATCTCTAAAGACGGTCTCCCTAGCATTTTCCTTACCACTTATTAAGAAAATGAGTGACTATAATTGGTTTCGATGATGCAACAAATTTCCCACTACTCTATCTGTTCATTGGATTCTTTGCAACAACTTTCGAACTGCAGCCACAACCAGAACTTATTATTGTTCTTAATTTTCCACCACCAAACCTTTTTTTCTGAAATGCCTCAATCAGAATCACATTTCAGTCCTCACATTTATAGTTTTTTTAAAAATATCTGCCTTATTTATTATGACCTTTCTTTGTACTCAAAGTATCAACCTCTTTTATTAATTCCATTATGTCATCCCAACTTGCCCTTTTAGTATCCTCTGCTGTCGTTTGGTTGCTTTATATTATGAGACCTGGCAAATTTACTACCACTACCACCACTGTCTAAAAAGATGTTTTCCTATACATGATTTGGAAGTTTGCTTGTTCAGGTGAGCAAGTTAACCTGATGAATGATAACTTTCAAGAGATGTGTTCAATGTATTTTCAGAAATGTCAACCAAATTGCACTCACCACACACACACCCATCTTATTATGTGGTAACATATCTTAATATCTTATGCCACATATGATAGGAAGCATGAGGAATCTATTTCTTTTATACCAAGAAATGTTGAGAATAACATGATAGACGATTAACCACGTTTATTTTTTCTTTTCGTATTAAAAAGATGCGTATGAGAGCCAAACTCTTATCGTGAATGTGAAGTAAAATGCTCTAATAAAACGCTTTAATAACTATAAAAGTTGGTCTTAGAACAACCACAAAAACACTTTCCTAGTTGGGCAGTGTGGGTAAATCCATTACCCCTTTTTTTTTTTGGAAGTTCAATTGTACAATAAAATTTCGTGTATAAAAGAAATAGACCAAAAACTGGTCTAAACACCTTACGAACCAGAGAAATCATGAAAATGTGGCCAAGATTGATCGATTTTCAATAATTTCTAGTTTTGTACTGTTTCAATGATCCTAAAGAACAACCAGAAAAAGAACCATCCATGGACCATGATTTTGCAAAATAAAAATTAAAAAAATAATACCCGAAAACTTACAAAGTTAATTTAAATTTTTTTGCCTCAGTTGAACCCTAATCTTCTGTTGTTGACTAATTAATCACTAAAATCACTTCAGTTCACACTCCTACATTGCACTCGCACGTGCGAGATTCATCACACTCTGACACTCAACACTCTGCCCACCCCTCCTCTAGATCATCACGCCGTGCGCGCCTAATTCTCAGCTCCCGCCCGAGCTTCGCTTCAACGGCCAGGATCAGCTTAGCCGGCACTCCCGACAACTCCTCAATCCGTCTCAGATTCTGACGCGTGGACACCGACCTGTCCCCACAGAATCTCAATCCGAACCAAAACGACGCCGCCAGGCACACTCTCAGGGGCACGCCAGTCAACCGCCCCAAGCAAAATCCCAACGCATTCGACGCCGTCGACACCACCGCCGCGGTATAATTACCATTCAGCCCCAGCTTACTGCACCAATTTACGAAACTACCCTCCGCTTTTGCATCCACGCTCGTCGAAGTTCGCGCTCGCGCCCTCTGTACGCACTTCCTCTTTTCGCCGGAGAATCTTGCCGGAATATTCGACAACTTGCTGGAAACCTGAGTTACGGAGCTCTCCGATTTCCGGTTATCGAACCCAGCCTTCGTCGCCGCAGTTCCGCCAAAGGAATCAGTGCTGGAGACGCAGGCGGAACAAGCCGAGGATGAGGACTGGGTGTCCCCGTCGCCGCTGCCATGACCAGAAAAATTATCCGGCGCGCATGACGAGCAGAGTGACCGGAGATTCCGACTTCCGGCGAGACCTTTGCAATTGTAGCAGATAGATTGGCGGATGTGGCGAGCGACGAGGAAGTTGGCCTGGTGGACCCTAGCGTCGCAGCGGGAGCAGAGGAAGGCAGAATCGGAGGGGCAATAGAGCGAAGCTTCTTGGTCGCAGAGCTCGCAAACCCTAGCTTTCATGGTGGAGAAGGCGAGAGAGCTGGAGGATTTGGGTTGTGAGTTTGAAAGGTGGTGAGGTGATTTGAGGGTGTGGGGGGATTAAATGGAGAGAAAGGCGGTGGGGAATGAAATGGTGTGGGTAGTGACAGAGAGGTAGAGAGAGAGGGAGAGAGAGAGAGAGTTTGAGTTGTCTTTTTTTTATGGTTGATAATGAGGAGGAGAGGGAGCCTTGTGTTTTTGTGTGTGTTTGAGTGGAGGAGGCTGTGGAGGGCTGTTTGAATTTATAATTTTAAAAAAAAGAAATAAAATTATGGAGGAGAACAAAACAAATGAGAGAGAGGAGAGAAGAAGAAAAATAAGGGTGTGTGTTCATGTGTCTGTATTTGGCTTTGCCTTGGACTCTCTCAGTCTCTGTCCACATAAACCTCGTTCCCCTCGAAACTACTCATAAACTCACCTTACTTTTTGGTTTTTTTGGCAACCTTCACTCCTCCTACTTTTGGTTATTTCATCTAAGTCCCAACTACCCTTTTCTTTTCTTTTTATCTTACATCTCTACTAACTTCAAATTTTTTTTTTCATTTTTTAGTGATTAGGAAAGCTTTCAAAGTAAATTGCTTTTTGTTTTTGTTTTAATTCAAGCGATATTGAAGGGAGAGGAGAATCGAGTGCTATGATAAATGCTGTAAACCACTTGAACTACAAGCCTCTTACAAAGTAAATAATTGATATATACAATCACCACAAATTATTCATGCGACTTGAAAGTTTTTGCTTTTTCCCTCCCCTCTATGTTCCGTTACCTTTTTAAAATTTAAGGATATTGATAAGAAAATTAATGGATTCAAATGAGGCACTAATTTGGAGAATGTCATTGTACATGATACATCAATTGTGAGAAATTAACAACATGTCTATATTTTGGATGAATGAAACTTTTTTTGTGGCACTATCACGGTCATTTCAAGAAAGAAGGTCAAGAGTGTGATGAAAGAGAATTTTTAAACTATAACTTCGTATGTAGGTAAATGCTCTTTATATATAACTACAAGCCTTAAGCCTAACTTCAAATTTTAATTGTGGAGTTAAAATGATCACTTGTATTCCTTTTTTCACTAGATACAATCATGAAAATAGAGACAACTAATTGTTCCATTGAAGGTATAATTTCAACAATAATATTTATGTATATCATAACTACGACTTTGTAGTATTTTATAATTTCTCCAAATAATCCTCCTTTTTAAATAAAAAAAAATATTGGGGCAATTATTTGATGTTTAGGGTGAATCCAGTAAAATGATTAACAAAATGGGCAAAAATGAAAATAGTGTTGAAGAAATTTTGTTTTTATTGAAGAAGGGTACTTGGACGGGTAATATTAAATAATAAATGTGAGGTTCGTCTGGAAAATATCTGGTTGCTACCAACTATGGCGCGAAGTGAGCCCCAACGACAACTAATTCTCTACCAGAAGTTGGAGCGGCATTTCAGAGAATCAACACCTGGCACTACTTTCTTTTTTTTTGGTCGAAACACGTGGCACTACTTGACTACGTCACCATCATTCAAATCCCAACCTCCAGAACACCTTGAAAAATTTGGAAGTTCTTGAGTTTCCAAATATACCCCTCGGCTTCTTCTGCGTAGTTCCCAATTTTAAAGTAGAACTTTATTTATTTATTTATATATGTATATATATATATAAAATGTTTTGAGTATTCAGAAATATTTAAAATTTTACATGGTTTTAAAATGTTAAAATTACTAATTGAAGTCTTTTACTTAAAAAATAAAATATATTGTGCTTTGTCTAGCACATTAAAACATATATTTGATGTTTTTTTTTCCCCAATTTACTTATACGATGAATTTGTTATCTTTGAGCAAGTGAATCTTGACTTTTGGATTAGAAGAGTCAAAATGTTCGAAGTTTCGTCTTGAATAAGAATGTAAATACTCAATGGCGGTAGAGTTACAGACATCAAATCAAACCACAATGACATATTTGGAGTTATAGTTGAATAACATTAACTATAATTTGTGTCCTTTGTTTTTTTGTCGAGGAGCTATAATTTGTCTTGTATTCCCATTATAGCATGATTTGATCGAGATTAATTTTCTTAGGTACAAAGGACGCATAAGGTTGTAAACGTATATCTTATCATTAAAATAATTATTAAAAAGATAATAAAATTGGAAGAATAAAAATTAGAGTGACGAAGGCATATTAAGAGCGGCTTAGTTGCGTAAAGAAAGCTCCTCAAACCCACCATACGGTAACTGACAACGTGGCAAAATCTGAGCGGACGGTTACTTTACCATTCTAATTTCAACCACACAAGTAAATCAACCACAATTCATCCACCACAAGAAAATTTTCTCTGAAAAAACAAAATAATAATAATAATAATTTGAATGAGGCAGCGGCCCAGCGGATGAGTGACGCGTGTGAGTTATAGCTGGCGGTTGATACAAAACCACGCAGTAGAAGCGGTGGTTGAGCACAAGTCTGGCGTGATTGGAATGATTTACTTATGGGTGGGCCAGGCAATTGTCCCTGAATTGGAGCTTTCTTTCTCCTTTTTGAATTCCGGCCATAAATCATTCTAGTCTTTTGTGTGCACAAAATCAATGGTGCAAAAAGCATTGCGGGAAAGCTTTCTTTGAGAGAAAAGAATCATTCTTCTTTGTGAAATCTAATACTAGGTCAAGAATGGTTGTGTGTTGGTTGAAGAGAATGGAGCAATGAGAGCCACAAGATGTATATTTGTTGGTGAATTCTGAATTAAATAGGGTGTATGTTTCTCAAAAAATAAGTTACTCGGGACGTGTGACTTGAACGTCATGCTATATACATTGGAAATTGAGATGTGCTTAGAGTAGATGTTCGTGTGCACATGAGTTGTTGTGAGTTGTTTATTAAAATGGGTCTTATAAGGTATGTATCAACAACTGATAAATGCTCGTACACACGTAGACGATTATCATTAGCATTCTTCGTTGAGAAATATAACAAGAGAAATCGTACTTAATATCCACCGCTGTAATAGGATTAATTCAAAACTTATCAACCTATCATGATCTCTCAAGTGCAAATCTAACAGAAGTCCATCAAATATGCCATTATTCCCTCATACCAACCTAGCCCCCAAATCAACCATGAAATTAAGACACATGCACAATTCTCTTGCAAAAGAGCTATACCCACATGTTGTGACCAAAAAAAAGCCTAATTAAAGAGAAAAGAGCTTAGTCTTCTTAAATTTGATCCCCTCAAGTTTTGCTCCATTCAAGAGATGGCTATTTCAATTGTGTTAGGCTTTGGGAGGTGGAAGAAGTTTCTTAACAACCACAATTAGAACCCTACTAGCTAATTTTATGTTTTTATTTTTGCACGTGAACAATGTGCAATATAGGAATGCAAAGTAATACAATCGCGATGTCTTGAGACAACATGACCATGTGGTTGGGTTTAAGGTCTAGCAGTTGAAACATCACCGTGATGGCACTGCTCCATTTGATCACCCATGCCAATATAGACATCTCTATTCTCTTTTCTCACATGCACATCACTGGCGGATGTAGCAAGGCGCAAGGAGGTGCAGCTGCACCTCCCCTTGCCGGAAAAACCATTGTGGGTGCTTCAAATTGCCCCTTTGCTCAACTGATGTACAGATTACCTTATTTCCATTTTCAACATTTAAGTAAATGTCTTTGTCCTTTTACTTTTATTTATTTTTATATTACTCCATTTACTTAAGTTTACAATGTAAATAAGGAAGTACCCCCCATTTGGATTCAAATAAAAATACTAAAAAATCAAATTCCCACCAAATCAAAATGTGAAAATTCGGTTTTAGTGCAAAATACGATTTAGGCTAAAAATGATGGCTCATTAAGTCAATATATACTTCATACTAAAATCCCATAAAATCAAGTTTTTTATTTGATGTGTAAGGAATAAAAGCCGCCAAAAATTATCTTGAGAAAATGATTATTCCAAAAAATTATTTTTCATACTTAGTCAATATTGCACCTCTGCTAAAAAATTTCTAGATCCGTCAGTGATGCACATGATGCAAGTTTCTCCATACATTTAACACACGAGAGAGTTTTGGTATGACCTAATACCAACACATGTGTTATAATTTGCAAATATTATAGCACGTGTTTTATTTATTAATACTATCATCTAAAGTATAAACTTGTTGTCCATTCATATTACAATACATGAATTAATAACTCTCTGTGACGATGTAACGATTATACATATAAATTGTCCCCAACATATTAAGTATAAAAACAACGTTTTCATGTGTTGCAACCAATAATTTAGCTAGATTGACAATATATAAATATAAAACGTGCTATTTTCTACCAAGGTATTAGACCGTATCGAACATGTGTATTTTTTGCTTTGAATTTGGCATTTTCTAGTAGCCTTTTTTTTTCCTTTCACCCAAATGTTTTTTGAAAAGAATTTCATCTTCGATCTGCTTTTCAAAATTTATTATCATATCTAAGCCATCGAAATTGGTTTAAACGCACAAATATCACAACAAGGAGAATTTTTATATGTTCCGAGTACACCACGTGGCTGGTGTACAATCCAATAAACATAGGACAATATCAACAAACTGAGATGACATATGGGGGATTGGTGGACTTAGAAAGAAATTGCATTTTTTTTGTTCTGGTCCAAAAGAGAGAGATTGGGTTTGAAGAACAAGCCCACATCTGATATTTGCTACTGGGATGATTCTATCCAAACCCAAGATTTACTCAGAACACCCCACTTCTTTTAGAGAGAGACACTTGTATCCATCCACTGTGTGCTCACTAGAGAATAGACAGTAGCTTCGATCATCAATGGAAGGCGCCCTCTTTCGCCTGCTCCTGCCATCCTCCAAAACCAACGCCCTCATCCCCAAACTGGGCCCCACCCCCGGCGCCAAGGTCCGCATCGAACACCCGACCCATGGCAGTGACGAGTGCGTCGTCTTCATCTTCGCCGACCCAAATGCCCAATCCCCCAATAACACAACCCAAACCCTAGACAAGCCTGAAGGGTCTCCCGCCCAGCAGGCCCTGGTTAGGGTTTTCAGGAGAGCTGTGGTGGACGAGGCCGGGGAAGCAGAGAAGGGCAATAATGGAGGAGGTTTGGTGTGTTGTAGGCTGTTGGCGGCGACTAGTCAAGTTGGGTGTGTGCTTGGGAGAGGGGGCAAGATTGTGGAGAAGATTAGGCATGAGAGTGGGGCTCACGTTAGGGTTTTGCCCAGAGACCAGATTCCGCCGTGTGCATCTCCTGGAGATGAGTTGATTCAGGTAATGAATTTTTTTATTTTTTTATTTTTTTCTTGTTGGCTTGCATTGAAATTGTAAAATGTGGATGCTTTGTAATTTTTCTGCTGTTTCTGTAAGCTTGTTCCCTTTTTCGTATGTTCTGAGTGCTTTGTTTTGGTGATCGATGTGCAGTTGTCGAGATTTTATGGTTATTTATTTGTTGCTTTTACTACGATTCTATTGAATGATGTAAGTGATAATTTTGTGTGATTTCTTAAATGGTATAACAGTTATGAGGAACGTCGTGTGTAGAGCGCTCATACCACGTCATTGTGCTAATGTAGTATGACAAACCACTCAAACAACGTCGTGTGTTAAAACTGAAAAGCATATATAACTTAGGAACAAAATATCAAATCTTATTAGTTTATGATCTTATAAGAAGAAATGACTTTCTTTCAACAATTAGCATAATGACGTGCCATGATAGTCCCACTGAAGTTTTTCTCAACAAAGTAAAGTGCTAGATATTCGTGGGTTACCTAAACCATGTGGCCACACATATTTTGTGTTGGTTTGACATGTTGTTTCCTGAATTGCTTTGTGCAACAAGCAAGTGCAGTGAGTTCTGTATTTCAGTATTTATATGCTAAGTTTGTAAAATTTGATTATTTGATTGATTGATTGATTTTCTTTCTTTTGCTAAGTATATGTCTCATAAATGTCAGTGAGTGCACTTCACTGCTTGCTAAAACATTTGCACACAGGCAAATGAAGACCACATGATGATTTTTTTGGTAAAACTAGGCAGACATGAATTTCAATTACCTTCTCTTTTTCTGTTTTGTTCAAGTGAAAGATGATAGGGACCCAAGAGAAAAAGATTCAACAGTAGATAAAAAGGGTAAATAAAGACAACACAGGATGATGCTTGCTAACACAAAAAGGGAACGCATGCTGCACCTACCGTGGGGTGCAAATAACATGTTTTGTTTTTGTTGTGCTAATGTATTTCTTAGGGCTATATTTGTGTGGGTTTGATATGCAGATAACAGGAGACTTTCAAGCTGTGAAGAAAGCACTACTGTCTGTTTCAGGGTGTCTTCAGGATAACCCTAAGGTAGATGCAGCTAACTCTGGTGCTACCAAAATTTCAGGGGGATTGATTCATGGAACTGGTATGCCTGCGCAAGTTGACCCTATTCCTCATCGGGGTTTTGTGTCTGGCTTTAATGCTGCAGATTATCACTCGAGGAATTACTCTTCTACTCCTGGGCCTGAAAATGTTGGAAGCAGTCACAGGATGCTTATGGAAGAAGAGGTGGTATTCAAGTTGTTATGCCAAGTTGATAAGGTTGGTAGTCTGATAGGGAAGGGTGGCTCCATTATCCGGATTTTGCAAAGTGAAACTGGTGCATCAATCAAGATAGCTGATTGTGCACCTGATTCAGATGAGCGGGTTGTTATCATATCTGCACAAGAGGTACTAGAGCTCAATTGTTTGTGCCTTTACATTTTATTAGTACTTACTTGGAAACATTAATTTTCTTTATATTAGTCTTTAGACATGTTTGGTTACTCACGCTGAAAAGTTAAAATAAAACAAAACAAAACAAAAAGGATGTTCAAGCTTGACGTCGGAAGTTCATTGCAGAATCCAGAGCAAAAATATTCCCCAGCACAGGAAGCCGTTATTCGTGTACATCATCGAATTGCGGAGATTGGATTTGAACCTGGAGCTGCGGTAGTGGCTAGGCTTCTTGTACATCCACAGCATATAGGTTGTTTATTGGGTAAAGGAGGTTTCATTATTACTGAAATGAGAAGAGCTACTGGTGCTAGTATACGGATTTTTCCAAAGGAACAAGTTCAGAAGGGTGGCTACCACAATGATGAAGTTGTACAGGTAATATAATACTGCACATGCCTGCTGTATGTCATGTGGCTTAATCTTCAATTATCTAATTCAGTATGATGTGGCCATACTGGATAAAGAAAGTTGCTGTTAGCCTTACATGGACATTGGGTTGATTTATGGGATTGGATGCATGTTTTGGTTCCTAAATATAACTAGTAACACCGTTATTTGTTTGATCTAAAATATATAAATATCATTCTTCTCTCTATTTTTCTGTTGGTCCACGGGTTCTTTTTCTGGACTTGAGTATCCTATTCTTGCTAAATACACTATCAGGATATTCACTTGGTGGTTTATGGCAGGTTATTGGTAGCTTGCAGTCTGTACAGGATGCCCTCTTTCATATAACAAGTAGGATTCGGGAGAGCATATTCCCAATGAAACCTCCTTATGCTAATTTCAGTGGCCCGCCCTACATGTCTCCATTTCCCGAGATGCCTCCACCCTCCTTTAGACCAAGGCATAACCCAGCCTCCCCCGGTCCCTATCCTTCACCTGGTAGATTCCATCATGGAATTGATCATTCTGCTTTTCCATCCCAACCTCCCGATCATCAGCCTTCATTTTCACATAGTATGGATCACAATGGCCCATCTCACATGGACCGAGTTCCCTATTCTTTTGGCAATGAGCGACCAGGACATGGTCCAACATATGAGAGTCCTTCTCCAAGAGCATGGACTCCCCAGGTTGGTGCCTTAATACTTTTAAAAAACCTTAGACTTTTATATTTTGATCTATCATGGGGAGAATAACCTATCAATGTCAATTTCTAATATTTATGTTAAACCTCTTTTTCTGGTCTGTTGGATGCTTCTAGGGAGTAAGCTCTGGGACTCCTAGGGGAACTGCTGATGTTGGTTTGGGCATGGCTCCAAGAAATGGGTCTCTACGAAGGTAATATTTTGTAGCCTCTGGAAATGACATTTGTTATATGCTATTGAAATCCCAAGTATTTATGATTAGATAGAGGTAAATTTTTTATTAGTTATTAAAGTGGCACCACATGTTGACACTTCTGGCCATGTTATTTATCTTGTGAATTCAACTATTATGGTTGTGGTAATTTGCTAAATTCAAACATGATTGTGATAAGTAATACTGTTTGGATAAACCTTAATGGGCGCATAATCTGATTGAAGTATTTAGTGAACTTGAATATATCCTTGTTTCTCTCTATAATTTTAGGGAGTTGTTATTGACACTCCTAAAAAGCTCATCCTTTAACCGTGCATTGTATAAACATAAGACAAAATGCACTTAGACAAGTGCAGGATGAGTATTTTGGATTGCCAATAACAGTTCCCTAATTTTTAATCCATGCAAACAACTTCAATACTGTTGCTGCCATTCTAACCTTTTTCTGCAAATTTTATTTGAGCAGCGGAAGTCAACCGCCTTACTTAAGCAGCACAACCGTTGAGATCATGATTCCTCAGACATTGATTTGTCACGTTTATGGAGAGAACAACAGTAATCTGAATCAGATCCGGCAGGTGGGTTTATCTGTCCTGTTATTAGTTCAATGGAATTGCATTCAAAATTGGCAATGTGTTGATGGGGATCTTTTTTCATGGATATTTCATCTGCAGATCTCAGGCGCAAATTTGGTTGTTCATGATTCAAAGTCTGGATCTTCGGAAACCCAAGTTGTAGTGTCCGGAACCCCGGATAAAATGCGTACTGCTCAGAGCCTCATTCAAGCTTTCATCCTTTGTGGGCAGACACAACTTTGACAATCTGTTTTAGTGGCACCCATTTGAATGAAGAATGGGAGTGTGGATATGAATTTTGTCCCTCTAGAGAGTGTAAATGAATTCATCACATCAAAGCGTAAATTCTGCATGCAATTCCATTGTAAATCCAAATTCCAATATTTAGTTTAGTTCAATTTTTCATCATTCTTGGTTTCTGTTGAGTCAAACAGTGGCCCCTCGCATTTCTAAACCCATTTTGTATACATTCCTATCTCCACCGTTCCTATCAATTCGTTAAGTTTGTTGACATGACACAAGGATTACTCCATACATTTCCATTTCCATCATCTCTGTCAAAAAAACTGTTATAAATTCGTTAAGTTTGTTGACATGGCATGGCATGGCATGGCATGTGCGAACCCTATTTTTTTACATGTGTAGTGACCACAAAATAATAAGAAAAAAAAAAAAAAAAAAAAAAAAAAAAAAAAAAAAAACTTAACATTCAAGTTAAAAAACAAAGGAGCTTTTTTTGTTTTTCATTTCCTAAGACTGAAGATCACAAAAAGATTTAAATTCAAAGCGAAACACAACCAGCAGCTCCTCCCTCTCCCCCAATCTCACTCACATGGCTCGAACCCGCAGCGGGGACCACCTCATCAGCAACCGTCTCCTCCGCTATAACGGGGATGGTAAAGTTAGTGACGGCGTGAGGACCCCTCAGCTTCAGCGCTGCTCTGTCGTAGACAGCGGCAGCTTCCTCGGCAGTGTCGTAGGTTCCCAACCAGACCCGTTTTCTCTGAGTCGGGTCCCGAATCTCTGCGGCATATCGGCCCCAAGGCCGCTTCCGGACGCCTATGAACTTTTCCCGGCTAGCCGGGTCGGGTTCGGGCGGGCTGCGTCGCTTGGACAGCTTAGAATGACGGGAACAATTCGAAGGTGAGGAGAGCTCACGGCTGATCTTTCTGACATGCCGTTTGACACCGGGTACGACGCTGTCTTCGTCGCTGGAGGAGTCGGTGGCGTCGGCGTCTGCAAGAATGATCCGAACAAGCTGCTTTGGTGGGAGCCGGGTCGGGTTTGGTGGTGGGTTTTGGTTTTGATGGATCATCTTGGGTTTGGTGAGGGTGGTGGTGGTGGTGGTGGTCATTTGCGCTGAAACTTGGGGTAGGGAGAAGGAGTGCTTGCTCTGGAATTTAAGGTTGGGGAAATGAAATTGGGTTTCTGTTGATGTGAGGAGCGAACGTCTAAGAAGGGAAGGCAAAAATCATACAGAAAGCAGTGAGTTGTAGTGAGTGAGCGAGTGAGTGAGTGAGTGATAGTGAGGGAGAAGGTTTAATTTTAGAATCTGGAGGTTGGATATTCCCTTTTTAAGAAGAGAGAGGGGGAAAAGAAAGAGGAGAAAGAGATGTGTGCGGTCCACTGTTTTTCCGTCTGAGTTGGCGCTACGTGGACCCGCACATGCCACATCGGCAAGCAAAGGTCGAATGTAACTGATTGTTTGACTCTTTAACGAAGCAAGTGTAGGAAAAGTGAGTGTTGCTATAAAATAAATAAATAAACACTACAAACAAAACAGATTTTTACAACAACAGAATGGAATTACAAGAACCTTAATTGAGTCGAGGCAAGTGTTGGACACTCTGACCTTAAGACGAATTACGCCCCACACTGGTGCTTATGGTTCACTAGCGTTCGCCTCTCAGGATACAACGACTCTCCTCCTTATGAAAGAAGCACTACAATTCACAAGGAACTTTGAACCAAAATTATGCAGGAACCTTTCTTTATGAAACTCTAATGCTCTATATGTTTGAAAGTATGTATGTAGAGAATTGATTGAATGATTAAAACTGCAGGAGGATTGGTCTATTTATAGATGATGAAATACCCTTTCCAAAAAGGTATCCCAATCTGAAAAGGCAAACAATACATCCCTTGGTCTTGAAGAGTTATCACTCCAAACAATGTATTCCTTAGTTCGAAGAGTTGTCTTTAACCCAAGGGTCATGTCCTTAACCCAATGGATTTTATTAATTTCCATTCAAATAGAAAATTAATATTAAATATAATATTAAATTTCTCACAGCAAGTTAAAAAACAAAAAGAAAGCCGAACAGAAATGGACAGAAGTGAGACATGAAGACAATATGATAGTTTGCAGGAGTGGATTATGGATACGCCGATAATGGATAACGCCGGACTTACTTTTGGATACGTGCTTCTTCATATATCATTTAAGTGATTTTAAGTGGTTATGAGAAGAAGCACTCTCATATGCTTCCCCATGAAATCATTTAAAATCACTTAAAGTGATTTTTAGCATATCTAGAATTACTTCCAAACAAGCCATAAATAAGATAAAATGAGTTCCAGGATAAAGTAAGATTTGATCCATAATTATGTTTTGAAGAGTGTAGGTGGAATTGGACCATCATAAATTGTAATCAAGCGGTGAATCATCTTGCATCGTTGGCACTATCAAGGAGGAGTACGGAAGTTTGGGTTGAACGGCCCCCCACCTCTCTTGTGCACATCCTTTGCAAGGATGGACTCCCTTGTCCTCACCATGCCTAATTTGGCTGTTGACTGGTCTTGAATCGTTTTGACATCTTTATGGTTGGATTGTCTTTTCTGGCTCTTTTTTCTTGATCAATCTTATCTTATGTATTGTTTGTTTTCTTGACTCTCCATGCATTGTCTGTTTCCTTGCATGGACAAACTTGTTTTCCTCTGTATGGGCGTGGGCCTCTTGTTTAGGGGTTTCTGGTCCCAGTGTGGCTCCTCCCCTGGGTGGTGGTGCACTCTAGGTGTACAAATTACTTTATTTCCTCTTTGTCCTTTTACTTTAATTTATTTTTATATTACTCCATTTACTTAAGTTTACAATGTAAATAAGGAAATACCCCTTATTTGGATTCAAATAAAAATACTAGAATATCAAATTCCCACCAAATCAAAATATGAAAAATCGGTTTTAGTGCAAAATATGATTTAGGCTAAAAATGATGGCTCATTAAGTCAATATATACTTCATACTAAAATCCCATAAAATCAAGTTTTCTTATTTCAAGTATAAGGAATAAAAGCCGCCAAAAATTATCTTGAGAAAATGATTATTCCAAAAAACCATTTTTCATACTTAGTCAATATTTTTACATAAAACATTTTTTTTTCATGTATGATATAAATGCATGAAGTGACCTAAGGTTTTTTTTAGTTTGAGAAATTTTGATTTTTTCTTTCTATTGGGTTTAATGGGGGGAAAAGCTTTAAAGATATTTGCTAAATCGCTACTCTTTGTCTATCTCTTGCAATTTTTCTTGCTCAGAATGTATTTGTCTATCCCTTTGTTGCGGACAATTATGATTGCAACCAATAAGCAATATAAATCTTGATATATATATATATACTATTTTTCGTATGTATTGTGAGTTCGAATTTTTGATTCTTTATAATTTATAAGAGGCCCCCACACATAAAATCCTAGCTTCGCCACTGCAACCACCAGTTGAGCAAAGGGCAATTTGAAGCATCTCCTTGTGCCTTACTGTTAATAGGTTCGGCACAACAAATGTCGGTACATATCAAAACCTAAAATATTTGAAATAATAATACAAAACAATATATTACTTAAAAAAAAATAAAAAAAACTTGAGTGAGGGCCAGGGACCACACGGGTCCCAGTGTGGCTCCGCCCCTACAAGGATGGACTCCCTTGTCCTCACCATGCCTAATTTGGTTGTTGACTAGTCTTGAATCGTTTTGACATCCTTATGGTTGGATTGTCTTTTCTGGCGCTTTTTTCTTGATCAGTCTTATGTATTGTTTGTTTTCTTGACTCTCCATGCATTGTTTGTTTCCTTGCATGTACAGACTTGTTTTCCTCTGTATGGGCATGGGCCTCTTGTTTAGGGGTCTCTTGTGCTTTGAGTATATATCTTTTTGACCAAAAAAAAAAAAAAACTAATTAATCCTTTATCTGATCAAACAGTATTATAAAATAAATTAGGTTTAAAATCAACAATTAACATACCGAAGAAAGGAACCAGCTCTTCAAAACCCAGAATTTATTCTTCCATTTTAATAGGATTCTTCGATTTTTTGTCTTTGATAAAAATGTCATCATTATCAAGTGAGTTTTAAACAAATGGCACCAGGTAGTGTTAGCGACATAAACACAACAGTTTTAGAGAAACCTCGATGCTTCATAGTAGAGGAATAATATTGCTCCTGGAGTTGAGGAGCAAAAAGACGAGGCTTTGTGTGTATTCTATTGATTGGAGCTAGAAAGTGTAAGTAAATCCTCCCAACACAACCCTTTCACAACAGCTGTTTCACCATCAGATAGAAAGCTCAAGCTCAGTTTTACAGACGTAACTACTTTGTTCAAGTAAAATGTCAAGGAGATAGAAGATGGAACCCGATGCCGAAAAGCTTAGTTAATTCAAGTGCAGGAAAATCCTATTGGCATATTATGCAGTGCGGTGAGACCAAACTCAACTCATCTAAAAGAGAGATAAAAGGAGCATTTCAAAATTACTTCTAATCATCTAAAGCTCCTCTATACAATGGCTGGCCCGAGCAAAAAGTTATAACAAAGACTCACTACCGCTTCCCGTAATTCTAAAGACCTAGTCGGCCGCCAAATTTCCGTTCTGAAAGTAGAAGAGAGGAAAAGAAGTCAAGAAATAGTGGAATAGAATACAATAATATACTTCAATATCTTCATATGAACGAAGCATACTTTATAAATCAGGTTTCATATCTTCGTTCTTGCTTATGGAAGGGTTTTGTCCTGCTTGGGGTGCTGCTGCTTCTGCTGCCTTGGAGAGGTCCCTCAGAGTACCCTATGGTTCACAGAGTGCAAAGAGAAAACAAATAAAAATAAAGCAGTGGAAATTTCAATGAAATTACTGAACAGAAAATACACTCTGTTTTCGTGACAGACATTTCCTTGTAAGACCACCTTAGAGATTAATCCAAACGAAAACTGAGTATTGAGCCTAAATGAAACTGCAAATGCGGTGAATGCAATTGCATCTTAATAATCATATTCACAATGGTATTTAAGAAAGACTTCCATTTACCTTGATAGAACTGTACAATATGCAAAATGGTACCAAGCACAATCATTATACAAACCACCAGAAATAAATAGTGAAGAAACAAGCCACTTGTATTTACCTTGTTTGCCCACATAAGTCCACATGCATTGCAAAGGGTTCTTGGTCCATCAGGTCCACGTCGCATCATTGGTGTACACTTCTCATTGATGCCACAGTGTCGACAGCTGGCAATAACTCCACAGTACATAGCAATAATAAGACTACAAAAATGAGTTCAAAGAGAAAGATCCTACTGCTATCAAACTTTTTATCAAACTATCTTCGGAGAGGAGGGATTCGAACTTGAGACCTTGGGTGTAGGGGTAAATGTTCTTTTCACTGTATGCTCATGGAAAGGAATAAAACTATGGTCTCAGTTCAAGGAGCTCACACATGTAAATTTTGACAAAGAGAAGCCGAGAAAATATAACCCTACTTGCACAAGTATGGCACCACAATTATTCTACTCTCAAAGATTATATGTCATATTTTATGGGAAACTTAAAAGGAAAAAAAGGAAAAAAGCCTTTAATTGCTTAGATTATCAAGGCTAGATATCTGATTCTATCCCAAACAGAATCCACCTCCTCCACACCCTATCATCAAAATTCTTTTCATTTCTTTCAAAGCAACCTGTCCAAATAAAAGCCAAAGCTAAATCTTGCCAAAGCGTAATAGCCTTTTCTGCCCCAAAACCCAAAATATCCTTGTGGCCATCAGAGATAAGATAGCATATCATGAGCAGAGCAGTGTACTTCAGCAGGTAACCACAAGCTCAATTTCTTACAGCTATATCCTTTCCAAATTTAAACCTAGTATAAAATTACAACCTTCAAATGCATTAATTACAAAAATATGTTTGTTCCTCTACAATATCTTCTATACAGCTGAATTACCTTGTTATTCCACATTAATGTCTTGTCCTATTTCATGACCTATTCAATTTGAATGAAGTCCATTGACTCCATTCAATTTGCATATTCTTTACATTTAACAGTACAATTGAAAAAGTCTTCAATAGTGGTGCTTCATCAACAACCACCAGACAACTTCACTAACCACATGACAGTTCTGTATACTCGTTTTGGTTTCTCATAGTTCGGGGTTTTGATAAAGCTATATGCATTTCTAAAAATATATAAGAACTACTGGATCGACTTCTTCGCTTTCCTTAAAATCTATAAATATCTTTCTTCAAAGCCTGCCGTGTCCAAATTGTTCCTACATCCATGAAGGTCTACTTAATAATTTGTTATAAAATTTTAATTTTTTATGTAAAATTCACAGATCGCAGACATTAAGAAATTTGAATAAGACATGTTGTTAACTTACGCAGCCTCTTGATGTTGGGATCCATTACCATCCTGACTCCAGCTCTCGTTCGAGCCCGAACTTGTGACAGCTGATGCAGAATCATCATTACTGGGTTTAGAAGATGTGAATTGACCTTTCTTTCGTTGCATCCTACAGCAGTAATCATGACCATCACTCAAATTTGCCATAGGCTAATAAGGCATCATAATTCATTTATTAATGACAGCTATTTAGAATGAGGAAATCCCTCAAAGTGAAAACAAGGCAACAGCAGAAGGGAAAAAGCATATCTAACACAAGGTTGAAAATGTTGATGTTGGTGGAAATCTCGGTTGATTCTGATTGACAGAAGTATCAATGTTGAATTAACTTTAGAACATTGAATCGTAAAGTAAATCAATTGATAACATCCCTAGCAGTGAGAAAAGTACCTTATTACCTATATTCTGCCTAAAGTGAAGTCACATTCAGCCCATGGAATTAGTGTACATAAGCAACATCCCTAGCAAGCATCCCTAGAAATGAATAAGGCTATATGCTAGCATGCTATAGCTACTGGTTCATGAACTACTTACTATTTGAAACTATACATCATTGGAACCATTTATTGGTTTTCCATCACTAATCTTAGATTGAAGTCATAAAATACAACAAAGAACAAGTATTCCTGCAAAAATTGAACTAGTTTACCTCATAATTCATTGGTTATTATGAAATGCAGATGCCATACCTAAGTGCTACCTCTTTTCGAACAGTATAACGAATCTTCTTGTCAAAATTTCGTTCTTTCCGTTTTTCACGGAATCTAATTAGTGAAGCCAGTCTTTGAGGGACAGTCAACCGTTGTGGAGTACTAGTAAGGGCCTGGTTGAATTCTTGTTAGCAAGATGCTATAATACAAATAACTGTTAAGAAATCACTTGAGACCAAGTTCAGATACCCGATTAGTATGCTGCATGGTTACTGGGACAGCAGGCATGCTTGGAGGTACTTCACGGCCCCCCAGTAGTAACAACACAGCTTGAACCTGAGGAAGGTAATTCAAATAAATCAGAAGGCTTTCTCTTTATTAAGCTACTAAGAAGACAAAGTAGCCACAAGTAAAAAAATTATAGATTTCAAAGTACCAAAAGAACATTCGAAAGACTACAGTTTTCCATAGGCAAACTTTTGAAACATGTGCCAGAAAGTAACAAGCATGGCAGTCTTACACTACTTTATAACTCAATCTAAGTTTAGGATCCAATGTTATTGCTTACATATCTACATGCTCCCCAGTTTTATATAGAACGCTAGTAACACTCCATTTATTATGTATGGCAATGTCCGTCAATAGACTCCCATTTTACCATTTTTCACTCATTTGTGTTTACAGTTATATTTACAAATCTACATGGTCCACAATATTATCAAGAACTCTAGGAACACTCCATTTACTATGTAAGCGGCCAAGTCTAAGAATAGTTCTCCCATCTTACCATTATCTTCATAGTACATTCCAAATTCTCTAAGGTCTGTATAACTCTTCGATGCCAAAAATTCAGTATGCAGATACGTTTTCAATATTACTTGAGTAACTAGAAAAACTATGCTTCCCAGATCAGTTTTCTTGTAAAAGTCAAACATTTTCGCCAGTCATGTGATACATCATATTCATGAGAATTCTATTAGACAATCAAAAGACCAAATACTTGAAGCAATTCATCTCGAGCATAACCATTATCAATCAAAGCTTAAACAAACACTGCAACAAGCGCATAATGTGTTAATAAAGCACGCCAATAGAGCTAATTCCAGTAACAAGCCACACAAGCATAAATGAAATATACCATGTAGAGAAAACAATAACAACTGGCAGCATAAAAGTTCAGGATAATCAATCAAATCACCTTCTCAGGTGACACACAGTCGAACACGAAAACCTGACCCTGAAACGACAATGTGAGCTGGTCCCCATTTTCGGGGCCATGGTCCATCATCCCATCATGCGTATCAGAAAGATTCATGGGGTCAGATGGGACATCGGCTTGGACAAGTTCAGCTCCACCACTTCCATTATCATGATCATCAGCCACCCCATTTACATTGCTTATATGGTCCAACCCGTGATGATGCTCATGCTCTTGCATGTATTGCAAATGCAGATTATCATTCATATGCATGGGTTCATCGCTGCCACAGATGTCATCCATTGCGCACTACTCAATTTGTATCACACTCTTCCAAGATCACTACTCCTTTGTACAAACTTGTGTAAATTTACTGCTTTTCACCTTCATGTCAATGCTAAAGCTATCAATTCAAAGATCAAATGGCTCAGCGCTCTGTTTGGTTGCCAAAATGCAGGGAAACAAAATTATGATAAAAATTGCAGAGAACTGTGCTAATACACGCAAATGATGTATTTAGTTCAAGGTAGTATTACTGTGTTTGATTGCCTAGAAAATGCAGGAAAATTAAGAAAAAATAATAAGAAATCTTGACAGAATCGTACGAAATGGAGTTGCAGTATAAGTGAGAGTGATTTGCTTAGTTGAAGTTAGTAATTGAACATTTCCATAATTTTCCTCCCGTTTCTGGGCAAGCAAACAGAAATTTCAATGCGAAATGGAGAAAAAAAAAATGGAAATTTTATATCATCGGAATTACCATTCGAGGGTAAGATAATTCAGAACTGGGATAGCGACATCCGAGAATGGAATAATTAATTCCGATTCCGGTTTGTGATTCCAAACGATGTACAGCAGAAAAAACAGAACACGAGACACTAGAAAATTCGGGTAGAGATGAAGAACGAAGATGATTGGCCGTTGGATTGAAGTGAGCGCCTTTTATGATCAACGGTGGGATCGTGCGGAGGCCTTCTGTTGTCAGGTATTTCGAGAATTGAAGATTTGTCCTCAATCCATTAGATTTAGGGTTTCTTAAGGAAATAACATGTTTATATAGCATTAGAAAACTGGCTTCTCTTTTAATAATAATGATAATAATAATAATTAAAAACTGACCTATTTTTGGGATATGGCAAGGTCGAATACAAGACTTTGGATTACCAAATTTGTTTACCAAATAATGTTAGCTAATGTGTCAAATACCTTACTCTATCTTAATAAAACTGTAACATGTCTTCGACCCTCGGATAACCAATATGTTCATCAAATAATGTGTTAGCTAATGTGTCAAATGAGCGTTAAGAATTGGTTCCATATTTCTAATCTCAGTCATTGAATTGCGTTCATTAAATGTGTTGGTAAATATTTAATATGCAATATACATGTAATCTAACTGTCAAGATTATAAATATGTAACCAATCGTTAATATAAAAATACTGTAGAATATTATTGACCTGGGATAACCAAATATGTTCATGAAATGATGTGTTAGCATACGATTGTAGACAAAGGCTGGTTCAACTCCTAGAGCCGTGCATGTAGGGATATTTAAAACCAAGTTCTATCTTCACCTCACCTATGTCAACCAAAATCTCAACAGAACAACTGAAGCAAAACCCATTTGGCCGATATATGATCCTAAGAACAATAAAAAAGGGAAGTTGTTCTTAGCACCCCAAAAATATAACGGAGAAATTGCATTCTGAGTACTAGATGACTTTATTTAACTGTCAATAACAACTCCCTTTAAAAGAACTTGCAACTTCAGCAGCAAGAGAACCCATGCACAGAGAGAGAGAGAGAGAGAGAGAGAGAGAGAGAGAGAGAGCACTTATGGTCTGTAAATATTCAATAAGTAATTTCTGCCCATCAAGTCATTTATTCAATTGGGCTTACAAATCATAAATGTCATTGACATGTCAAATAGAGGGGGGAAAATAAAAAACAAAACATTCCTCCATGAAATCACAAAGGTTCATCCATTCCCAACTGGTTAAGAGGAAATATTCATTTTCCTATGAGAGAGAGGTGACGACTGACAAATAATCTGTATATCCTATGTTACAAATCCATCACTGTGAAAGAAGGGCACACATGTCTCACCATAGAATACTTCTTCCACCAGCAGGTGAAATTTGTAAAGCCGCATAGTTTCCTCATACAAAAGCTGACATTAAATTTCAAGGACTAATGCATTTTACTATTTGGCCCTTCATCTACTTGGACCCTAGAATTACAAAATAATGAACAGAAAATAAATCCTATTAATCTCGTGATCGGCCCTCCTTCCTGCCACGCAATCTAATCTTTGGTCTATCATCCCCCTTTGCTCTTCCAGAATTTGCTTCATCATGCCTTGCCACAATTCTTAGTGGGTGAGCTTCCGTGTTGAAAACCCATTCATCTAGTGAGATGACTGAGGAGGGTGAAAAAAGAAGATAGAGATATTTGAGAGTCTCCGCAAGAAAGAAGCTTTGCATCATATTGTCTTTGTCACCAGTGTTAACCTGATAACCACCAACAGCCCGCATAAATGAGAAACCATATGTTACCAGTAAAAAAACATAAAAATTATTCCACCGGCTTGAAGATTCAGTCTACTAAGGAGCAAGTATATTTGATTAGTTCAAATATTCATGAGATGAAAGCAATAATGGAGACGATAAAATATTGCAGCCCCAAAAGATTATTGGTCAAAAGAAAAATGGTTTTCAGTTAACACCCAACCTCTAGAAAAAGCATCACCAACACGAGATTCAACCATGAAAGGTCATGCAAATTAAATGCATAAGAAAACTTGAATGGAGGCGCAATGGTAGTTATGAGTTTGAGAAGTGCATACATCTTTCAGTCCAACATATCCTGACTCTATGCGGGAGTTCTTTTCAAATGCTTGAAATATATTCCAGCCCCACTCTTGGTATGTTTGTTGCCAGTCAAACGCCAGAGGTAAAAAAGTGATTCAACTGTCTCTGGTCTCAATATATTCCATGACGTACCCACACTCAAGTCCTGGAAATATCAAACATAGACACCGTGTGAGAAAATATTAAGTACATGGCATCGAATAAACAAAAATCAGGATAACTAACCTCGCCAGCACGAAAGAAATAGTTCTCTCCAGCTAATTTTGTTGGTGTAGACTGGTAGAAATTATAGCATGTCCAAGCAAGCTGAAAAATAGGCTTACAGTATCCAGTCAAACGCTAAAAGGGTACACTGTTTGGAAGCTGACTATTATTAAAAAAATTACGAGCTTTATTTGTACTTTTTTCTATCAGGAAACATGAACTTATAATAAATAAAAGAAAATTGAATTACAGTAAAAGTCAGACAAGATGTCTATTTATGCTCTCAACCAACAATATCTAAAACAACACAGATTCACAATAGGCCCAACAATATTCACTACTCATGAAAATTCTCTCTACATAAAGAACCAATGAAATATAGCTTCTTTTGTTTTTTTCCCCTTTTTGGCTAGGCAAACTATCCACCAGAGATTCAACCCCCAAACTCATTCTTCACCCTTATTCTGCCCAACAGTATTCACACTAAAACAGTTATATAAGCCTACCTAATTGCCTTCCAACTTCTACTTGAGCAATATAAGCCGTTTGAGTCACATTAAACCTAAAAACATAAATTTCACAAGCTTTAATCTATCATATAAACCACCAAAAGGCCCTAACACAAACCAGTTCTTACTGTTCTATATCAGATTTAGTGCTGAAAAGTAATATGACAAGTTTCTACAATGTCCTGACATTTTAGTATACACATGGTACTCTCTAGCACAAAATTGTGGGCATGGTTTGGATGCAACAGAATTGTGACAGCTACAGTTGCTTCCACAAAACTTATACATAGGAAAATTTGTGTGCCAAATCACACACACACACAGCATCTCAGTTAATAGAGCCTGTCCAACTGACATGAAATATGGGTTCAAAAGAGGCCCTATATCTCAAAGTAATACCTCTTCTGCAAGTGACAAGAATTTCTTAGAGTCCTCAGGACCATAACCAGATGATCCTAAAGCCAGCATTCCTGGAGCAAAGCACGCTAGTTCGTCCATCTGCATTGGAAAATGCCACTCAAAATGAAACACGGTAATTTATTGACATAGCATTAATGACGCTGCAAACGATACTTTACCTTATTTGTCAGAGTTCTCCCATTCTTCTCACATATATATGTAAAAGATGATGGTGTTGTTTTCCGGATCAAGCTCAACAGACCTTTCATTGATGTCTCCCACATATCTCTGCTTCCAAAATTCCACAAAAGAATTTTGACATCAAGATAAATTTAAAGAAGACCATGATCACATATCCACTTCAAAATAGAGTTCAGAAAAAGAAAAGGTTAAAAAAAAAAGGGACTACAAGACTTTTTGACCTTAAAGAACTACAAGATTTTGTGGCCTCAAAGAATACAGATTCTTCCTAGTACCAGAGCAAAAGTCACATGATGCCTTTTATGGTTTCTAACGTTAAGTTCTACGACAAAATTGGTCTTTCAAGCACATGCTTCTCACAGCTCTTTAAACCAACCAGAATTTTGTTGTGGCAAAGTGACTATAACCATCTAAAGAAAATGACAAGCTTCTTACCTATAAGGCTTTACAGCTGTAGTTCTATTCCCCTGTATCCAAACTTTGAGTAAATATTCATAGAAGCTGCAATGGATTGTTTCAAGTTGATTACACCATTGTTTTAAGCCAATCGCACCAGTATACCTTATGAAACCTGAAACTCAGAGAATTACATAATTCATATCAAAATTTTATGCTTACCTGTCACCCATAGCGCCAAAGGTTATAACGGAGTACGCTGACGTTCCTCTTTCTGGGTCAATATAAATAGGAAGCAAGCCATCATCAGGGAAAGTTTTGTTAAGCTGCACTATAACATTCTCAGCCTGGAAATCAACATTCAAGCAATTAGTTTAACATCACTAAAATAAAAATTCACTGATATATGCCTTTCTTATATAACCTAGACAGATATACAAGTTATGTTCTGAATACAGTTTACACACATACTATGAGCAACAAGTCATAATATACCAGACATCATGAGTTAAATCAAACTAAATGTTCCTGTAAATGCGCTATTTGACCAGGGTAAAGAAAACACTAGTACACATGGTAGTAAATGTACCTTCTGCTGATATTTCAGATCTCCTGTCCTCTCAGAAAGAGCAATAAACTCCACCTGCTCTGTGCCGGAATCTGCCAAGATACTTTCACCCTAAGAGCATGATGAATTAAAATTACAGAAATATTAATCAAATTCCAAAACACTACTTGTAATTGTTCAAAATGTTTCAGAAAAATTACAAAAGAGATCTGCACATGCAACAATATCAATAAGCATAAACACAACTTAGGGTAATGTGATATTGTAACAAGAGACAATCTGAAAATTGTATTTTTTCTTCACTACTTACTCCAGTCCAAGAAGGATTGTGCGGTCTTCCATGTGCCAAGTTGATAATGTTGTAAGGGATTCCACTAGGTGTATCCCATGCAGGCAGCAATCTGTCTGCAATATCTCTAGCCTTATCAAGGAAAACTTTATCTTCTGAAAGATCATATGCACTGAGAAGGCCACCTACAACTCTGGGTTTTCAGAAAAAACGATAGACATGATACATCAGAAAAGCTGCTTTTGGAAACCAAAAAAGCAGGAAAAATAAAGTGAAGCCCCAAACAGCCTGTTATAAAAGGGAGAAAATAATTAAAATCAACCATATATTAAACCTTATAATGCAACCTTATGGTTGTCTCAAAAACACTAGCCTCATAATCCTTGTTAAAATCCAAAGAGTTTGCAACCCACCTGCCACAGAAAAGATATTAGTTATAAAACATTATCATAAAGATGTAATGTGTAAAGTTGTAGAATGAGGTTGTGAGCAAAAAGAACCAAAAAAAAAAACAGATGGGAAAAATAAATGAATAAGTAAGAATCAATGGTTTAAAAAGCGCGCCTCGCCACGAGGCGCTGAGGAAACACATCAGAGCGCTCAACACAGGGTGGAATTCCGTTTAGGTGTTATACAGGCATGCTGGAGGAACAAAAGAAAAGGTGATCTAAGATGGTTTACACGGTGCAATGAAAATCTGTCAAAGCGCTGTGCAAAGATTAATTTTGGTTCAAGCTGAAGGAGATAAGGGACAAGAAGCTGAAACAGCATTCATAGATATATACATAGGACTTGATAGTTGACAGAAATATGGCCCGACATAGGAGCAATGACACAATATAGCCCAGGTATCAATCCCCAAATAGTTTGGACTTTGACATAATTAAGTGAGGGCACTGGACACACTATAACCATGTATAATTAGTAGCATGACTTATTCTCTTATTACCTTGCTTTTAAGGTAAGCGCGTGAGTTTAACCCACAAAGAAAATGTGATCCATACGAAAAGATGAGGAGAATAGCTTATATTACAAACTAGGAATAAAAGAAAACTTCCATGAAAAATTCTAGTAAAAATTAAAAAAGCGTTTAGAGCCCTTGGTGGTTAAAGACAGAGAGTAATGCGATAAGGGTTCAAATACCTATCCACAGAATATGCTACCAAAGAAAATAAAAAATAGAAACTTCAACTCACTCTCTAGCTTTCTGGAACTGCTCATGAAGACCCATTATATACAACGTATCAAGAGAGTCTACTATTGTTGCTCCAAGACCACCAAAGCTATTAACACCATTCTTTGATTGTGGCTGGTACATGGAAAACAATTTTTATGTTAGAAATTTGTACTAAACAGAACAACATCATCAATAACATATGGAAAGTAAAAAAAAAATTAACTTGGTAAAGATATTAAGTTTGTGGTCATTACAAATAGAACTGTCAGTGCGCCCAGGCAACTTTAATGCTCCTTAGATTGTTTATCAAGCACAGGAAAAGGAATGCAGTGTATCAGATTAGAGACATTAGCACCTACATTTATTTTGTTGAACAATATGTAAGACACATGCTGAGATTAATCAGGCAGATACAAAGTCTGTATACATATCATCTGCTTTTTAATGTGTAGGAAATTTTTAAATTTTACTGTTTATTTTTTTAAAAATTTACTGTTGATTTCTCTGACTAATTCTCCACTAGTGCATCATTTATCCTCCACAACAAATCATATGAGCTCCAGCTCTCCTATGCCCAACAGAATATTGATCAATGCGTCTCCACCATTAAGATCAATCGATAAAGTCCATTGAACCTAACATGTGGACTTCAACATTGTTCCAACAAAAATCCATCCCTGCGTCCTCCTGGACTCTTGCACTTTTATGTTCTTTGCCACTACTCTCCAACCTTTGGCCAATTTTCTAAGGATAAATAATTCTTCACAACACCAAATGAGTCTAAAAATTTGGAAGTGGCGAGTAATACTAAAATTTTACTGCTGCTTAAGAGCTTACATAACGTTTGAATACCATACAATATATAGGACCCGATACAAAAGGATCCTAGCACAATCTCCTTAAAGAGATGGTAATAAATAGATCAGTACAGACAAATATTTTTTTGCTTAAAAAGACCATAACTTAAGTATTAAAGGGAGTATGTACAGTGCCATCCACTAAATAATTTTGCTTATTTACAGTCTGGTTTCAGAAACCCAATATGTAATAACTTTTCTAATTAGTTACATACTGGCTGAAAGTTAGACCAATGCTTGAAAACCTTGCCAAAGTCAAAACTTCGGCAAACTACCAATGATCAACTTAAGAAACACCAGACCAAAAAAAAAAAAAAAAAAAAAAGATACAAAAACAAAAGGAAAATAAAACATTGTAGGACCTCATTTCAGCCAAACAGCAGCAAAAGGAATACGTGGGTAAAAAAAGGCCATAATGCAGTGTACATGCTTTGAGATACAACTTCAAAAATGAAATAGATATGATATACTTGAAAGGTCCATTATACCTGAAGTTCATCTTGGCCCCATGCATACTTCTCATATGAACTCCATGCATGAATCATGCTTCTTTCACTTTTTCTTGTCTTTGAATGTCAATCGGGTCATCTGGAACAACCTCTTTCTCACCATCCCTGCCCTTGAATATGTTCTTTTTAGTTGCATCACCTTGCACATTTTCCGAGTCTTCCACCTGCGTGTACAGTATACCATTAGTTGACACTTGACACATATCTACCCTTAAAAAATAGACTAAAAGAATGCTGCAGGGCATTCCAAAATATATATGTTCATCTCTAGGCATAAATATTTAATCAAATCAGGTTACATACAACATAATCTGTTCAGGTTCAAGGAATATTTGCAGCCCGATAAGGGGACCTTAAAGCTCTTTAATAAATTATAAATGTTTTATTTGAAAACATGTTTATAGTGGCTTTACACAGTCGGGTGGGTGGGAACTGGAATAAAACTATTAAGTGTTAATTATGCCTGCAATGGCACTACCCCATCCCAAGTAAAAGGATGAAAATGACGGCAATTAAAGACCACAGACAAGAAGTAGCTCAAGCTTAAAGATGAACCAAGGCATAAGTATTTAAAAGCTTACCAAACTTTTCAAATGGTGCAATTGTTCATTTAACTTAGAAACTTCTTCCTGCAAGTCATAAACAAGATCATTAGATGCATGAAATTATAACAAATAAAAAAAGGTACAACTCTTACACCTCAGGTATGCAATAGAGTTCACTTTTCAATGCAAAAGGTTCGATAAAAACAGTCAAATAAAAGATGGATGACTACAGATAACCAGGATCTCTTCTGGGGAATCTAGTTACTCCTAAATGGCATCCCATGAGAAATTTATTCACCATTTTTCCAATTCACAATAGCCCAGGGTTATACTTCAAATCTAAAACGCTGCCACCATCCATAACATTTGTGATGGTTTCCATTAGACAAAACTTAGTGCTCCACCTATCATAATTGTAACAATCAGCCTATCATTTGCTACATGCCCGATCAAACACTTGCTCTGAAATTTTAAATCCTATTAAAAGAAACGCACATCGAAGTTACCAAACATATAAATATATCTTGTGAAAGCACTTAGTGAACTTCAAACTCCCCTATAATGAGATCAACCATTTTTTTTCATCCAGGGTAAAAGATGCTAATATACAGTTCAAATTTTGATCCTCATTTTACCGGGATTTCTCAGCAATCAAACAGACCATACAACTACCAAATCAAAATCACAAAAAGTAAAAGACGAAAGTGAGACCAACCTCGTGCTCTCTGAGGAGAGTTTGACGATCCCAAACAACCAGAGTGACGCACACAAAGGCTATGAAAAGCAAAGCCAAGCGTTTCGGCCTCTTCAAGTAATACGATGGGTTACAGTACCTCAATCTGCTCGACGATGATCTGGTCCTAGCCATCATATCACACAAACACTAACCCTACGATTCAAAGCCACAACATGGAAAACACAACGAAACGTCTTTCCTCGATCTGAAAATAAAGAAACGGCATTCAAATTGTTTTGCAGAATCGAAGCGCTGGAAATGAAAAACGGTGTGTAATTAGAAACGTTTCGAGCTGCAATGAAAGAAGGGGAATGGGGTTTGATGGTTTTTTCTTTTTGGATGTGATCTCCCGTTGAATGAGGTGCGCGTTTCGGTACCCAGGACGACACGGTGTAGAAAGGAAGGAGAGGGTTTGTGATGACTTTTGAACTTTGTCGATCCGCGGAAGTTTAATACGGAGAGAGAGAGAGAGAGATTGTGGAAGAGAAAGACTGAAGACTAAGAAAAGTATTTTGTTGTCTGCAAAAGAAAAAAGACAATTTTGTTGCGAGCAAAAATAAATAAAATAAGTTTGTAATAAGAAAATAAGTTTGTAGTTAGCAAAAATAAGAAGAAAAAATAGGAAAGAGTTTTTCGAAAAAATTCCATAATATCGCAATATATAAACCAATTGATGTGCCTAACTGACTGAAAATATCGGTAGCGAAATTTCCCCTAAAAATTGACCATAAAGATGGGATATTGCCCAAAATATTGCAAATAAAAAAATGAAATTTTCACGGATGAGATTATCAATATTTATCATGTCGAAAAAGAACCTGAAAAATTCGACTGGGGAATTCGCCAGGAAAGGTATCTCCCCGCCGCACGTCTATGTTGGGTTTTTTCCAATTTTTTTTTAAAGACGTAGTATAGCCGGCCGGCTATATTGGGTTGCTTCCAATTTTTTAAAAGAAAGAATAGGGCCGAGCGGCTATACTCGGTTTCTTAATTTTTTAAAGAAATAGTATATCCGCCAGGCTATACTGTGTTTTTAATTTTTTAAAAAAGAAATAGTATAGCCGCACGGCTATACTCCTTTTTTTCATTTTTTTAAGAAATAGTATATTCGCTCGGCTATATACGGATATTTTCATTTTTTTAAAAAATAGTATGACCGAGCGGCTATACAGTTGCTCTCAAATGATCCATAACTCTAATTAACAATCACAAAATGACATACATATGGGAATCACAGACAACGATTGGAAAAATCGGCCGCCTAGCCCGATTTTTTTCCAACACTGTTTAAAACTCCCACAAACTATTTCAGCTGTTCTCAGATGATCCATAACTCTAATTACCGAGCACAAAATGACATATATGTATATATATATATATATATGCATAGTTCAAGTATGAAATTACCTAAATGGCATCGATGTCATCCTCAGGTGTGAGAGCTTCTGGTCTCTCTGCAAGCTCTCTTTTCCTCAGCTTTCGCTGATTTCTCTTTGCATTTTCCTGGCTTCTTCGTCTTCTTCTGCATGTCTAGAAACACTGCCAAAGAGGCCCAGAATCGGAGCGAGGAAGAAGAGAGAGAGTTATCTGGACGACGCTAATACTACGATTTTTATTATTTACAAATAGTATAGCCGTGCGGCGATACCATTTGTGACGCATGGCGGAATGTGAGCAAGCACCGGGTGGGTCCTTTTTTGTTTATGAACAGTATAGCCGTTCGGTTTTTGTTTTTAATAAAAAGAGTAAAGCCGCGCGGCTATACATAATTATGAGTGGTTTATTCGTCTTTCCAGGATGGTATTTATGTGTACAAGTATACAACAAAAGGAAAGTAATTACAATCCCATCTAATACAGGAATCCTATAATTATACAGGATTACAATTCCTAATTTAAATCAATTAAATGATTTACGCCAACATTCTATTCTCTCTTCAAATGTACATGTAAAAAAAAAAAAAAAAAAAAAAAAAAAATATTATGAGACTTTCTAATAACATAGACTTCTTGCTTAAGTCTGATTACCTTGCCATAGTTTGCAAAGTTTTTTTTTAGGGTGTACTCAACATTTGCAGTATCTGTGGTGATAACATAATTTATGAACAAGTTAAGCGCCCTATAAGTTTTGTGTTTGTATCTAAACTCAGTCATGTAATCGTGCATCCTAGAGAAGTTCATTAGAGTGTTTAAGGAGTTTGTGACAACATGATGGTATCTCTTTTTGCTCTCAGTGTACCCAATCTTCTAGCATGGGACTGATCATAATTGTAGCTAAAATTACTGCTAAACTTATTGCTATGGGAGGTATCGGAGTGGAAAGAAAATCCATGACACTGAAGACAAAAGTCGAGCACAGAGTGAATATTAGAGCATACCTCGAGGAATTTCTTCCAGCAAGTGAATTCATTCCATAAGGGTGCTTGCTTGATGACGGTGCTTAACTTCTCAGATAGCAAAATTACAGCTCTCATGGTCTTATACATGAAACATTTCATTGAAAACAAGTAGACACCTGCCTTTCCTCATGAAAACTACACCCTAACTGTCTTTTCATGATTCTCATTAGAGTGATTCTGTAAAGCGCATGCCTTTCTGTCTAGATATCGTTATTCAACTTATACAAGACCAATAATACTTCCTCCATTACAATTTACATCTGGTGATCCTCTCACAGAGAATTCAAGAAGAACCCCGTCAATTTCAATCATGCTACAGCCCGGGACCTCCTTTTTTATCCCTGTTTCTTTCATTAAGGATTTGATTCTCTTTACGTCATCAAATCTACTAGCTTTGACATATATATCACACAAGTTCACATAAAAAGCATGGTTCAGAGGTTCCAAATCAATTAAATATTGCGCCACCCTTTCTCCTAACTCGACCTTTCCATGTATTTGACAGCCTCCGAGCAATGCACCCAAAACAAATGTATCTGGCTTCATTGGCATGCTTCTTATAAGCATATCAACCTGGCACGACTAAGCATATCAACCATGCTTGCATAGTGATAGAGTTGCGGTTCAATTAAGTAAACACGCTTCATCACACGAAAACACCAGCGACCTTTCTCTACTAAACCAGAATGAGCACAAGCTGACAACAGCCCAACAAATGTCACATGGTTCGGCTTCACCCCAGTTGTTTCCATCTGTCTAAAAATATCAAAAGCCTCATTGCCAAACCCATGGAGAGCCAGCACTGAAATCATAGCTGTCCATGCCAAAGTATCCTTTGTTGGGCATTTCCTGAAAGACCTTATACGCTTTGTCCACACATCCGCACAATGACCACATCACTCGCCAAGCAACTTCTTCTCAGGTACCCATGCACCCATATCCCATGATCAAATGCACCAAGATGAGCACAAGCTGCAAGGACACTGGCAATCGTGATCTTATAATTATCCGGTCTAACCATATCACCACTGGTGATCTGGCCTCCTTTGGCCGACCACCTTGAACAAACAAGGTCAAGCAATATGTAGTACCATCACATTGATCGTATAACAAAAGTTCAGCAGAATACCTCTTCTGTATCAATCACCTCCCAGTGACCATCTTCTGAAGATTCGATATAAACCCTTCTATGTCCTGGGTCATATGCATTACAAGGGCCCAAGAAAAGCCAGTATCTATTGTATCTACGATCAGACCCCAAAAACACAAATTGCATTGGGTGTAAGTCAAACCGCACTTCTCTTTCTTTTCCATTTTTCTCTTTTGTAGAGAATCTCTAGTCAGAGAACTTTGAGATTGATTCTGAAGAATCTATAGGGTGAAACTTTAATCTATAATCTTCTTTTGCACCACTCATATGTCCTGCATGGACCCAGGTTGGCCTGGGCATGCCAAGTTGTTTAGTTGATAACCTCTTAATTTTCGCCCCTGAACCAGAATGAAGGCTGCTAGGAATGCATTCAGCAATAGCATTTATAGGATCCTATAAAGGAATAAGAAGAAAATGAGAGACATGTTTAATATGCTGAAAATTACTTAAATACCATGCATGTTTAAATGCTGTTGAAAACTATAGTTACAATTGAAGCACATTTAAGAACTCAGTGGGGAAATACATGATACATGACAATAGCAAAGACAACAAGAAGCTATATCAGTTTCCGTTTTTTTGTTTTTGTTTGGAGAAGCCAAAGAAGGTAGCCGTAATGAACCCGTTAGGACTTCAGTCAGGTCACATATGTGCAACCCAAAAGGTAGATCCAATTTTAAGCAAAACCCATGTCAACAGGAAAATCTCTAGCATCAGGATTGGTTGCCCGCCAGACCGTCATCAAACCTTTTCCAACTCGGGGTTTTTTTAATAATAAACAGAGTATAGCCGACCGGCTATACTACGGTTTTTATTATTTAAAAAATTAGTATAGCCGGGCGGCTATATTACTGTGACACGTGGCGAAATGGCGCTAGGCGCAGGCGGGGCTTTTTTTAATAAATCCGAATATTTTTTTAAAAGTGTATAGCCGCCCGGCTTTACGGGGGCCTTTTTGAATAAATATTATACCCGACCGGCTATATTCTTTACATGAGACACCGTTGCCATTTTGAGTTGACCAGTACTTTTTGTAAGAGTTCGATTAAAATGATTTTCAGAAATGCTTGCCTCATCTAGGAATGACAGATTTCCCAAGGACACTGGAATTGGACCTGATATTGAATTATTCGAAAGAGCAAGGAGGCGTAAATGTCTGAAATTTCCTAGCTGATCGGATAGTGGACCTGAAAAATCATTTGTTGACAGCTTCAGTGACTCCATTTAACCTGAACTACACCCTGACAAGCTTCCCAATATTTTTGATACGCTTCCATTGAAATAGTTCCTTGACAGATCAAGACCCGTCAACTTACAAAGATTTCCCAATGAGTTTGGCATTTTCCCTTCAATTTGATTAGCAGACAAGTCAAGATTGACAATGGCTGTCAAGTTTCCAATGGAACTTGAAATTTCACCTCGCAAGAGATTCAAATAAAGGGATAGGGACTCAAAATTGCTACAAGTGTACAACCATTGAGGTATGGTACCCCAGATGATGTTCCACCTGAGATTAACAACTTTAAGCCTTGTCATGTTTGCAACACCAACTGGTATTTGATTGAGTTCACAACCGGGACATATGCAACTCTACCAGCATAGAGGGAGTGTGTTTGTCACCTGAAACCAATCAGATGCTTTGCTAAGATCTACACACTCATGTCCAGGTTCTGCAAGCTCGAAAGACCAGAAAGCCATTGGAGATTCTCAACCTTCATCCCGTAGTAGCTTTTACTCCAGAGTCCTAGAGAGTGTAGACTCGAGAGATTTCCCAATTGATGCGGAATTATTCCAGCGAACTTTGAGTCTGAGAGGTTAAGATATCTTAAACTTCTAAGAGAACCTAAGAAGCTAGGAATCTGTATTCCTCCAAAATCATTGTTGCTTAGATCCATGTAGCTCAGATGCTTTAAATTTAGTAGAGAATTATTTACCTTGCCACACAAAGAGCTTTCTTGATACAAACTGTAATTCAGATACTCATCTGAATAATAATTTCCAAGGTGCAGCTCACGGACATGACCGGTTAAATTGTCGCAGACAACTCCAGTCCAATTGCAACAATCTCCCTCACCAACCCAAGATAAAAGCCTATTCGAAGGATCCTTAAGATCTTGCCTTAACATTAGAAGTGCTTGTCTCTCATTTTGTTTACAAGGCACACCCAAATTTCCATTGCATAAGCTAATGGTAGTAATGGTTGCAATGCTTAGAAATCTGAAAAATGAAACAATTCTCATGGCTTTGTACATGAGGTTATATCTTAATAGGGAATGTGTGTGAGCAATATAACTCATTTAGAATGGTGCAATATATACACATACTACTACACTAGAACTGAGAGTGAAGGTCCAAACTCGATATTTTTTTCAAAATAATTTTCAAAAATGGTGAACAAAGTCGTTGAGTATGTAGACTAGTAATAAGTTATGGGTTTATCCAGAGGAAGAAGACAGAAGAAAATAGAAAAGAAAGTGTGGGATGACTTGATAAAAAAAACAAAAGCAAAATAAAAGATTAGCATAACCTCTTCGGCTGGCGGGGACTGAATTCAGACTTTGTAAGAACATATAACTAGGTAAAGTTTCAAAAGTTGAAAACACATAACAGACATGAATAAAATGAAACAAATAAACAAATAATTCAGATGGAATCACAAATTCCGTATTACGATTAGGATCAAAATGGTTTGCTTCTTCTGGTCATTGGTTAGGGAAAGGTAGATACAGTTAAAATAATAATATTAAATAGATCTAACTATGATCACAGTTATGTATCCCAAACCAAACTATAAGCACATAGCAAGAACATCCTCTCAGACAAAGCTATATGGTCACAACTGACAAAAGGGATCAGGGAAATTAGTAATTGCTTGTATATATGGCTTCCACCTTCCATTCCACTTACATAAAATCACACTATTTCCCTTGCTTAGTCACAAAGCAGAACAACTTTGTACAACAAAAATAACTTCAGTATTATAGCTCTACCTCTACCATTATTTTCAAATATGACAAAACCTACGTATATCCTTGGCTAGCCTATGTTTTGCATGACAGGGCTCTACTGCATGATCAGACAGGCTGCAAATTTCATTAAGCCAAAGCAATCGTAGGACAAGTCTTCTTTGGCAGGTCAATGAAAGTGATTGTACATTTGTAGCTGCATCAGTCACCAGTACCTGCCAAGAAAGAGGAGCCCTACGACTGCTTTGCTTATTTGACAAGTATACTTCTTCTAGTATGTATAGATGCTCCTGCTTGTGTTTCAATGATGGACCGGCACGAGTTATATAAGGGCTCAAAGACTCCAAGAGATGGAATAAACCAGTAAGCACACATGGCATATCCTGAGGATTATGCTGTGAACATCCATCAAGGGCTGCTTTTCAAGGATTTTGTTGGGGCCAGGGCTCATTCTGCTGATAGATTTTTCTCCTCCTTATCCGAGCCTTGAAAGCTGCCCTTCTGATATGAACCCTTAAACTGCTTGTATTATTTTGGATTTTCTTATTGAAATACAGGCTAATGTTGCTGCAGGTTGGAAGGCCTGTAATCTATGGCCTTGCAGCAAACGGAGAACGCGGGTTATCGAAATGCTGAAAGATGAGTTTGAGCTCACTATGGCCCTCTGTGGCTGCCCTGGTGTTATGGATATTACCAGGAGCCATGTGAGAACAGAATGCGATAAACTCCACTCCATGCTTTAATTTGTTTTAGAAGCATCAAAATGAAATTATGCAGAGAGATGGATGAAATAAGAATGAGGCCATCAATTATTTGGGAAACTGCTTCAATTAACAGCTATTGGAATTCAACTTGTTTTTTCTTCTCTCTCATATTGTAATTCAACTTCACCGGAGAGAACCATCTTTCGGAAGTCAATTTCCTATGCAAGGTGCATAGCTTTTATCAGCATTTCAAACCGATACATTCAAGGTGCTAGGAGGGAGGCCACCGCTGCGATTTCATCCTAATCGTAAGGAGTAGCCGCCAGGGAGTTGGGCGCCGCCTAGGCCTCCTAGCGCCCGCCTAGGCCGCCTAGGCCTCCTAGCTCCTGCCTAGGCTGCCTAGGCCGCCTAGCCCCCGCCTAGGCCGCCTAGCCCGCCTGGGCTGGAGTTTTGCCGTTGAGACGTCGAAGCTTAAGGTGGCATTGAGGCGCTGCATGAAGAAAGACCGAGAAAGAGAGATGAAGTCGAAACAACGAGAGGAAGGAGTGCCGGCTGCGTTGGGAAGAAGAAGACATATAACCTAATTTTTAATGTAACTAACGGGTTGGGTTTTGTAAAATGGGCTTAAACATTGTATTAAAATGGCCCTAGATTAAAAAAAGTAAACTTTTTTTTAGCAGTTTTTTATTATTCTTCCTTCGAACCAACCTTTGCAAAGTGAACATGCATGATCTCCATTAGTAGTAAAATGATCAGAGCACCCCAGTGCATTTGGCCATCCTTTTTAATTCTCTCAGCTCTAGCTCTTCATCATCCACAAGCATTGCAATCTTATCCGAGTGTTCTTGGGAACCTGCTCCTTCCAAAGCAAGTTCACATTTTTCTTTGCTTGGCAGAGTCTGATATATTCTCATTGTTAGATTCCACCTTGCATCCAAAGGCAAAATGATGTTGCTAAATCTGCTACCTTAAACCGTATATTTGCAAGAACAATTTTTTCACTTACCTCTCTTCTTTTGAAGAAATGTTTCCTCTTTTCTTATACCTTATTTCGTACCCGTCCCTATTTTTGTAAAGGCAACAAATGTCAGACAACTTTCTAAAGGTAACCACTAAGATCGACCTTTAAGATGATCATCCCAAAAGACTTTCTCACATATCTGCAACCAATACAGACTAAATCACATTTTTGTTGTTGCAATCTTCTGTTCCGAGTTACTAGTTTTTGCGATACCCAAGTTAGTGAAACCCATGTCAACAGGAAAATCTCTAGCATCAGGATTGGTTGCCCGCCAGACCGCCATCAAACCTTTTCCAACTCAGGGTTTTATATGTAGAGTATAGCCGCGCGGCTGTACTATTTTTACACATAATGGGTGCTAATATAAATCGTATAGCCGCTCAGCTATATACTCGTGCTTTTTAATAAAAAGAGTATAGCCGGTCGCCTATACTGCGGTTTTTATTATTTAAAAAATGTATAGCTGGTCGGCTATACAATTTTTGACACGTGGCGAAATGGGCTCCAGCTTCAGGCGGGGCCCTTTTCTATAAATAGTATAGTCGCCCGGCTGTACTCCGGATATTTTTTTGAAAGCATATTGCCGCCCGGCTATACTCCCGATATTTTTTTTTCAAAGCAGCTTTACCTGTGTCGTTTTTTTTTATATAAATATTATAGCCGGACGGCTATACTCTTTACATAAGACATTACCATTTTGAGTTGACCAGTAGTTTTTGGAAGAGTTACATTAAAATGATTTTCAGAAATGCTTGCCTCTTCTAGGAATGACAGATTTCCCAAGGACACTGGAATTGGACCTGATATTGAATTACTCAAAAGAGCAAGGAGGCGTAAATGTCTGAAATTTCCCAGCTGAAAAATCATTTGTTGACAGCTTCAGTGACTCCATTTGACCTGAACTACACCTTGACAAGCTTCCCAATATTTCTAATACGCTTCCATTGAAATAGTTCCTTGACAGACCAAGAACCGTCAACTTACAAAGATTTCCCAATGAGTATGGGATTTTCCCTTTAAGTTGATTAGCAGACAAGTCAATATTGACAATGGCTGTCAAGTTTCCAATGGAACTTGAAATTTCACCTCGCAAGAGACTCAAATAAAGGGATAGCGACTCAAGATTGCTACAAGTGCACAACCATTGAGGTATGGTACCCCAGATGATGTTCCACCTGAGATTAAGAACTTGAATCCTTATCATGTTTGCAACACCAACTGGTATTTGATTGAGTTCACAACCGGACAGATGCAACTCTACCAACATAGAGGGGAGTGTGTTTGTCACCTGAAACCAATCAGATGCTTTGCTAAGATCTACACGACTCATGTCCAGGTTCTGCAAGCTCGAAAGACCAGAAAGCCATTGGAGACTTTCAACCTTCATCCAGTAGTAGCTTTTACTCCAGAGTCCTAGAGAGTGTAGACTCGAGAGATTTCCCAATTGATGCGGAATTATTCCAGCGAACTTTGAGTCTGAGAGGATAAGATATCTTAAACTTCTAAGAGAACCTAAGAAGCTAGGAATCTGTATTCCTCCAAAATCATTGTTGCTTAGATCCATGTAGCTCAGATGCTTTAAATTTAGTAGAGAATTATTTACCTTGCCACCCAAAGAGCTTTCTTGATACAAACTGTAATTCAGATACTCATCTGAATAATAATTTCCAAGGTGCAGTTCACGGACATGACCGGTTAAATTGTCGCAGACAACTCCAGTCCAATTGCAACAATCTCCCTCACCAACCCAAGATAAAAGCCTATTTGAAGGATCCTTAAGATCTTGCTTGAACATTATTAGAAGTGCTTGTCTCTCATTTTGTTTACAAGGCACACCCAAATTTCCATTGCATAAGCTAATGGTAGTAATGGTTGCAATGCTTAGAAATCTGAAAACTGAAACAATTCTCATGGCTTTGTCCATGAGGTTATATCTTAATAGGTGATGTGTGTGAGCAATATAACTCATTTAGAATGGTGCAATATATACACTTACTACTACACTAGAACTGAGAGTGAAGGTCCAAACTCAATATTTTTTTCAAAATCATTTTCAAAAATGGTGAACAAAGTCGTTGAGTATGTAGACTAGTAATAAGTTATGGGTTTATCCAGAGAAAGAAGACGGAAAAAAAAAATGTGGGATGACTTGATAAAAAAAACAAAAGCAAAATAAAAGACAAAAATACTTAGTGATAAATCGTGTTATCTATAAGTTAGGTATAAGTTACCTAATAAAAATACCTATAAGTGAGAAACAAAAATTAGAAGACTACCTATAAGTGAGATACATAAAAAAAAAAAAAAAAAAAAAAAAAGTGTTCACACAATACTATTACACATTGTAGAAAATATGAAAAACCATATATATACCTATGCATATAGGCAATATGATATAAATGACTATTACCCGATTCAAGTCATAAGGGGCAACATTGGAATAAAAAATAATTTTGAAAATTAAAAAATTATAAAAATTACATCATAAAATAATAAAAAAGGAACATATGTGGTATAAAAGTCAAAGAACTTGGATCAAAGTCACCAAATCCAAGGACTAAACCCAACTCTTCAATAAGAATTTGGATTTATATCAACTTTTCTATAAAGTATAAACTAATTCAAATAGGAGGGTCCCTTCTTTAATTATTTTTTAATAAATAGTATAGCCGAGCGGATATACTACATTTTTTAAAATTAAAAAACGTATAGCCGGGCGGCTGGACCACGTTTTTTAAAATTAAAAACAGTATAGCCGCTCGGCTATAGCATTTCCGATGAATAAATGATGAAGGAAAAATATTTTCAAAGATGGACCGTAAAGTCTCGGAGAAGGACATTTCGAGAAACAAGAGCCCTCAAAACACTTTGGAGTGGGGGATATCTAACTATGATCACAATTATGTATCCCAAACCAAACTATATGCACATAGCAAGAACATCCTCTCAGACAAAGCCATATGGACACAACTGACAAAAGGGATCAGGGAAATTAGTAATTGCTTGTATATATGGCTTCCACCTATACAAAATCACACTATTTCCCTGCATTGTGCAAAGCCACATCCTAAACTCACTTTGCCTGCTTGCTTAGTCACAAAGCAGAACACCTTTGTACAACAAAAATAATTTCAGTATTAAAGCTCTACCTCTACCATTCTTTTCAAATATGACAAAACCTACGTATATCCTTGGCTAGCCTTGCCTAATATTATACCTTGCCGTATATGGTTTGCATGACAGGGCTCTACTGCATGATCAGACAGGCTGCAAATTTCATTAAGCCAAAGCAATCGTAGGGCAACTCTTCTTTGGCAGGTCAATGAAAGTGATTGTGCATTTGTAGCTGCATCAGTCACCAGTGCCTGCCAAGAAAGAGGAGCCCTATGACAGCTTTGCTTACTTGAGTACTTCTTCTACTATGTATAGCTTCTTCAAGTACACCTTTTCGATGATGGCCCGGCACAGGTTATATAAGGGCTCAAAGACTCCAAGAGATGGAATAAACCAAAGAAAAGGTTTCAATGTCCATGCAAAGATTCTATATGTCACCTCCATTCTGAAACTAGAACTTGCATGAAGAAGATCAATTGGAGCCACTATTGCGCTCAACTTTTCTTCAATGCTTAAATCTGAATATTCACCTTCCATCAGTCCTAACAACCATACTTCTCCTAGATGGCTCTCATCAATTTTGGTGTATACTATCACCACATTATCTTTACTTTTGCCATGGTTCATAAGTCAACTTTTTCATTTTGTTGAACCAATTAAAGACTCTAGTTCCTCTATTTCACTGGAAAGGTTCGATTCAGAAATCTGCAAAACAAAAACAAAAACAAAGTCCATCACTAATTCAAGTGTAATATCACATGAGAGTTTCTGATAACAATATTTTCAAGAAAATTACCTGCAATGACTTCGCCAACTCAGAATCTTTCAACCCATGAATCCTCGCTCTAGCAGAACTCCGAACAATTCACCCTTCAAAGTACAAGTATTGTTGGTTTTTCTCCTCCTTATCCGAGCCTTGAAAGCTGCCCTTCTGATATGAACCCTTAAACTGCTTGTATTATTTTGGATTTTCTTATTGAAATACAGGCTAATGTTGCTGCAGGTTGGAAGGCCTGTAATCTATGGCCTTGCAGCAAACGGAGAACGCGGGTTATCGAAATGCTGAAAGATGAGTTTGAGCTCACTATGGCCCTCTGTGGCTGCCCTGGTGTTATGGATATTACCAGGAGCCATGTGAGAACAGAATGCGATAAACTCCACTCCATGCTTTAATTTGTTTTAGAAGCATCAAAATGAAATTATGCAGAGAGATGGATGAAATAAGAATGAGGCCATCAATTATTTGGGAAACTGCTTCAATTAACAGCTATTGGAATTCAACTTGTTTTTTCTTCTCTCTCATATTGTAATTCAACTTCACCGGAGAGAACCATCTTTCGGAAGTCAATTTCCTATGCAAGGTGCATAGCTTTTATCAGCATTTCAAACCGATACATTCAAGGTGCTAGGAGGGAGGCCACCGCTGCGATTTCATCCTAATCGTAAGGAGTAGCCGCCAGGGAGTTGGGCGCCGCCTAGGCCTCCTAGCGCCCGCCTAGGCCGCCTAGGCCTCCTAGCTCCTGCCTAGGCTGCCTAGGCCGCCTAGCCCCCGCCTAGGCCGCCTAGCCCGCCTGGGCTGGAGTTTTGCCGTTGAGACGTCGAAGCTTAAGGTGGCATTGAGGCGCTGCATGAAGAAAGACCGAGAAAGAGAGATGAAGTCGAAACAACGAGAGGAAGGAGTGCCGGCTGCGTTGGGAAGAAGAAGACATATAACCTAATTTTTAATGTAACTAACGGGTTGGGTTTTGTAAAATGGGCTTAAACATTGTATTAAAATGGCCCTAGATTAAAAAAAGTAAACTTTTTTTTAGCAGTTTTTTATTATTCTTCCTTCGAACCAACCTTTGCAAAGTGAACATGCATGATCTCCATTAGTAGTAAAATGATCAGAGCACCCCAGTGCATTTGGCCATCCTTTTTAATTCTCTCAGCTCTAGCTCTTCATCATCCACAAGCATTGCAATCTTATCCGAGTGTTCTTGGGAACCTGCTCCTTCCAAAGCAAGTTCACATTTTTCTTTGCTTGGCAGAGTCTGATATATTCTCATTGTTAGATTCCACCTTGCATCCAAAGGCAAAATGATGTTGCTAAATCTGCTACCTTAAACCGTATATTTGCAAGAACAATTTTTTCACTTACCTCTCTTCTTTTGAAGAAATGTTTCCTCTTTTCTTATACCTTATTTCGTACCCGTCCCTATTTTTGTAAAGGCAACAAATGTCAGACAACTTTCTAAAGGTAACCACTAAGATCGACCTTTAAGATGATCATCCCAAAAGACTTTCTCACATATCTGCAACCAATACAGACTAAATCACATTTTTGTTGTTGCAATCTTCTGTTCCGAGTTACTAGTTTTTGCGATACACAAGTTAGTGAAACCCATGTCAACAGGAAAATCTCTAGCATCAGGATTGGTTGCCCGCCAGACCATCATCAAACCTTTTCCAACTCAGGGGTTTTATTTTTATTTTATATATATATATATAATAAACAGAGTATAGCCGCTATACTACGGTTTTTAATATAAAAACAATTAGTATAGCCGCGCGGCTATACTATATAATAAACAGAGTATAGCCTCAATGTCCATGCAAAGATTCTATATGTTACCTCCATTATGAAACTAGAACTTGCATGAAGAAGATCAATTTGAGCCACTATTGCGCTCAACTTTTCTTCAATGCTTAAATTTGAATATTCGCCTTCCATCGGTCCTAACAACCATACTTCTCCTGCATGGCTCTCATCAATTTTGGTGTGTACTATCACCACGTTATCTTTACTTTTGCCATGGTTCATACAAGTCAACTTTTTCATTTTGGAATTTCCTGAATTGCACCTAGAATCATCATCACTGCTACATGTACCACTGTCACCGAGGTCATCATCAACTGCTCCAGAGTCTTCGGTATCTAATTGGGATTCCTCCACTTTCTTTTCAGAAGAATTAATACACACACGATATGTGGATGATGAAATCTTTACTAATAATGTAATATCACTTGAAAGAGTTGAACCAATTAAAGACTCTAGTTCCTCTATTTCACTGGAAAGGTTCGATTCAAAAATCTGCAAAACAAAAACAAAGTCCATCACTAATTCAAGTGTAATATCACATGAGAGATTATGATAACAATGTTTTCAAGAAAATTACCTGCAATGACTTCGCCAACTCAGAGTCTTTCAACCCATGAATCCTCGCTCTAGCAGAACTCCGAACAATTCACCCTTCAAAGTACCAGGACGTAAACCATACTTCACCACAAGGTTCATTTTCTAGATAACAGAATATTCAATTTGAAAAACCAAATTTCACATTTATAGATAGATTTATGCAACAACAGATAAAGCTTATTAATTGTAGAATACAAAGAAAACCACCATAAGAAAGTAAATAAAGGCTCCTGCGCATGTCTAGTCATTAAAGCAAATAATTCCAGAGACAAGCGGAGACAAACAAACATATGCTCAACAGATGTTATTTAGGAATGCACGATAATGCCAACAAACAAAACTGAAGAAACTATTTCCTTCAATATTCAATCACTACATGTTATATGTAAAACCTAAAATTTCTGATTTTGGTCCTTGAGTATGGAAAATGAATCTATCCAATTGGGGCTCTGCCTCAAGGTAGAAACAGATTATTCGGGGTAATGACAGATCTTAAATGACTATTGCCAATAAGGCTTTGAATGCTCAAGGCTTTGGGTGATGAACACATATTATTGGGCATCTATAGCACTTAACTTGCAGAATACAGATGTGTTGATAATTAAGTACATTTACTAGAGAGGAAATGGAGCTTAGAAAAATCAATTGCAACTATGGGAGCTAAATTAGAAGACCTTGCTAAGAGCTAAATTAGAAGACCTTGCGATAGAAATCCTCCACAATTTATTTCTTCTCAATGAATAAGTAAACAAGTTAAGTAACTAAAGAAAAGGGGGGAAAATAAAATAAAACAAAAAGACTCCTTTATAATTCCTTCCAGGCTCTAGTTAGCTCTGTATGCAAAAATTTGGTGACCAGACGAGACTGTTGTAAACAGAAACTAAAAGACGACAATTGATCAATGTGAATTAAATTAGAAAGGCGCCATCTATGCTTTTACTTACGATTTGGACTTCCGCTTGAGGAACTGGATTCTACCAATTAAGATAAAAGCAACATAGTAAATGTAAAAAATAAACAGGGAAGAAAGGAATGAAAGCACAAAAATTCATAAAACTAGGATAGGATTGCATGAGGAGGCACTACAAAAAAAAAGTGTCATTACCAGCCAACATTTTCAAGGGCCCCGAAATTCCCTCGGTAAAAGTGTTTTTTCCGACCAAGCAGGAAGATTGCATAATCAAGCAATTTGAGAGACATAGTGCTGAAAGATGCTCGGGGGTATTCAGTAATGTAACAATATGTTTCGGTTCAATATGAATCTAATAATTACTCTCAAGTTTTAGTTGCCTTGAGTTTGTATATTGTCTTCTTACTTGATATATTTGATTTAACACATTGACTAAAAGTTTGTTTTGGTAACAGAACTAGCTCTGATCTTGTTTTGGCATGATTAACAAACAATGTTATTGTTAATGGGAAGTAGCAGCAGCCCATCATTAGTGAAGATTCAAAGGAAGCTATGAAGCATGCATTCAAACTCTTTAATGTTGGATTGAAAGTAGACTTTGGGACTAGTGATATAGGACATAGCTTGGGATTGTAATGAATATTTGTAATTTATTACTTTGTCTTTTATTAATGATAACATATTGTATGGCACTTAGGGCTCAATTTAGCTTGGATACTCACATAACTTGACTTAGGGCTATACGATTAAGGTTTTGATCTCAATATTGGATTAGTACAACGTAATCTTTTACTGACCAATGATATTTTGGGGGTTATGAATGTTTCACTTTTAAGGCATTCTGCATTCTTCTTTTAAAAATACAAACGATATTCGACCTTAATCTAATATAAACTACGAGAATGGGAATTCAAATTCGAGTGTAGAGTGAGGAGCTCATCCTTTCTGCCTTTTTTTTTCCCTCTTCTGCCTTTATATATATTGACTCTTAAACTTTATTTTACCTCATAATCATGAGTAATTACAATGTGGTACAAAAGAATTACAAATTAAAGGCCAAGATGTTGTAATTCTAATGATAAAGCATCTAGCCCACAATTTTTTTCAAAATATCATTTGAAGGGGTATGTGTTAAAAAAACATTTCTAGGATATTTACTAAGAAACACCTTTTGTAGGGTTTATAGCAAAAACGCTATGAGCATAGGTGCTGCAATATTTAGTAGTGGGACTTTACAGCTTGCAATAATAAGAGCATCTTCATCCATTTGCCATGGCAAATGGCAAGGGGAGGTAAGAGCGATTACTGTTCACATAAATATTTTCTCCCTACCAATTTTTTGGTTGTTTTTCCACTCATTGCCATTGCAACCCGGACAATAACTATTCACATGGTATTAATTTTTTTTAATATATATGAGATTAATAAATATAAAAAATCACAATTTTTAAGAATTTTTTCTATTAAAAAAAATTTTAAAAATTTATTCGCTAACATTAACGCCCTCAAGCGGAAGCTCGGGCTGATCTTGCTTTCAAGCCTGCCCATTCTTAGTGGAGCCCACGTCCTATCTAGGCTAGAATGAATGGGAGCTTCTACAATGAGGAGTTAAAGTGAGGAGGTTATTTGAGGAGATCGATCCGACCGTCAAAACATTTAAAATATTTAAGTCCCATAATTTCTTTACATTTGTTGATGGTGAAATTTGACCTCCTCAAATAAGCTCCTCACTTTAAGCCCTCATTATAGCCTTTCCAAGAATGAATTGGTGGAGAGATTTTTTGAGTCCAGGGGCTTTTTGCCATGAACTTTACGCCATGGGTGGAAATGTTCTAATAAGGCCCAATTTCTAGGCTGCAATTGGTGTAGATGTGACAGCCAAGAGTTTTCCATTTCATGGCCCAATATCTTACTATTTTCTAATAAGTTTTTATTTTCTACAGTTTTTATTTGTTGGGACTCTGGGAGTCAGGGGAGTGAGGGTTAATGCCTAGCCTTCTACAAGCAAAAACAAGGGAAAGAGGGCATAGTAGCTTTCACCTTCTTCAATCTCTGTGTGTATGTGTGTGTGATTATTCACTCTTTTCTCTTTAGCCCCAGAAAAACCCTAAACCAGTCTTGACCTCAAAACCTCAAAAGCAATCGAAATGCACCATCTTTCTAAGAATGCGTGAATATACACAGAAGAAGAGCATGAAGAAGCAGAGAAAGGCAAAGACTTGCATTGCTTTGATTTGATGAGATGAGATGAGATCGTCCTCTTATACTCTGCTCTCTCGCCTCCGCCATACCCATCGCTTCAATTCGCACTGCCAATCCCAATTTCTGCTCTTTCACTACTCAGACCCCAAGCTCACACAAAATAACGACTGCAGCTTATCCCAGAACGCTCCGTTTAGCTCCTCCGCTGACACTCTGCTGCGCGGTCTGGTTTCGTCATCTGCTTGCTCAAAACGGCTCGTTCTCCTCGACTTGGTTTCTTCTGGTAGTGTTGTTCACCATCAACATCAACAGCAGCACTTGTTCCATCGCAGTAGGTCCTTTTGAATTTTTTGAGAATTTGTAAATTTTTATTGGGAAAGTGGTCAGTAGCTCAATTTAGCTGAGAGCTTTGTGTATATGGGTAACTGGGTATGCATTGATTTGCAGATTTCTTTACTAGAGCTAAACAGGTCAAGATTCAATTCAATGACGAGCACAGGTACCTAGCACAAAAATGTTTGAAAATTTCCAATTTTGTACATTTATTGTTAATTTCTTTAATTACTGGGAATTTGATTAAACCCCTCTGTTGTTGCACCAAATCTGTAATACCAGTCAAAGGGCAGTCACAACTGCATTGTGGTGCAACTTCCTTGTGTTTTCTCTCAAATTTGGTGTCTGGTTATCAACCGCTAGTCATGTTATGTTTGCTGAAGTTGTTCACTCAGTTGCAGATTTTGCAAATCAGGTATTGGGTTCATGCTGGCTGATGTCTATTCTAAATCAATATTGTTGTGGTTTCTCATTTTACGATTAACTCGATTCATTGTACATTTAATGCAAAGAAACTAATCCATGTTGATATTGTAGGCGCTTCTTGCTTATGGTTTGAGTAGCTCAAGGCGTGCACCGGATGCTCTCCACCCGTGAGTCTTTCAATATCATGACCACCTTTTTGCATCATTGATAAAACCTTCGTTAGCTCTCATTCTTTCCTTTTTTTTTCTTTTCTCAAGACAAGTTTTACTAACCGTCTCTAACTGGTAATTTAAGATACCAGATGTTTCTAAAGAAAAGCTTTATAAGGAAGAAATCTAGGATCTAAAATAAAATTTAGCCATTAATTAGATTGGTTTAAGTACTTTGATGATTCTACGAAACAAGTTGAATTCGATGGTAAAAGTGCATAACATAGAAGTCAAGATCTGTGATTAGAAACTAACTACTTGCATTTATATTATTCTCTGTTCACGAAGAGAATTCGTTCTAATTATCATTCGATATCTTTGATTCTGGCAGTTATGGATACTCCAAGGAAAGATTTGTCTGGTCTTTGATATCTGCTGTTGGTATCTTTTGTCTTGGTTCTGGTGCGACTATTGTTCATGGATTTCAAAACTTGTGGACTTCACAGGTTATTGACTAATTGAGTTTTTACTTGGAAAATTTGTTACCCAAACTTCTGTGCTCTTTTCTTTTAATTTTTCATTCTTCTCTGTTGTGTTTGTAAATTCAATTGTGGTTTTTATTGAATTTGTCTGCCTCTTTCTCAGCCCCCTCCAAATATTCAGTATGCAGCTCTTGTGATTGGTGGTTCATTTATTATTGAAGGTACAACTCAATGCATTTTCTTTTAAGGATGATTGGGGGATTATTTTTCACTTTTTTCTTTCTCATGCTCTCGCGTTAAAACTTTGAATCCATTCCTCAGGTGCTTCTCTTCTTGTTGCCATACAAGCTGTCAAGAAAGGTGCAGCTGCTGAGGGCATGAAATTGAGAGACTACATTTGGCGTGGCCATGATCCCACATCTGTTGCTGTCATGACGGAGGTAATCCACTGAGTCGCTGTTCCTTTATTCCCTTAAGGTTGTTGGAACTTGTTTGTTTACATGATTGCAGGTGAATGGATCAGAATTGAATTGTTAGAAAGGAAGAAATGATAAGTAGAGAAAAAGGGGAAGAATGATAATTTCAGTAGTAACAATGAGTACATTAGAGTATGCTTAATTGCTGAACTTTGAAAATGAGCTCATCTACTTAAACCTTGTAGACCTCCCATCTGATCGTGGCCAATCCAAATTTCTAGTGCGTTCTATGCTAAGGTGTTGGAGCAAGAAACTATCTTAAACAACCACACCCAACATGCAACTTCATTGAAAACCTTCACTAACCAAAGCCTAAACTTAGAGCTAATTGAGAAAAGATGAAGCCACACATCTTGTTTAGCATTGTGTACTTCATTCTCTGTGTGGTAGTAGTTGTCAAGTTACTTTTCAGTAGGCCATTGAATACAGTTTTTCTGGTATGATAACAAGCTATAACCCTTTGTAAATGATCTCATATATGCAGGATGGCGCGGCTGTAACTGGTCTTGCTATTGCCGCGGCATCATTGGTTGCAGTGAATAGAACAGGAAATGCAATTTATGATCCCATAGGATCAATTGTAGTTGGCAACCTACTTGGAATGGTATGTAATACTTCTTCTAAAGTTATACAGGAACTGCAATAGAATACCATATTGCTGTCTAAGGAAAATGATGTGAATATCTGCAATACAATGCTAATCTTGAAGTTGTGGATTACCAAATGTTGGGTATCCCATAATAATAATAATAAACGAACCAAATACACTACAGATTGTGACTCTGTCACTTGGTAAAACTATGATTGTACAACTGAATTGAATCTAACATGCAGGTGGCTATTTTTCTGATCCAAAGGAATAGGCATGCTTTGATTGGTAGGGCAATGGACGACCATGATATGGAGAAGGTTCTCCAGTTCTTGAAAAATGACCCGGTATCATTATGTTCAATGATGTTTTTTTTGGTAATTGATGTACCGTCATGTTTTTAAGGTTATTAAATATCGCTGATTTTTTTTATAGGTTGTGGATTCTCTATATGATTGCAAAAGCGAGGTGATTGGTCCTGGGTTCTTCCGATTTAAGGCTGAAATAGGTGACTTTCTTTTCATCTCCTATTCTTTCTTTTCTCGATTATTCTTGGGTTAGGTTTCCAGTTAAACCTAGGTTCTGACAAATCACTACTGTTCTAGTATTCATAGGTTTGGCAGATATTGATAAATCAAAAGTCAATCATTATCAGTATCATTAGCAACTTATTGGCACTATTAACATGCAGACGTTGCAGCAGTATTTTCTTTTGTAATTTGATTATTACTAAAACTTTAGTTTACTATTTAAACTCTATTGTCTTTCTCTTTAGAAGTCTGTTATTTCTATTAGTTTGCATCTGGCATTATTGGAATATCAATGTGATATAATGGTCGCTATCTGCATGGGACAGATTTCAATGGAGTGGTGGTAGTTCAAAATTATCTCCACAGGACTGGGCGTGAAGAATGGGCTAAGCAGGTTAATTATCTCTATAGATCTCTATTGTTTTTTCATTTCTTTTTCTGGACCTACAAACCTTCTTTGTAGTAAGTAATTCCTTGGTGTACTTGCTGATTGCTGAGTGTCATATATGAATAATGTTGATTTGCTACAGTTTCGTGATGCTGCAAAGGAGAAGGATGATACTGCGTTGCTTAAAATCATGTCAAATTATGGTATGTGTTATGATTTTTATATTTATTTAAAATTTTATTATTTTGGTGATTGAGTTGAACTTGCAATGCAATATATTATGACTTATCTTTCCTGTTGCAGGTGAAGAGGTAGTGACAGCCTTAGGAAGTGAAGTTGATAGGTTGGAAAAGGAGATCCAAGAGCTTGTTCCCGGTATACGGCATGTCGACATCGAGGCACACAATCCAATAGACCTATCCCAGTGATTTACATATTTCTTTATCTATGCGGTAATACTTGATCATTCTTTTCAGAAAATCTGCATGTGCTATCATTTGATTAATGACATGAGCGGCTTCTTGCTTCTTTAGGCGGGATATAGAAACGTATATATCAACTGTCAATAGTAAGTTAAAGATCCCACAGATATATAACAATGTATCTGTCAAAATTTGCTTGCATGAGATTTGTCAATGCTTGGTTTAAGAGATTTTTCCAGTGTTGTGATAGTCAGCTTTTTTCTCCTCCACCCGACAAGGATAACCAGCTTTCTTTAAGAGCATTATTTGTTGATTGTGCTAAGTTATGTATTTTTTTTTCTTCCGAATATTAGAACTTTTAGTGCTCCTTAAGAGCGCCCAACAAGCCTTTGTTGTGTTCAAATTTATTCGGCTCTAGCAATGCCTGTTTAGCTGGTTCTGCTCAGATTGGTTTTGTGCTGATTGTGTATTCATGTTGTCCTCATTCAGTCAACTTCAATACAAAGCTGATGTATAAAATTTTAATCAAATGCCACCCGTCAAAACAAAAACTGATGTTTCAAACCCATCCCTTGTGGGATCTTGCTTCTCAAGTCTCAATACATCTCCACAGAGGAAATAAAAAAGTTACAAGTTGACAGAAGAAAAATAAAAGAAAATTTAATAACAAAAATGAAGCCCCCATTTTTGCAATTGACAGAAAAGTTTTAAACATAGAACTGCTTTCGAAGTTTTGGTTTTGAAAGTGAAGAAGAGAGAGGGAGAGGGAAAGCCATGATCGCGTCCCTTGGCAGTTAACATAGCCATATATAGATATGCTTTTGTGGACAGAGCTGCTTCTATATGTTGACTTTGTGAAACCGTGCCTTATCCGAAAAAACCTTGTGTTATTCTAAGGAATCTCCTGATTGTTTCAGTGCAATTGTTGCAAAAGAGATTCTTGTAAGAGAGAAGAATTCTTCGTTTCAGATGCATCATGATAGCTCGAGGAAACTACGACGTATTTTGTAGGGCTAAAATTGGAAATGGCTCATGCAGTTTACCTAGATGTTAAGGCAAGTCATATGGTTCTAATTTTGTTAATAATACCCTTTGCTGTCTGCATCTGCTAGCTACTTCGTCTTAATCAATCTCCAATTTCTATGTTTCTTATTGGAATAGGGGACAAAAGTATGGATATTAGATCAACTACTTTCCTCTAATCAATCTAATTCCGGTTTTTAAGGTATTGAATTATGAACTATTTGATTCCATGTATGTTCGTCCTTGAAAATCAGGAATCAAAATCATGTATCTTTACCAAAATTAATACTACAAGACTTACATTTCAACAGGAGACCATTTCTTGAGTAGAAGTTAAGAGTTTTGTGAGTTGTAAGGTCATCTCCAAGTGAGGACTATATTCTCAAATATAGCCCAAAATTCTCAAAACTCATCTTCAAGAGTGTGCTACACAAAGGGCTTGAAAAAACAAGAGAACTACACAAAGGACCAATTCCTAAATGAGGGTCACATGTGACCCTCTTGCTAGCCTGAGCTAAATAATTAGATGGGGCCTAGTTGACATCACCTGGCTATTAGGTGACATCACCTGGCTGTTAGGCGACATCACCTAACTGTTTTTTTTTAATTCGAAAAAAATGATTTTTTTTTATAATAAAAAAATCTAAAAATTTTCTTAATTTTTTGTAAAAATACCTACCTCATTCTTACATAATTTCTCACATCTTCATCATTTTACATATTATCCTTCCTCAATTTTATCCTTTTACATAATTTCCCACAATCTCTTCATTCTTTTACAAACTATCCTTCATCTTTTTCTATTAAACTTAATTTTTAAGTTTTTTTTAGAACTAGAAAAAATCTTATCATAAATCTATAGGGCTAATCACGTGCCGACACGTGGATGTCAAAAATCATATCCCAAAATATTTTTCTCTTCTAAAATGTATTTTAAATAGGATATAAATAGTAGTTTAATTAAATTAACTAATAAATTTACATAATATACTAAAAAAATATTAAATTTAGCCATTTACTGTTGGTGGAGACTATTAAAATATAGTCTGACACTATTCCTTATAAAATCATTTTTTTTTAAAGCTAAATATAAACCCCCCAATATCGTCTATATTTAAAAACAAAAACAAAAAGAGTTTTGTGAGTTTTTTTTTTATTAGTCGGTAGATACGCGTGGACCCCATGAGACAGCGTCGTTGTTTGACTTTGAAAAGTTAACGTGACAAACATGAGAAGAGGACTAGTATTTTACAAGGAAAGACACAATTTCCAAACAACTTTCAAGATTCCTGTACTTGGTTTCTCTCTATAAATAGCTTGGGTATTCTTGCGCATTATATTTGAGCGCACGCCGAAGCATTAAGAGGGAAGCAGAGACTTGTTCAACTAAGTAATTTGAAAATTCAAATTGGTAAAAGAGAGGGAAGACACAGAGAGAGAAATGAGTGTTTTATCAGTGTTTGATCTGCGAGAAAAGGTGGTAGGGAAGAGAGGTGCAGCAACAGCATGCCCTTACTGTGGAGGGCCAGTTTTGGCATGGGACTTTGATGCTCACTTGCTCTTTTGTTTCATTCCCATTTCCCACAAAACCAAGAGGAAGTTTTACTGCACCATTTGCTCCAGGCGCCTAGTTCCTGCTTCTTGATTGATGGCGCTGGGTCCGCATATATATCTACAAAATATGGTAAAATAAGTCACTTGAGAGACAAGTGCCAGCATTGTTGTATTAGCCTCTATGGCCTCAAAGAAGGAGTGTAACTATAAAACCCTTGTACTAAAACCCCAAAACAAAAACACACAGAGAGTCGGTTATTTTATTTTTTGCCTCCTTGTGTTCATTTTGCTTAGTTCACCCACCGTTCATTTCCAAAAAATTTCAGCTGATGGCAATGTGCACCATCGATTAAGGGTGGCGAGCAAAATACTCCTGTCAATAAAATGGCTGAAAAGCTCAGACGCATTAAAGAAAGAAAGAAAGAAAAAAAGGGAAATTAACGTCGGTGCAAAGCAACAAAAAATACTTTGATTGGAGCTTCCTCTGTCAGCGCCATGAAGTATTGCATTCATAAGCTGGAAGTTTCATTTGACAAGCTAACTTTGTCAGACGCGTTGGCGCCAACAACTACAACCAAGAATTTATTCAAAAGAAAAAACCTTTCAAAGAATTTTCTATTTAAAAACCCCACGCATTTTTTTGTTCGCCCCAATATTTAAATTATTAAGCTTTAAGTTTTATTGTTGTGTAAAAAAGATAAAATATATCATCCAACTTAATAATTAACCCTAGTACATCTATACACACACCCTACCACTCTTCATATTAAGTTTTAGAAAAACACAAACGCCTCTGCACTCTATTGTCATTTTACTCTTCTCTTTCAATCCAAAAAACCTACTACACTCTCATCTTTTCTTCACAAACCATAAATACAGTATGCAAATCATAGTTTGTGGGTCATCAATTGATGTATGTAATGTGAGATTATTTCTTGGTTCGAGACTCCTTCCAGAATTATTGAGGAGTTTATTTCTTAGTCTGGGACTCTATTCATATTATTTCTTGGCTTGGGACTCCTCTCAGAATTATCTTCCTTGACCTTCAAGCTTCAGTTCAGAGACCAAAAGAAGAAGAAGAAAGAAAAAAAGACATAAGCAACTGGATGTAGCTTGTAGCTTCCTGAAACTTGTGCTGACGGACCAGGGTAACTCAATCTAAAAGAGCAACACAACACAATCTGTTTTGATTGGATTGGAGTGAATAATCAATGAAGTAATTAGCTCAATAGATCAATTATATTAATCAATGGAGTATATAGCTCAGTAGAGCAATCATACAACAGAACAGAGTCTACGTGACGTTTACTTGTTATATAAAGGACATATAGTTGATGAGTTTTTTATTCATCAATGGTATCGGGTGTGAGGTTTGATGGAGCTAGGAAAAATATAAAGAGGAGAGGTAAGAGTTACTTTAGGTTGTGAGAGGTGTGGGCATTATATTAAGAAGCCTAATGTAGATTCAAATGATGAACATTTGGGTGTAGGGTGTGTGGTGCAGGGGTGGATCTAGCCCTTTTTTAATTAGGCGGCCGCCTGGCCGAGATTTTTCAAAAAACATAGGTATAGTACAAATATACGTAACATATATGAAAGAGAATTTATTAATAATAATAATAATGCATCGATAAATGAAGAATTTAAGGGAGCATTTGGTATCCTATTCAAATAGGGAACTCAAAAACTTTGATTTTTCTTTAAAACAAGGAGTTCTTAAATTTATTTTTAAGATTCAAAAATTTGTGTGGTATGCAATTTGAAAATTGTTTTCAAATCTTAAAATTTTGAGAACTTATGGGTTATTAGAAAAAAAACTGAAAAAACAGATATTTTTGTTTTTAATAATTGGGGTGTTTTTTAGTTGTTCTTGAGTTTGAGTTTTTAAAAATAGGACTACAAAACAAGTTTTTTCTATTTTAAACTCAAATTCTATTTTTAAGTAAGTATGGACGGATCATCCTTATGACTAACCTGGACTATAGCCTAGGCAAATTTTTTTTTTCTAAACCCCCCCGGGCGGGGGGTTCCCAAGTTCCAATCAACATGTAAATGGACCCCAAGTTCCAATCAACCCATGTAAATGGACCACAAGTTCAATTTCCCCCACCCCCCCCAAGTTCCAATCAATCCATGTAAATGGACCCCAAATGACAGATTTAGTGCATTGACTTGGTGGAGTTGCCTGTGAGGCACCTCTCCTTTCTAGTCCACCCCATGTTGCACCGCACTTTCCCAATTTTATTAACATCTAACACTTCACTTCACATACATAAAAACAAACAAAAAAATCTTCACATACAGAAACAATTAAAGTTAAAAACCACACTTCCCCGTTAAATTTCTGTTTAAATTAAAACCACACCCCATTCCTTAGCTTTAAAATTGTAATAATTTTTTGTTTAATATTGTAAAATTAACATCAAAACGAATTTTGAAAATTTATTTGAGTATGAGATATACATGAATTGTTCTATTTTAAAGGGGAACATTTTGGGTTTGAGTTATCTAGCATTAGAGATAGACTTAATAGGTTTATATGCATAGTAAATTTAGCCCATTCTATTTTGAAATTTTGGGTCCGTCCCTACTCGTAGGAAAAAAAATTATATTTAAATACTGTTGTTTTGTATTGCATTGCATTGCATTTATTTGTGATTTTTGTTTTTGTTAAGCTTTTATTTATGTATAAAGATGCATTAGTAGTAAGTTTCGCTAAGCCAACTTAAAAATTGGGATGAACTTAGAATATAGGGTGAACCTAAAAGCACGGGGTTTAAATAGAAAAACTCTTACATATGCAATGCAATGCACACACCCACATGATTCACAAATCAACAGTTGACTCCCAGCCCGGCCTTTTTCTTTCTTTCAACCAAAAGAAGCAAAAAGGTGGAACCATGAATGAAACACGAGCAAAGCTCACTCCGTTTCGTTTGGATCAGCCCAGGTGAAGGTGGCCAATTTTTTGCTGGAGAGTAATGTGAATAAATTGCAAAAAATAGCACAAAGCTTGCACTTTTGCAAAAATAAATAAATAAATTGCGCTGAGTGGAGCTCACCCTAATCTAAGAATGGTTTCCCACCCTCGTGAACGTAATTGGACTATGAATATGCACCAATCGCCGCCCACGACCACGAATATATGGCCAAGTCAAGTCAACTTTTCAGATGGTCAAGGAAACATTAGTTTGACCCAAAACCTGCGTAAACAAGGAGCTAAAAGAGCTTATTCGTCTTCTCTTCCAGCTATTAGTAGTCCAAGAAATTTGGAGGAAACAACAGCAGAAATTCTTCTAACTTAACTTGCTAATTATAATTAGGCCTCAACATCAGCCCAGCTCCGCAAGCAATCAGCAACAGGATTCTTATCTGTATACGTGGCCAACTTCACAGATAGGGCGATTTGCCGCATCAAATCACAGCAACTTGTAATGAGAGCTGCAGGAGGATGAAAGGAGGCCTTCTGACCAAGCTTCTGTACCCAACGTCTTCATTTCCGCTCACTTTGTTGAGACTGCCCGAATGGTAGCGCTTTCCTTTCTTTGAGGTGGTTTCATTCATCTACCAATGTTATGTGCTTGGGACAGGGCTCGTGTGATTGGCGATTAGGTGCAGGGAGTTGGTATGTAGTTTTCTTCTTACGGTCACCTATAGTTTTCTTCTTACGGTCACCTATGGGATAACAATTAGACGATAAGGGTTGCTTCGAGAGAACCCAAAACCTCCAAGTTAGACAAGCTAACAGTAATGGATAATATCTGATATTTCATTAATAAAAAGCCACCTGGAATTTATACAACTAAAGTCTAGGAAAATTCAGACTCCTACAATTAGGCAGCAACTAATAACCATGTAACCACTTCTACTACTCATGAACCCGCTTTGGAGAAAGTACATGACAACCAATATGCAATAACTCGATAACATACTGATACATAATACCAATCATGTTATAAGCCCCTTTCGTGGATTATGGTCTGATTGCATGATGAACCTAGCCTACAATACCAATTGTTAAGAGCCCGTGAATAAAACTTGCCCTTGAAAATCAGATAGTGAAGGGAGATGCCCAAAGGCTCTTAAATCATGCCAAAATTTGCTATTTTTCGAATATTAGAATTTTTCTTTTTTGACAAAGTGATATTATAATTACTCTACTTATGAGAAAGGTGATTGAACTCGCGTGCAACGGGTGAAAATATTGATTTGGCCAAATGACATAACCCAAATTTGCCAAATATTCGGACATTGAGTCCTGCCATTCTTTCTCCGCATTTGAACTTGGATAGGTCTGTTGTTTATGCGCTTTCTCAACATTTGAATTAGAGGCTCGTTGATTACGAGGATCTTGCAAAAAATAATTAAATAATCATATACTATTATATTATTATGTAATTATTTTCAAATCATAAATAATTTGTGGTTTTAAACTACCATCTTTGTATGACTCATGTTCTCATGTACATAGGTGTTTTAAAAACTATTCAACTATTATGGTTTAATCACACTTGCTATTTTCAGTTTGCTAGTTTAAGACGATGAACTTGTATATAAACCCTATTTGCTAGTTTAAGACAATGAACTTGTACATAAGTCTTATAAACTATGAATTCATAGTTCTATCGACTAGAAATTTTGGATCACACATGAAAGTAATTTTAAGCGATTCGGACAAACATCTTCTCCATAAAATCACTTCAAACCACTCATCTAACATAGATTTCGTGCTGTGTTACACAACTAATTTTTTTGGGGCGAGTATTATTTAAAAGATCTGTGGTTAGAGAAGAATTTGAAGTTTTGATCGCAACACCACGACAAAACCATTAAATTAGTGATGAACAAGACCTTGTTCTTCCCGTCGTTCTTTTGAATTTTGCACGAGTGGCAAGGCAATTATGCATGACGGCAGAAATAACTCAAGCAACAGTGGCACGAAGATAATGCAAGACAACAAAACTTTCTAGCATTAAGTCTCCAAAAAGTGAATAAAATTTTCAACATCACAAAAGTCTTGAACCTTAAACGGAAAACTGCGTTCAACTTAATAGAGGAATAATATCAGATCCCCTATACCGACAACACAAAAATCCTTGAACCACTGGAATGAGTAAATACTATGCCAATCTAATTCATTCTTCTAATAAGCTCATTGATGTAATTCTCACGGTTTCCGGCATCTCCACCTTCAACATAGTGGTTCCTCTTCTTCTTAAGACCACCAAGTGGTGCCTTCAGCTTGAATGGCCATAGAAAGTTGTTTGCTTCCTTAAAGTGAGGTCCAACTGTCAAGATCTCATGAATAAGATCTTCCGTGCAGATAATGCCATACTTGCCCAAAGCCTGTGAGAAAATTAGAACATGTTAAAAAGATGCAGCAAATGTTGCCCAACCTTGTAAACTGCACTACTAATCAGCCACAAACCTGCTCAACAATAGAGTTGTCGGTCAAGGCAGTTCTCTGCTTGTTAAGCTTCCCATAACCTCTCTTGTATATCAGCTCTTTTACACTCTTCAAGTTGGGATACCTGAAATTTGGCACCTCCATTTAATCATAACATTCTAGGCATATCTAGAGGTAATGAGAAATATAAAGGATGTTCCTACCCATAAGTAACATAAGGTTCAACCCTGTGAAGCATGTTGAGGGTGGCCTTGTTAACTTTCAGGAAGACACCATTAAAGATCTGTTACAGAACAGAATAAAATATAAAATAAAAAAATGTAACAAAAACGTTGAATTTAGAAGATGATTCATATACAGGCTCACGTACAAAATGAACTGAACCACACCGTGCTACAATTTCAACAGTCCAAGGGGTACACATTCGAACACGAAAATTAGTTGCTCACTGTGACTAAAACCCCTAAATGTTTACGACATCATCTACTGCCTAACAAACAAACAAACTACAAAAATAGAAAACCTACAGTTGATACAAAGGAGAAATACCAGACAACCATAAATAAGGCAAAGCAATGACAACAAGACCTTCATAAGAAGGCAAACATTAGTACAACTAGGTGAAAGGGTTTAGTGCGCTACCTGTCTCAAACGCAAGAGTTGCAAAATCTTCTTGGTCTTTGGGTCAATTGCATTGATACTGAAAATTCACAGATTAACGTATAAGAGAAAGAACACTAATCTTTGGAGTTACGTTTCAAATTAAATACAGATAAGGACATACCCACGAATTCGAATGATAAACAACAGCTTAGCTTCTGGATCAACATAAAATCCACCTTTCAACTTAGCCTCACGCTTCAACCGGATCAACTCCTTTTCCTGTATAGATTAAACAAATTATTGTTAACAATAAAAAAAATCAGCCCAAGATGACAAACATTACAGGTTGCTAAAATAAATCAAATTCCAACATGTACCTGTTCCTTGTACTCCTCAGAATATTGCTTTGCTCGGTTGTAAATTAGCTTCCGATTCTCAGCATTCTTTTTCTTGGCAGCTTCAAGCCCCTGTTTCTTTGCCAAAGCCCACTCCTCTTCTCTCTTCCTCTTTTTCAACACTGACTCTGGAACCACTACCTTCACTTCTTCACCCATCTCTATAAAATTGAAAAGTGAAGAACAGTTAGAGAACAAGCACATTCATTAAAATCCTAATATAACAGTAGATATAAAAATTTTGCCTGAGAAACACATTTGCATCACCCACAAAATAAAAGTGCACTACTACTTCAATTTAATAAAACAAAGGAAACTGATATAAATTCAACAAAACTCGGACCACGTCATAAATATCGAAAAAATTGATATGAGGCACATATTTAAAAATCATAATTACAATTAAAAAAATAGCCATATGAAAAATACAAATGAGAAGAAATTAAAATAGCCAATTCCAGGCCTCTACCAACGACATTGCAACCCTAATTTTCTCAAAAACTAACATTAACAACAATGAGTACACTCTGGAAAAAAAATACCCAAACACACAAGGGTCAAAACACTATTGTGCACATTTTCCTAACTGTACCAGTAACAAAGTGAGAAAGAAGAACTCCAGCTGAAACACAAAGCAACGAAAATATGCACATAAACATCACTGTTCTCCTGAAGATACCAGCAAACACCTTTATGTTTTAGATTCAAAACCAAATGCTATTCATTCAAAGTGATTCCTTCCCCAGCTGTCAAACACAGCTACGCAAACCACGCTAGCAAAATGCTATTCTATGCTCCGTTTTCTCAGCAACCAAATCAAAATTAAGTAACAGTATACAGAAGCAACAAAAAATAGTATTCAAAATTACGAAAATAAATCACCAAATCACTCGTTTGATGCCCTAAATTTGCAGATCGAATGGCATGAAATCGAAATGTAAACGAAAATGAAGACTGGGATCCGGAAGCTACTCACCGAGTTGATGCCTCTGTGGTTTGGAGGACGCTGGCTAGGGTTAGGGTTCTCGGTGGGCTACTAAGAAGGAGGTCGGGAGTGTAAGTTTAGGTTTTTATAGGATTTATATGTGCTTCGTGATGACACGGTGGACGGCTTTGATTTGCTGAAGGACTTACTTAGATCTCATCCATTGATTTTAAGGGTTGTCGTGGGCTGGAAACTGGGTTGGGATATTTTAGTCCACTCGAAACTAAAATGAATTGGGCTGACCCATTTCGGGAAGGTTTGGGTTAAGAATTTTACCCGAAATTTAATTGCAATTAGGGCTTCTATTTAGCGACCCAAATGATCTTAAGCCAAGGACTCGGTTTCAAACTTGCAAAAAAAAATTGGAGGCAACATAGTAAAGGTCCAACTTGTCAGAAGGAGGCTCCAAAAGAAAGCCCATGACATAGTGTGAAAGATTGGTTTGATGGAAACTTGGCCCAAAGATTGATGCTCACACGCTTGAACAATAATTCTATAGTTAAGACCCTTAGATGAGGCTTTATCTCTTAATCGTTGATTCAAATTGATTAACCATTAAATCAAATTAATTAGTTTGATCCAACCGTTAAAGAAATATAAGTATGACCTCATATATAAGGGCCTTATAGAATGACTCCACGTTTGAATTGAATAATAAACAAAGACATAGTTTCAAGTTCGAAGAAATCAAGTTCAAATGGGCTCAAACTTGTATTGAATTGAATGGCTTAGATAGGTTCAAAATGGACCTATAAGAGGTTCATAGTCCTTAGGAGATGCTACAATGGGGGATGGAATGAAGGGTTCAATCCAACTATTCAATCATTAAAAAAAATTAAGTTCAATATTTTCTCTTACTTATTGAATAGTAGGATTGAACCCTGCCACAACCCCCTCGTTATGGCATTTCCATATAGTCCCCTAATCTAACTGGATGGTATCAAGTCATGAGTCAACTTGTAACCCCTCACTATAGGCCCTCATTACGATATCTCAAGCTAGAGATTCCTAATACTTGGCCAGCATGATTTCAGTGTACCCCTCACCATAGTATCTCTATGGTGGATTTCATTTTCAATTTACCAAATGGTTTATACATTGTCTGTGTATTCATCAACATTTTTAAGATTCCAAACACTTTTGGGAAAATGCATCTTCGGTCTACCTCGTGTTGTATATATTCTAGTGATTGTAGAATGGTCTAAAAGAAAAGAGAATATGTATTGCATTTGTGTTGGAAAGTTAGGCGGATATGGAAAAGGTTTTGTATTGCATTTGTCAAAAGAGAAGTTCAAATTGTCTTGATATTTCTTTTTAGTCATGCATGCACTTCATATGTAAATTCGACAATGAAAAGGCAAAACTAATTTATTTGAGGGACTTTCTAGGATCCACTATGAATTGAGTGAATACCTATTAAAAAAGGGTTTCAGGTCAATGAATTCACAGGGTGGGAGATGAAAGGATTGATGCAAAATCGAAAAGATTGAAACAAAAGGCATCATTGTTCCAAATTAATCTTCAAATAAATAATAATAAACGACAATGAATAAGATCGAGATAAATAGAGGAAAATTCAAATTTAGAGCCTAACTAACTACTAACATTATAATTATTATAATTATTATTGTGAATTGGATAGAAAAACAACACAACTACATAAAATCAACACAAACAAGACGGAAACGAGACACCCTAATAAAGTCATCGATAACTAATGAACCTATCCAACTTGGAGCAAAATCCAAATAACACACGTCCATGTTATAGCTCCAGTTAACTAATCCGTCTGCGACACAATTCTTTTCTATGTAGATATGCATAACTGCACAGCTATCAAACTGATTCATGAGTTTATCACAACTAGCCACAATATCAGCAAGAGGATATTGTCAATATGTAGAGCACATATTATATTTAGAACTTAATTTTTATTATCCTTAAGCAAGAGTATAGATTTATATGGTTTTTTTTCAATAGAAGTGATAATGTAAACAGGGGCAGAGCTAGAATTGTAGGATTTGTGGGGGAGGGGGGGTTGAGATAAAAAACACAAGTATATCAAATATATATAAGTGTTCAAAACACATGTTAGAACTAAAATTTTCAAAATTAGTCATGTTTAATTATTTTTAAAGGGGCCATTAATTTAAATTACAAGTTATCTATTAATAAGTTGTATATATTACATTATATAATATAGGAGAGAGGTCAAAAAAATTTTGGGGGCCAAGGCCACTCCTGTAAGTTACTATAAGTTAATCTGATTACTAGAAAGAGAATTCAAACTTGATTGCAAAGAGAGTGGGTTCACTGTCCTTACCAACTATCCTAACCCATCTCAGCAATTTAAGTTGTTAATTTCCAAATATTTGTAAGTGGTGGGTGGCGTGAATGGAATTTAGATATATAATATTCTTTAGTTCCTATCTAATGGTTCGCACAATCCAATCGTGTGGTGACTCGAAGTCATGAGCAAGCACTCACATATTTCCAATTTGTTTAAAATAAAAAGTAAAAAGTTGGGCGACTTATTAGTTGTGGCCCGTAACTATGCCTTGACAGTGACTTGGTACATATATAATATACTAGCGCAGCAGACCAAGACTTTGTTTGGTTGACTCGGAAGGGGGACAAAGACTAACATTGCCCCACTTTTGGTCCTTTTCTCCATGCAGAAAATATGCCTTTGCAACCTCAACTCTGAATCACATTCAGTGTGTTAAGATTTTGGGGGATACAGAATCATTTATAATAAAGCCAAAAAAGGACATTTTTCTTTTGATTTCGTCTTTTTATGCCTAAAAGTCTTTCCAAATTTGTCACAATCTTCTTTGCTGTAAACATTCCACATTGGTTTAGCGGAAAGTTAAACACTAGTTCACTACAAACGCGCCATGCAGCAGGGCGTGCATGGAATGCTTGGAACACAATGGAACCCTAGTTTTTCCACAGAAATTGCATTAATTCATCAGCATTTTCAGTAAGTAAGGACGCAAAACCAAACATGTTTCTTTGCATGTGAAGAAGCTTAGGGCCGTTTGGTATCCTACTTGAATTTAATTTTATAAATTCAAAAACATATTTTAAGTTCAAAGTCCAAAAACTTTGTTTGGTAGGCCCATTTTTAAAAACTCAAACCCAAAAAAAATTCAAAAACACCCCTAGTATTAAAAACAAAAAAGATGAATTTTTACAGTTTTTTATAATCTCTCTCTCTCTCTCTCTCTCTCTCTCTCTCTCTCTCTCTCTCGTATGGCACCCGATCGGGTTTGTCTTTGCGAACCAATAACCACAAAACCACCGAAGCAAGTTCAAGCAGCGTTAGTGAGTTGGAGTTGTTGCACACCACCAAAATTGATAGGGTTTATGTCTCACATCTTTTTCCTTTTCTTTTATTAATCTCAATTTGAGTATTAGGGTTTTCGATTTTTTGAGAATATAAAATAAGAATACTGCTATTTATATATTACTTCATTTATTTAAGTTTACAATGTAAATAAAGAATTACCCCCTATTTGGATTCAAATAAAAATACTAGAAAATCAAATTCCCACCAAATCAAAATATGAAAAATCGGTTTGAGTGAAAAATACGATTTAGGCTAAAAATGATGGCTCATTAAGTCAATATATACTTCATATTAAAATCCCATAAAATCAAGTTTTCTTATTTGATGTGTAAGGAATAAAGGCCGCCAAAAATTATCTTGAGAAAATGATTTTTCCGAAAAATCATTTTTCATACTTAGCCAATATTGCACCTCAACTAAAAAAATTATGGGTCCTCCAGTGTCTATAAATACCAACCAACACTCTTCACTTTTAACATCAAATCCTCATACCTTTTTTTCTTCTATAAATACCAACCAATACAACTAATAAAATAAAATTTTATCCGAAAATATTATCCGATATGAATAGTATTGACACGTAGGAACCCAAAAATATTATCCGAAAATATTATCCAAATTAATTGTTTAAGTAAAAAAAGTTGTGAAAAAAACAAAAAAAATGAATAGTATTTGCCATGGCAAATGACAACTGCTAGAAACACACTTTGCTTGGGGGGCTAGGGCAGCCACTATTCACGTGAATAGTAGCTGCCTTAAGGCTCCCTTTACCATGACAAGGGGCAAACTGCTGAAAATGCTCTAAAGCAAACACACCTTTGG